AGAGATGCTCAGTTCCATCACCTTTTAAAAGATCATAGCTTGAAAGGCTCTTTAGAGGCCAGTTAGTGCAATCTTCATTTTGCACATAAGAAAATGGAGATTGAAAGAGGTTAAGTGACTTAACCAAGATCATACAGGTAACAAGGAGTAGAGGTAGGATTTGAATCTATATCTTTTGCCTCCAAGTCCAATTTTCTTTCCACTGACCTATGCTGCTTCTTTTAGCTTAAATCCTTCATCTGCCAAATATACAGCATAGTCAAAGTCAGAATAAACACAATATACATCTCTCTACTACTTATTCCAGTTAGGCAGCTCAGTAGATAGAGTACTGAGCCTGAAGTCAAGAAGACCTGGGTTCAAATCCAACCTCAGACACTTACTAGTTGTGTGAGCAAGTCACTTAACCCTGTTTACCTCAGTTTCCTCATCTGTAAAATGAGCTGGAGAAGGAAATGGCAAACCACTTCAGTATCTTTGCCAAGGAAACCCTAAATGGTCACGAAGAATTGGTATGAATGAAAACAACTAAACAACATGTACCTATAATGCACATTTAAGTAGGAGATTTGTTCAACAGCATTCATTCAAAATATGCCAAATATATACTGAAGGACTTCTATTTCCAGAACTCTGGATTAGAAGACATTAGAGGTGGGGCAGCTAGGTGGCACAGTGGATAGCGCACCAGCCCTGAAGTCAGGAGGACCTGAGTTCAAATCCAGCCTCAGACATTTACTAGCTGTGTGACTCTGGGCAAGTCACTTAACCCCCATTTGCCTTGCCAAACAAACAAACAAACAAACAAACTAGGAGATACAAAATCTAAAGAAGACATTGTCCTCACCCTTATGGACTTTGTGGTATTGATATATTGGCTCAGGTTCACTGTTTCGAGTGTACTTGTTTTGTCTCACTCAAAGACTATGCCTTTTGGTAGAGAATCAAGTTTTATGTTGTTATTGTTGCTTTTTTTGGGGGGGGGCCATCAATTAATAAAGAACTAGTTACATGACAGGTGTTCATACTTGTTAATGATTACTATTCTGGGCTAAATCTTCTTGGTTAAATTCAGGAACCTATTCTATTTATAGGATATTAAAACTGGGAGAGATATTAAAATCATCTAATACAACATCTTCATTTTATAGTCAAGTAAACTGATCCCAGAGGGGTGAGATGATTAATCCAAGGTCACATAATGAGTTAGTGGTGACACTGGGATTAGATGCCGGGTCTCTCCATTCCCAGCCTATGGCTTTTTCCTTGATTACCTTCCGTTTAGTTTGTTCATAAAATAGCCAATTAGTGCTTGCCCATTAGAATGATTTAAATAAATCCCTCCACCCCTATCCCACTCCATACCTGGACCTGTGGTTTTATTAATGCATCAAACTCCTGGGAAAGGAACTCCTTCTACCAATGTAGATCAACCCTCAATCTTCAAATCTGTGCCTGGGGCACAGAGACCTTGAGTAATTTGCCAACAGTCATCATGCTAGGATGTGCCAGAGGTAGGATTGAAACTTTGTTCTTGGGGCAGCTAAGTGGCACAGTGCATAGAGCACTGGCCCTGGATTCAGGAGGACCTGAGTTCAAATCTGGCCTCAGACACAAAACACTGACTAGCTGTGTGACCCTGGGCAAGTCACTTAACCCTGTTGCCTAAACAAAAAAAAAAAAGAAACTTTGTTCATCCTCAGTTCAAAGCTGTGTCTCTTTCCTTTTATTAACAGGCCATAATTCATTACTCTTCTCCTTATTGAAGAAACAATTACTGTATAGTAGAGAATTCTCCTGGTAACAGTCACTGATCATTTGTCACTTATATTCAGTTCATATGAAATTCCTGACTTGTTTAGTATCTTGGCTTTGTTATAACCTGAGCTACTACCAAGTACTTTGACACTTGGAACAGGTATCCAAAAATGGCATTCCTTATTTAGGTATATGCTATATCCCCACCCCCCCACCCCCACCCCAGAGAATGCAAGCCTCTTGAGAGCAAGGACTATTTCATTTTTGCCTTTTGATATCTAGCACCTAACACAGTGCCTGACACAACAATTTGTTGTTGTTGTTGAGTTGTTTCAGTCACGTCTGACTCTTCCTGACCCCATTTGGGACTTTTTTGGCAAAGATACTAGAGTAGTTTGCCATTTCCTTCTCCAGCTCATTTTACAAATGAGAAAACTGAAGCAAACAGGGTTAAGTGACTTGGCTAGTGTCACACAGCTAGTAAGTGCCTGAGGCCAGATCTGAACTCAAATCTTCCTGACTCCAGGTCTGGCATTCTGTCCACTGCACCTAGATACCTAATAGATAGTAGGCACTTAATCAATGTGTAGCTTGATTGATTGATTAATTGATTGATACTTATGTCAAGCAACAGGAAACATACCTTCAATTATGGTGAGCAAAAAGTTGTCAGCCCACCACCAGCTGGTAGCTTCATATTTTAATTAATTATTCTTAGTCTAAGTTCTATTTTTCTCTGGTGCTAAAAGATTGTAAGTGCTGTCCACACTGTCTCTATTTGAAACACTTGGGAAAAGCCCAGTGCTTTGCTGTAGTGCCTTTCGAATAATAAGTGCTTAATAAGTGTTTCTTGATTGTTGTCCATCACCCAAGTTATGTCCCACTCTTCAAAATCAGATCATTAAACAAAGTCAATTCTTATTCATACAATAGGATCCCATTTTAATGTGGTTTGTTTTCACACAGATGCCAACATAAAATTAATTTAAGAGCAAGAACTCAATAAAAGGCCAAAGGATAAGAACACACAATTCTCAAAAGAAGAAACAGAAAGCATTAACAACCACATGAAGGGCTGCTCCAAATCACTAATGAGAAAAGAAATGTAAATTACAACAACCTGGGTTTCTTCTTAGAGCCAGAAATTTGAAAAAAATGACAAAATGTCATCTAGTGGACATCTGCCTAGTAGCAGTTGAACTAATTTTCCCTGAAAAGATTAGCAAGAAATTCAAAATCAAAGTTGACCTTGTGTTTAGGCAGAACAGGCAAATGCCTGACATGAGTCATTAAAAAACTATTGGCCCCATCTGACTTATGTCTAAAATTTCTCTGGTCAGAAATTAACATCATTAATATAAGAATTTGATACCGGTTAAGTGCAGATCTTCTAGGAGGTGAGGGATAAAGTGGAGATTTTAAGCTATGATCATCTAGGAACTTAAAAAAAAAGGTACAACCTGGAACCAATCATAATAGTAATAATAAAGATGAAGAAGATAATGATAATTATAATTAACATTTGCATTGTACCATATCTATTGCTTATAAGTAATTAACTGATTAATTAGCTGGTAAGGTAAATTAGAAAAGCTGAAGTATTATTCCCATTTCATAGATGAGGAAGCTAAGGCTCAGTGAGATGAAGTGATTTGTTTATAATTACATGATAGTAGCGGAGCCAAGTCTCAAATTCAAGTCTTTTGATTCCAGGTCCAGTCAGTATTATTTCCATTACTCTGCATTGCCTTTCCAGTGAAGCATGCCCCAAACTTTTCAATTTTGCATTGGCCCAGTTCTGCTTAAACCTTACTGAAATTCAAGCAAGTCAACATAATCTAAAAACTCGAAGGAACCTCTAATCCAGAGCGGACGTAGACATTATCTAATCCAAAATGTACCTAAACAGGAATCTTTTCTATAATATTTCTGATAAGACCTCTGGTGATGGGGAAAGCAGCTTATTCCACTTGAAGGAACTATAATTGTTAGGAAATTTTTTCTTACATCCTACCAAGATAGGCTAGTCTGCAACTCTGCCTTATTGCTTCTGAATTTGTCCTCTGAGACATATAAAAATTAGACTCCTCCCTCTTCCACATTACAACCCTTCAAATTCCTGAAAACACCTATTGTGTCTCTCCCTTGGTCTTTAATTCTTTGGGCTAAACATTCCCATTTTCCTTCAATATGTCGTATTTTTAACTGATCTTGTAAGTGGTTTAATGGTCAGAAAACCAACATGAATGGGCTTGTGGTCTTTTGGAGTTAACATATATTTGTTTTCCCCTTATCACCATGGACAGTGGTGAATTCATCACACTTAACAGAAGACTATACCCGTTAGTTGTTCAGTTATGTCCAACTCTTGGTGATCCCATTTGGGGTTTTCTTGGCAGAGATACTGGAGTGGTTGTTTGGCATTTCCTTCTTCATTTTACAGATAAGGAAATTGAGTCAAACAGGGTTAAAGTAGCTTGCCCAGGGTCACACTAGTAAGTATCTGAGGCTGAATTTGAACTCAGGAAGATGAGTCTTCTTGACTCCAGGCCTTTTACTTAGCTTGTCCTTTTTTAGATATATGACTTTAGTGTCCACTAAATCAGTGACCACACACCCCTAAAATATCACACTAATTTATATTGATCATGTGCTCCAAACTCTAGATTATAGACAAATTTAAATTAAAGATACACATTTTATTTACTTTAGCAATGAAGGATTGATGTTGCCGCTATAACAGGAGAGAGTGTGATATAATACAAAGAGTACTTGATGGACATCAGGAGACTTGAATTTGACTCCCACCTTTGTCATTGAATAGTTGTGTGATCCAGGAAAGTCACCTAATTGCTCAGGGCAGAACCATAACTAGGGTGCTTTCATGAATGATAAGATCATAGATTTAGAGCTAGAAGGAACCTTAGAGGTCATCTAGGTCAAATTCTTCATTTTACAGATGAGGAAACAAGAGCCCAGAAAGGCTGAACAATTTATTCAGTGTCATACAGGCAGTAGGTTTCAGAGGTAGGATTTGAAGCCAGGTCCTAAGGTTCCAGAGCCAATGGTATTCCTACTGTATACAATGCCTAAGGCGCCAAATTTAAAGGGCACCAATTAGTTGGGAACTAACTATATTTGTAATCTTTAGGAATATGGAGACAGTTTATACCTAATTAGCAAGAATAATTTTTTAAAATAGAAAGCTACAAGATGGCAGAATGGAGGGAGCTCTTTTTCACCTGCACCCTGTTTCTCTCGCCAGCCTACCAGTCAGTGAAGCATATTCTGAGCTTCTCACAAGTCTCATGCCACATAACGAGGGCATATATTATGCCCTGGTTTCCACAAGTATGAAGACTCCTAATTACAGGCAATCTCAGAGCCTGTTTTTCTCTAGGTAAAATGAGAGTATTGGGCTTTAGAAGTGATTTCAAAAGTCCCTTCCATTGCAAACATTCTACAACTTTTTTTGGTCTTTGCTGATATTTGTTGTAGTTCAACATATTGGAATTTGCCACCATGCTTACTGTATATCTGATTGGGTAGTAAATATTCCACCAATCAAAGTTTCTGGAGCCATCCAATAGACCAGGAGTAGCCCTTCTCCTCTTTTCCTGTAGTGATCATTTTTATAAATGTCTCTGGCAAGTCCAAAGTCCTTGATTTTCACTATCTGGGATGGACTGGTATAGTGTTTCATTGACACAAGGCAGTTTCAAGTAGCCAGTTTTCTGATGTGGAATGGAAAACCATGAACATAAACCATGATGAGAGCAGAGAGCTAATACAGCAGTTGGGATCCATAGGCCTCACCTTGAAAAATACTCCACCAAAAAACAAGGCCAAGTTTCTGCCTTGACCTTCACTAGGACATAGACCAACAGTTCTCAAACTTTTTGGTCTTATGACCCCTTTATACTCTTAAAAATTCCTGAGGACCCTAAAGAGTTTTTGTTTATGTGGGTCATATCTATCAATTTTTATCATATTACACAACTAAACTGATAAATGTTTTAAATATTTGTTAGTTAATTTTAAAATAATAATAATGAACCTACTACCTATTAATATAAATATTTTTATGAAAAATAACCATATTTTTAAAAATTTCATGAGAAGAGTAGCAGTTTCATATATTATTGAAATTTATAAATTATTGCAAATCAAAGACAGTAGGATTCTCATACCTGCTTCTGCATTCAATCTGTTGCAATATGATGTTTTGTTAGAAGTAATGAAGAAAATCTTGCCTCACACAGATATGTAGTTGGAAAAGGAAAGACAATTTTAATTAGCAAATAACATCTTGACTTCTCAGGCTGTCTTAGGGTTTCAGGGACCCCTGGTCATACAGGGGTACACTTTGAGAATTGTCAAATAAATCACTACAAAAACCTTTTGGGGAGAACTCATCTGTATTCTAATACAAATTTAAGTAATAAATTAATCTTGTATAACTCACTGAAACCTGATGTGAGACCATGGGGCCAGCATTCCTAATAAATACATGTAGATTGATAGCCAAATGGTATTCAGGTAACATTGTACCTGTGGATGAAGTGCAGTTGTTCTAAGTGGACACAACCTTTTGAAATATGTTCACAGATGTTCACAAGGTCATCCAAAATGAGAATAGAACCTCAGAACTACAGGAAATAAAGAGAAACAATAACTTCTAAGATTTTACCCCCAAAAAAATTCCTAAAAAGGACTTGGTGATTAAGACTTAGAATTCAAATAAGAGTGGAATGATTGGTTCACTAAATGTACGCGATCTGTGCCAACACATAATAATGATGATGATTATAGCTAGAATTTCTATAGCATTTTAAGGTTTTCACAGCACTTTACACAAGTTAACTCATTTGATCTTTACAACAACTCTGTGAGGTAAATGCTATTGCTATCTCCATTTTGCAAATGAGGAAACTGAGACACAGAGAGGTTAAGTGACTTGCCTAGGGTCACATAGATAGTATCTAAGGCTAGATTTAAACTTGAGTTTAAATAATAAGTCGAGCTGATAACCATGCTCTAAATCTATGATCTTATGATCCTAATTGGATCCCTTCATAAATAATTCCCAGACTCCAGCTGTATTTTTGTTTGTTCTTCTACTCTCCATACTCCTATTAAATTTCTGTACTTTAGTACTTGACTGTATTGTTAGTAACAATCCATAAGAGAAATGATGTGGACAGTACGCATAGTTTCTTATCTTATATTTCTGATGTAAAAATAAGCAGATCCTACTTTTTCATAGCTATACGACATTAGTCTGTCATGGTATTTGGGCTACTTCTCTTCAAAGGAGTAACTAGCACAAGGAAAATGCCTTGACTGCCTATATTCTAGAAGTGTACTTCCTTTCTAGGAGGGTGTTTTGTTCCCCATGGTGACTACCATGTTTTGTCTCAGTCTTCTGCTGGCCCATGTCACTGCAGTGTAACCATCAACCTCAGGGTCCTGTCACTGTAACACTCCCTCCCCCTTGAACCTACCTCTCTTTCAACTCCCAAAGGGGCAAGAGCTTAACCATCCCTCTCCCAGCATGAGTGCACCTATGATTAAACTCTACTCTGGACCACCATCAATTCCCCAAATCCTAAATTCCAACTGTTTTTAACCCAAGTAAAAACATTTCTAGTTATAGTTCTACTTCTCTTACTTTTTCTCATTTATTTTTATGTCAGAAATATAAAGCAAGCAACCACTTACATTATAAAAATGAGCAAAGTATCCCAGGAAGGGATTAAGTGCCTTCTCCAAGTACAAGTGGCAAATTTGGACAGATCTCTTACAGAGTTGGAGAAATCAGCACTTTGAATGTCAGGGCACTCTGCTGCTCTTAAGAAAATAAATAGTAGGCTCACATTTCTTCAAAATGTCAGAAATGTGAGGTCAGTTTTCTAATGGGCCTAATCTAGTGAGCACCTGAAAGCAAGGTAGCAGTACATTACAGAACAGTCTGTAGAAAACAGCATAGCACAGTGGAAAGAATCCAAGGCTATCACTCATCCTGGAGACCCAGATAAGGCATTTAACCTCTCTGGGCTTCAGTTTCCTCATTTATAAAGTGAGAGAGTTGACTGGATGATCTATAAAGGTCCTCCCTGATCAATGTTACCATGTAATGTATGAGTTCGAAACTCAACCAGCTTTCAGACTTTTAACAATACCAGCTTGGGACTTTTACAGGGCAGGAATCAAAGTCAATGAGTAAATATGAATTATCTCCAATTCAAGACCAACACTTTGGACCATATTTCCTACCATTGCTGTGTATGCTTTGCATAAGTATGTGAGAAGTGCTCCTCCTTCTGTCAGTTACATGATGATATATTGGGGTTCACTGAACAAACTATGGGTTGTTTCAAAATGTTGGAGTGATCAGACTCTCTGAGGAGATACAGGCATAGGTCATTCTCATTAAAAAAAAAAATGACACTAAAATTCCAAGCCTCTAGAAGCTATTTAAAACACCTTAATTTTCTCTGAAGAGTATTTCACCATCTCCAACCCCCGATTTGTTTCCTCTTATAAATGAAAGCTTTGTATGCAATATACTGGTCTTGGTCTGTATCCTTAAGAAGGTATATAACACCCCCTAGTGGTCACTGGTGTTTATAAAATGTGTTGATTCCTTAGAACAAACCAAAACTTTGCCCAAAGATTTCAACCTTGTGAAGAGAAAAATGCATTCTTCGAGTTTCCCCAATATCTTTCATGCCAGGATCTTGAAGCGAAAGGCTCTTTAGTTCTTCAAAATATGAAGTATATCCTATTTTGTCATCATTATATAGAAGGGCTAGGAGACTTTCCCAAAATATGAAAGCAAGCAAAATAGCAGTAATATTCTTTCATTCTTGTTTCTAAATAGGATTAGAACTTGTAATTCCCAATTTCCCTTAGCCATTACTTCATGATTTCTCTGATTGCTGAACTAGCATGATATCTATAGGTAGTTTCCATTGCTTCAAATTCATTTCTAAGAAAGGAGGGTGGTGTCTGTATGTGTCTGTCTGTGTCTGTGTTTTACTGCCAAAAATATTACTGTTTATAGAAATCTTGCAACAAAGTCATAACTAGCATGGGACAAATGAGGTTTTGTTTCTGGGCACTGATATCACAGGGGTAGGAAGAGGAATAGTTCTATCCTAGGGTGAGAGGTATGCATTCTTTTCCCTCAACACCTTCTCACAGTCCTATCTACCACATAGCTCAACTATACCAGGGCCATCAATCCTGGTATCTGTTCAATCTGGTGCCCATTTCTGGGCATTCCTGTAGGATAAAGACCAGACTTCTCACTCTTATTGTGAAACTGTACCTGTAGTAAGAATATTTTCTGGGTCACTACCACTTTTTCAGACCACTACTCCTTCCTCCCCCAGTTTCAATGATTTTTGTTTCAGGTGAAAAAATTCCTAGTTACAACTCTACCTTGCAGATGACTACTATTCTTCAATTTTTACCGGCACCATCTATGCTCACTAGGACACTCTTAACTATCTTTTCCTGTTTTTCTCATTTTCATCTGTTTAAGGAAACACAAGACCTTGCTAACAGTTCACTAACTTCAGAAGTTCAACACATACACAAATTTTCCTTCAAATGAACGAGAAGACAAGAAAAGGAAGGATCAAATTGATGGAATTTCAGTTCTTTTAGACCTACTGAGTGATTTCCAGGCACAGAACACTCCCTTGTCTCTTGCCGTGTTTATTATTGGTGTGCTCTATTGCCTCCATTCACTTAAGATATGAAAAATGATCCAATACACAGATAACCCAACAGGCTTCCTGAGTGTGTCAAAGGAAAACTAGTTTCAGAACTGTTGCCTCATCAAGTGTGCCCCCTTCAGGAAGTCAACCTTCTCTTGGGCCATTGAGCCTTTCTTTAGAGTCTGCTCAGTATAAGATCAAATGACTAGTTAGTGTAACTTGATCCCTATCAGTAACTTACCCTGATGGAAGTATAATGGATTAATGTCAATCCTTCTTTGTAGTACCCATGCTTAAAGCAAAAGGAAAGTTTGCTTAAGAAAGCATATTGGGCTAGGAAAAAAAGAAGTTTCAGATAAAATGTCTGATATTTTGTACTAAGTGTGCCAAAAGAAACTAATTGCAAAGATACCAGGCTTGGTTATTAGCTGGTCATTTCTTTATTTAAAAAAAAAACTTTCACTATCCTTTTACAATGCGCAGCTCCTTGACGAAGAACTGTTCTAAAGTCAATTAAATTTGAGTCAGCAAACATTATTTAGTGCCTATTGTGTTCAAGGAACTGAACTAGGCACTAGCAACTCAAACTATCCAGTTTTCCCCAAAATGGTAGGCTTTTGGCTGGCATGGAGTAAAGAAAGGATAGAACGTTATGAGAAAAGAAAGATTTTTTTATTTTAAATTTCAGTTCTTTAAAATAAATTATTTATATAACAGGGTAACTACTATGACAGTGTGGGATAGTGGATCCATGTTAAACATGACATCAGGAAAACCTGGGTTCAAATACTGTCTCTTAACTTGGGTAAGTTATTTAACCTCCATGGGCCTCTGTTTCCTCCTCTGTAAAATAAAGATACTAGATGGCTAAGTAGTTTTCTTGCTATGTTGCCCTAGGTATTGAAATTCCATTTTTAATCAGTTTCGTAAAACTGAGATTCCTTCTGGCTCTAATTCACTTACTAGCTGTGTGACCATGGACAAGTCATTTCAATTTTCTAAGCATCATGTAACTCTGTAATGCTATATTACAGACATATCTGAATCTGTTCAGTGGAAGATTTTCTCGCACTGGCAAAATCACAGATCCTTGATATAGAACTATTCTAAAATCAGTTAAGTTCAAATCAATAAATGTTTATTAAGTACTACTATATTTGAGGCACTGACTGTACTTAGTAGTAGAGGTACAGACAAAAACAAAACAGTCATTGTTACCAAGAAGCTTATGGTCTACTGAAGAGATACATCTATGAACAGATAAGGAAATAGAAGCCAGTTTGAGGGGTAAGAGTCCTAATAACTAGGAATATCAGAAAGATTTTGTGGAAGAGGTGGTATTTTAGTTCATCTTTGATAATACAGTAGTACAGAAATGAAAAAAAATACATTATACTAGGTCTGGCCCTCAGCAAAATTACAAAATAGATAAAGTTTGGATTAAGCAGTTCTTATTCCTCTTTCCAAAGCTCTCCTTCTCTCCTTGGACTAAATATAAACTTTGGTATATTTTTCCCCCAGCCCCACATCTAGCTGGTGCTGTTTTGTTGGTCAATTATTTCAGTCATGTCTGACTCTTCATGACCCCATTTGGGGTTTTCATGGAAAAGATGCTGGAGTGGTTTGCCATTTCCTTCTCTAGCTTACTTTTACAGGTAAGGAACTGAGGCAAAAAGGGTTAAGCGATTTGTCCAGGGTCACACAGCTAGTAAATATCTGAGGCCAGATTTGAACTCAGGAAGATGAGCCTTCCTGATTCCAGGCCTGGCACTCTTTCCACTGCTCCACCTACCTGCCCCTAGCTGGAGCTAGAGATGCTTAATAAATGTTGATTGAATGAGTGAATCCCCTGACACCATAATCCAATGCTTTTGTGCTATGTTCTGGATACCTGGGTATTGAACTTTCCCTATTTAACCCATTTTCTAGAACTTTCTTCTATCCTCACTCTCATAAAAACTTACCTGGTTTGCAGTTTAGCTCTTGTTGGGTGACACTTGGTGTTAATTGCTTGATCATAAAAATAATTTGTATTCACATATCTGCTGATTGACAGTCATAGGATCATAGCATTTAAAGCTGGAAGGCCCCTTAGAGATTATCTATTTGAACCTCCTCATTTTATAAATGTGAAAACCAACCTGGAAGGTTGCCTGCCCAAATTTACATAGGTAATAAGTAGAAGACTTAGGGTTTGAATCTAAAATTTCTGACTCTAAATCCAGTGCTTTTACCACGATACAACTCTATGTCCCAAATAAAAACAGTTGAACCCACAAAAAGGTATATGTCTCCAGAAGGATCCCACAGAGTAGGAAATTTAGAAACTATGGTATGAAATTATGACATACCTCAACAGTTGGCCCCTTAGGCACCCCCTCAAAGTGTGTCATGACTTTTGAGCTCTGTATAGGGTTAGCTACATGCTTACATTTTCATTTTCATAGAACTTTTTGCTTTTTGAAGAATGAAACTTCATGTGAACTTACCTAGAGCTAACCTCTCTTCTGCCTCTGATAATTCCTTTAGTAAGCTATAAGTTTGTTGTTGTTCAATTGTTTTTTCAGACATGTCTGATTCTTGGTGACCCCCATTTGAGGTTTTCTTGGCAAAGATATTAGAGGGGTTTGTCAATTCATTTTCCAGCTCATTTTACAGATGAGGAGATTGAGGCAAACAAGGTTAAGTGACTTGCCCAGGATCACACAACTACTACGTGCCTGAGGCCAGATTTGAACTCAGGAAGGTGAGTCTTCCTGACTTCAGGACCTATGCTCTTACCTACTGTGCCACCCAGCTCCCCAAAGCTTTATCTTCACTGCTATTTTGATGTCTTTGCTTCCAGAACCTACAATATCTTTTGCTGTCCCTTCAAATGCCTTTCCAAAGGTCCCATTTCTCAGCAAGAGATGCAGAGTCAGCTTTTCCCGAGAAAAGGAAAGAAGATATTCAATCTCTTATTGGGTCAGAAGAGTCCTGTGAAACAGTAATGTTGGTGTTCTCTCAAACAGACCTGATACGTATGTTCATGGATGTGTGTGTGTGTGTGTGTGTGCATTAGTGCATGTATCATAGGATCATAGATTTAGAGCTGGAAAGCATCTACAAGGACACCAAGTCTCACCCTTACATGTGAGGAAAATGAGGTGACATGACTTGCCTAAAGTCACAGAACTAGCAAGTATTTGTAGCAGATTTGAAACCAGCTCTTTCTGACTTCATGACTAATACTCTAGGTATAGCCTTCAGAGTTAGAAAAAGAGAATCTATCATTTGAAATACCCCGGCCTCCTGACTTTATGTTTAGTGCTGCATTCTATGAAATAGAATGGGGATTCAGCAACTGGACATTCTCATCTTTACTCTGCCTTTTATTACTTAAAAAAATGCTTTTTTTTTGAAAAAAATTGCTTTTGGGTACTTTTATTTTTGAAACCAGAACAAAAAATGAATATTCACAATTATTTGCCTGCTGCTGTTGTTACTGTAGGTCATTTTGTTAAATAATATGTAGAAGTTGATTGATATTAAGATTTTCCAGTTTTCTGGTTGATATCTTTTTTGTCAAAAGCAATTGTGCATACCTCTGCAATCTCTCAGCAATAAATGGAGCTGGATTAGCCAGTGAAAAACCTGGAGTCAGAAGAATAGAAATAATTGTTGAAAATCCTACTGGTTCATGTACAAACATATTTATAGCAGCTCTTTTTGTGGTGGCAAAGAATTGGAAATTGAGGGGATGCCCATTAACTGGGGAATGGCTGAACAAGTTGTGGTATATGAATGTAACAGAATACTAATGTTATACAAGAAATGATGAGCAGGTGTGTTTCAGAAAAATCTGGAAAGACTTATATGAACTGATGCTGAGTGAAATGAGCAGAACCAGGAGAGCATTGTATACAGTAACAGTGACATTGTGCAATGATCAATTTTGATAGACTTAGCTCTTCTAAGCAATGTAATGATCTAAGACAATTCCAAAAGGCTCATGATGAAAGATGCCATCCACATCCAGAGAAAGAACTATGGAGTCTTTGCTACATAGTGAATGCATAGCATACATTAGCCAGTACTACTCCAGCCAGTACCCTCAGTTCTGCCAACTCTTTGATTTCATTAACAAAATGTGTCACTCCTTCCTGAAGAGTCATTTTTTATTCTTTAATCTTCTATACGTAATTGCAAAATAAAAAATCAACAATTTCATGATTAATTCAAAATTAATTAAATTAAAATGAGGCAAATTCCCTTTAGAAAACCAAGTTTATAATATCAACAAAATTAAAATATATATTTAATACTAAATATCAACAGAAATTATGAAAAAAATACTTAATACTAAAGGTTGATATACATGAACTTTTTTTCAGGGGGAGGGCTCTAGATCTATGATTTTGTTAGCTATTGATAACTTCTTATGTGAAAACTCTCTCCAGCAATGAAGATAGATAACTCATTTGTAGCTTTTTTTTTAGTCTTAGAGAGTTGTTTTGAGATTCAGAGGTTAAATGACTTGCCCATGGACACACAGTCTATATATATATCAAAGGTAAAACTTGCACCCAGATCTTCCTTTCCCCATGAACTTCTCTCTCTCTCTCTCTCTCTCTCTCTCTCTCTCTCTCTCTCTCTCTCTCTATATATATATATATATATATACATATATACACATATATATACATATATATATATATACATATAACATATTGACTCTTGGGAACCAGAAGCACTGAATAAAATAAGAGAACCTGATTGAAAACTTTACCCTGAATAGAAAATCCAATTCAGTCTAAGTACAGAGAGAGATATACAGACAGAAATATAATGTGCAATTTTTCCTATTGAGGTTTAATGAAGACATTGATTCTCATTTCTTAGGGTGAAGTTGAATATATTTGATAAATAAAATGTATGATACCTGAATTTTGTTTATCTCCAAGTGAGATGAACATGATGTTAGGAGTTACTTCTTTAAACTGCCAAGTATATTTCTCAAACTACCAAGAAATAAGCTCAAAGTTAGTCACCCTCCTAGCAGTTTATCTGCAACCAGAGGAAGGAGAGTTGATAGGCTGCATGGCACAAAGGAAAGAACTTTGACTCTGGACTCAGAGCACCTGGGTTGATATCCTACTTTTAACATAGCTACTACCTTTGTGACTTTAAGTATATTACAACCTCCCTGGATTTGGGCTTCCTAATCTATAAAATGAAGGGGGATTGGATTAACTGGCCTCTTAGGTCCCTTCCAGCTCTAAATCTATGATTTTATGATCATTCTAAGTCTACAAGATTGATGGGATGGGGCATGTCTTCTTTTGGCACTATACCACTCAGATTACATGATCAGCATTTACATCAACACATCAGAGATCTATAATTTCATCCCTGTAAGAACATTGTCCATTGAGGAAAGTCATTGATGACTCAGTAGATAGTCTTATACAGACACCTGAGGCTTTCAGGGAGGTTACATCATTTGCCCATGATCATACTAGTAAATGTCAGAGGAAAAGATCCAACTAGGAATTCCAGCACCTGGAGCAAATTCAGTGGGGAGTGGAGGGTGGAGATAGTATGAGACAGAGACTCCAGGACACTCTGAAGACAGGGCACCGCCACTGCCACTGATACCAGCCTCCCTTTTTGGCATGGTTCCCCAGGCCAATCAGGATACAAGCATAGTGGCAGGACAAGATAGCTTTGAGATATAGGCATGATGGCAGCAGGACCCTGAAAGACAGGAAAAGGTTCATGCTCCCCTGAGGGCACCGACATTCAAGAGGGCACACTTATTTTACATAGTAGACCTCCCTTTGCTGAATTTACTAGGGGAAGCTTGCTCCCCTCCTCCAGAGAGGGTTTGCCCCCAACTCATGTGTGTTTGCTAGGACAAAACAACAATTGCTCCAGGATGGTTACAGTTCGAGTTACAAGCAGGATTTGAACCTAAGTACTCCTGCCTCCAAGTCTAACATTCTCTCTACAGCATTGCACTGATTCATGGTTAATGAATGGTTACCTGGTTAACCATGGTTAACATGGTACTGCATGTACATTATCTCCCACCTCATGGAACATCACATAATGAATGGTAAGATAAGGAAAGTTATAAAACTCCTATCATTTACACCATTCTCAACTTTGAATGCTCTTCTACCCAAATCCTACCTGTTCTTCAAGGCCTTATATAAGCCCCAACTCCTCAGTGAAGTCATTCCTCCCTTCTTTCTTCTTCCTCTATGCACATGTTACTTTTACCATTCATTAGTTATTTTAACCTACTGACCATGAGAGTATTGAGTCTAGTAATATACATTGTATTGCTGCATTATAATCTTATTTAATTTCCCATGTTATCATAACCTTATCTCTCCAGGTAAAAGGTAAAGGTAGTATGCTATACTTTTCCCTTTCAGTGTCTAGTACTAGAGGTACATGGTAAGTACCCAATAAATATTTGCTGAATTATGTCAGTTGGTTATCAAGGAGTTCACACACTATGAGATATAATGTGAAGCTAGTATACTGATCATAGCATTTGAGAAAAGCTAACATGGGCATTAGATGTACTCCCTTAGTATAAGATAGGATATCACTCCTTCATTTCTAAATGGATTGCAGCTGTATATGTACAAATATTGCTGCTAAGAGACAATGAGAGACAGCACAATGTAGTGGTTAGAAAACTGGCCTTGAAAGACCTATACTTTTTCTTTTGCTAGGCAACGAGATTAAGTGACTTGCTCAGGATGACACAGCTAGTAAGTGTTATATGTCTGAGGCCAGGTTTGAACTCAGGTCCTCCTGACTCCAGGGCCAGTGCTCTATCCACTGCACCACCTAGCTGCCCCCAGAGGAGACCTATTCTTAAGCTTTTGATACATACTGGCTGTGTGACCGTGGGCAACTCACTTAATCTCTCAATGCCCCAGGCAACTCTATGACTTTAAGTTTCAGAACACGTATAGCCTTGCTAGAGGGAATTTCTTTCATAGGTGTTTCCTATACCAATAAGATCATATATTGATGTCTGGAAAAGAGAACCTTAACCCACAAGGCAAATTTCAAAATAATCCTGATATTCGTTGTTTCATTTACCTAACCCTGACTCATGTGTGCCCATCTATCCCAATAAAACACTTACATTACAACCTTTAGTTTTCTAATTTGGAACTATGCCCAAAGGGCTATAAAATTGTGTATACCCTTTGACCCAGCAATACCACCACTAGGTCTGTATCACAAAGTGATCATAAAAAAGGGAAAAGGACCTACCTGCACAAAAATATTTATAGCAACTCTTTTTGTGGTGGCAAAGAACTGGAAATTGAGGGGGTGCCCATTAATTGGGGAATGTTTGGACAAGTTGTGGCATATGAATGTAATGGAATACTATTGTTCCATAAGAAATGCTGAGCAGGCAGATTTCAGAAAAACCTGGAAAGACTTATATGAACTGATGCTGAGTGAAATGAGCAGAACCAGGAGAGTACTTGACACAGTAACAGCCACATTGTGCAATAATCAACTTTGATAGACTTGGCTCTTCTTGGCAATACAATGATGTAATGATCCAAAAGACTCATGATGGAAAATACCATCCACATCCAGAGAAAGAACTATGGAGTCTGAATGCAGATGGAAGCATACTATTTTCACCTTTTTTTTGTTTGTTTTTTATTTCTCTTAGTGTTTCCATTTTGTTCTGATTCTTCTTTCACAACATGAATAATGTTGAAATATGTTTAATGTGATTGTACATACATAGCTATATCAGATTGCTGGCTTTCTTGGGGAGAGTGAAGGGGAAGGAGGGAAGGAAAAAAAAGTTTGAAACTCAAAATCTTATGAAAGTGAATGTTAAAAACTTTTTTACATGTAATTGGGAAAAAATATACTACAACCCTTTGCTCTCTACCCCCATGGTAAATAATATCAAGAAAGGCAGGATTATTAAACACACATACACACCCACACACACACACCTTTGATAATGAATAAAAAGAGTTGGCTTTTCAGTACAGAGAAAGTCAGATACCCCATGTGATATTTTAGAAGCAGAGAGAGGTATCTGGAATTTTCTCATATTATTTCCATATTCCTGTGGGTTGGATGAGTGAAGATGAGGGAATAGCCAAGCAAAGGGCAGATGAAGGATTCTCCTAGGTAATATTCCTTCCTCAATAGGAAAGTACACAAGCAGTCAAGTCTCTATATGCCAAATGCCAAATAGACTGCAGTCATATGTGTAATTCTGGAGAGACCGGCTTAGTGGTATAAGCATCAGCTGTGCAATACTTAGACTCACTGGAACCACAGGCTAACAGCCTGCCAAAGTCAGCTGAAGCTTTCAGTTAGCTGAATGGAGTGCCATACGATTTATCAGATGGAATCTTTCAGATTAAATATCTCAACTCAAGATTCTGTCTGCCCTGAAGGCTTGCTAAAGATTCCATTGGGCTTTGGAAGAAGAGCATAGAACAAGAGACCAGGGTGAAATATCTCTGACCTCTCAGAGAGTCTGCCTTACCCCCATAGCTATCAGCTTACTATTTTAACCATCCTCTAAAAGTGACATGTATTTATAAACAAAATAGGTCATCTCCTCTAAAACCTGCGATGGAGAGAGACTTTCTAGTAAGTTAAGCTTTCTTTGTGCAAAATAGGGTGTCCTCTCAAAGGGCTGCTTTGAATCAAGATTAGTTCTGAAACTTGGTAATCACCTTCAACTGGTTATAAATTACCGAATTACAGAATTGGAAAAGATCTTAGAGATTGATTATTCCCTTATTTTACACTGCAGGATATTGAGGTCAGATAAATGACCACACCGGATCACCCCACTAGTCTTTCCTCTCCAAACATGATCCTGGACTTCCAGCCGATATAAACTATGCACCTTCAAAATTAAAATATAAAGCCTTCAGAATCATTACACTGATTGAAAATTAATGGTTAAAGAGATTTTGACTTCACAAAATTCCTGACAAATTATAACTCAGCAAGGGGCTAAAAGAAATATGTCAAAAGCTGAAAAAATAAGAATAGGTAACACATGAGGAGTAAGCAGGTTCTCTATAAAGTAGTTGTGTCCAAAATAATTTCACAATCTGGGCTGCATTCAGCAAGATTAAATTTGTCCTGAGGGTTTCTAACTTGTCTTCCATTTAATCTTTTAATTTCTTTTTAATGTAGAGCAGTTAATCTTTTACCAATCCCTCCTCAAACCTAGAATATAACCGCAAGGTGTTAATGAGGCCATAAACTAACTGTCAAGAAGCATCTTAGTATAGTCCATGGCTTAATAAATGCTTGACTGTAGACTGCAGAATGATCCTTTTGTGAGGTGTGAACAGCTTTTTATGACCAGTTAAGGAGAAGAAAATGGGATTGAATGAGCAAATAAACTAGCCAGATCCCTGGGGGCTTTAACTAACTAAGCCTTAAGGAGTTTCAGAAAATCCTGGAAGCTACAAAAAGCTAGAAGAAAAATCCGGCCCTTGAAAGGGAGTCACTCTTGTTGGGAAGATGAGAGTTTGGGTTGCTTTGAAACCCTACCATTCAACCGATAGGAGATAATGGATACATAGTAGGGAGCAGAGACACATTCTACGGACAGATAATGAAATAGAGCCAGTCTCTCAAGTGAAGAAGCAAGATGAAGCAATGGGAGCCCTGAGCATGCCAGCTGAGCAACCTACCCGACAGAGATGCTGTACCTAAGGGGACCTACAGCACCAAAAATTATGAGTTGCCTTTGCCACACCTGTATCTTACATGAGTTCCTCACTACCATTGTACTCTGAGTTTGAACCCACTCTTTGCATGGATGTGGTATGTGTGCTTGTGATAGTGTACATCTCAGATTACAAATCTGGAGAGAAAGTTTCTTAACTATTGTTCACTGAGAACTAAGTATGTGTGTTGGTGTTTGTTAACGGGCAGCACACCATTGAGCACTCATGAGCTATAGTATTAGGAGTGTAGAGTCACAGGGTTACTTCTAGAACAGAGGTGGAAGCCCCTTTGGGAACTCAGCCTTCAAGTATGAGTACAAATTGGAGTACCCTGGGTGGGGAAGATGAGAGTTACATCTTTTTTCTTTTATCTCAAATTGTAAGCATTAAAACATTTACTGTATAGTATAGGGAATCAGAAACTTTTTTTAAAATATACATAATAAAAGGGGAGAGGGGATAAGCATTTAAATAGTGCCTACTATGTCAGGCACTGTATTAAGCACTTTATCTCATTTGATTGTTACAACAGCCCTGTGAGGTAGGTGATGCTATTATCCTCATCTTACAGTTGGGGAAATTGAGGCAAAGAGAGGTTAAGTCACTTGCCCACAGTCACATAGCTAATAAATATAAAATCTAAGACCAAATTTGAAATCAGGTCTTAGTAGTAACTGGCTCTGGCCTTTTCAAAAGTTGTTTCCCTTCCTGACAGGTCTCCCTTAAGAAAGTGAAATGTAAATGGTAATGTGCAAATTGTGAAGAACTCTCCTTCTATTGGATACAGGAAGCAGAATTTGGTGTTAGTGAAAGAATATGTGTATTTCTGTTTGTTTTATTTCTGTTTATATTTCTGTTTATTGTTTATTAATTTCAATTAAGTTATATGCCTCTGTATGGGATCAAACAAACCAAAAAACAAAACCACCTTTGGTGATCAAGGTACAAAGTGCCCCCTATTAACTCTATCTACTATACTTGCAAAGGGCCAAAAGGTAAAAACAACAAGGAGTACCTCAGTAAGAATGGCAACTATAACACTAGCCTCTGGAACCCAGAAAGGATCTAATGAAACAAAATGAAGAAAAGAGTAATTTCAGAATACAAGTCTAGGTATTCCCACTTTTACTCCATTGGTCTGAAGAGCAACAATGCCTTTTCCTATGTACCCAACCTTCTCCTTGAAAGAGACAAGTGAAATTCATTCATGCATTCAATTCATTTAGTAAGCATTTATTAAGTGCCGGCTGGGTACCAGGCCCTGTGCTAGGCACTGGAAATAGAAACAAAAACCCCAAAGTAGTTTTGCCCTCAAGGGACATACAGTCTCCTGGGGAGATAAAATCATTTACACAGATAAATATATGCATCATCATTTCAGGAGACTGATGTTAGTAACAACTATAGGGACTTAAAAAGACTTCTACAGGAAGAGGCACACGAAATGGGCTTTGAAGGGAACTAAAGATTCCGTGAAGTGCAAGTTTATTCCAGATACGAAGGAGGAGTCTTTTAAAAGGCATGGAGGGAAGAGATAGAGTGCCAAGTTTGGACAAGAGAAAGTGAGCCAGTTTGGCTAGACTGTGGAGTATATAAAGGGGAATGATATGAATTAAGTCTAGAAAATAGGCAAGAGTCATAATGAGGAGAATTTATTTCAATGAACTTAGAATAAAGAAGATACAATCTTTCTACATATGTATATCTGCCCATAGATATGTAAATATATACAAATTCATATTTATGTATAATTGGCATTATGTTTCTCCCATGTTATTTTATGCAGATGAATTTAGCACTGAGATTGTCTGAAATTGATATCTCCAAAGATCAAAAATGTTCTCAAATTATTTTCATAGTATACAAATATAAAGTCAACCAATCAACCACCCAATTATCTACCAAACACCTTCCAGTACTGTATTCATAGGCACTTAACAGACACACAAAAATGGCAGAGGCCGTGCTGTCTACCATCATAACTAACAAAACAGAACTAATGTGCATAGAACAATGAGACAAGTTGTTAAACTTAACTCTTATTGACTAAAGTACTGTAGGAATTCACTGAAGAGATAAGTGTAAACAGGAATACTTGGGGAAGACTTCATGGAAGAGGTGAGACTAGTTAGGTCTTAAAGGTTGAGTATAATATGAGAGGAGAATGAAAGTCATTCCAAGCATGGAGGAAAATACATAGCTAGAAATGACCTAGAAATAATGAGATCTAGCATAGACTTGGTGTTTGAAGGGTTGTGGTCAAGTCACGGTTCTGTCTTTCACTTGATAGATGACTTTGGGCAAGTCTCTTAACCTCTCTGAAAAGGCTAATATTTATACTCACATAGGGTGGTTATAAGAAAAACAGCTTGTAAGGCTGTTACTGCATTACATAAATATAGACTATTATTATTATTGTTCTGAGATATTGAAGAGAAAGAAATTTGCCTTGCCTAAGTGTAAGGTACATATTGGGGAATAGTAATGAGAAACCAGGTTGGATGAGTTGGAAGTCAGGTTGGATAAGGACTGAAAGTTAGGGGAGGCCTCAAAAGTCAATGGGATGAGTTTGGATTCCCTAATCTGTCATTTGCCGCTTTCCATGGTCTAATAAGTCTTGTTTCACTTGACTCCCCTTCTCACATATTGTGTTCCAGTCACATCGGACTATTAACTGTTTCTCTATCTCATCCTATATTGTCTTACCTCCATACAAACCATCCCACCATATCTAAAGCACGCTCCCTCCTCATCTCCCTCTGTTTTCACTTGATGTGGACCTTAATGGAAGAGAAGGATTCTTCCTCCTCCAAGATGTCTTCCCTGACCCCCCCCCACCATGGGAAGTGATCTCTACCTGATTAAAATCCTTATAGTACTTTGGATTTCTCCCTTACCTTTATCACATTCTTTCTCCTTTCATATTCATTTCTATGTATGCCTTATCTTTCCTTATTAGATCATAAGGCAGGGACCACATTGTTTTTCAGCTTGGCATCTCTAGCACTTGGCATAGTGCCCTTCACATGGTAGGCACCTAAAAAATCCCTGTAGGGATCCATTATACATTTTTGAGCAAGGGAGTATCATGATGAAAATTGGATTTTAGGGAGATTAACAAAGCACAAGTACTCAGGATACACTGTAAATGAAATCAGAATGAGCAGAGCAGACACGAGCATGTACTTGTTACTTTACTTTTGTGTAATTGCTTAATATGCACACATGTGCATGCATACACACACACATTCAAAGTACCTTGAACCAATGAAATCTTATCTCTGATATCACTGTATTCACCAAACCGCAGGCTGTTTGTTGCTACTGCTCAGAACTAAATATTTCTTCTAGGACCTTTGACTTCCACATGCAAATACTCCCACAGGGCCCATTAAATGCCATCTTCCATGCTAAGCCCCATTCCTGTGAATTGTTCCAACTCCCTTTCCTACAAGGGGAACAACAGAAAACAACAAATATAGCAAGCATACACGGCAACGTGTGTGTTATTTCTGGACACTCATACATCATTTCGGTGACATAAGTCCAAAGACTCTCTTGTTGCACACTCGACACTCGGCCTCATTCCACTCACATGGTTTGGCTGTAGAACACAGCAGGGTCTTGAAAAGCACTCCAGCAATGCACACGGTCATGCAGCATAGCCTAGCCAGGAAAATTAAGTGTAATTGATGATGAAGAGAGGATACTTTTTTCCTACTGTTAGAAGGCATAACTTTGCTTAAGAATTTAAAGCAATAGAGTCACTTATTCCATCAAAACTAGTAGACTTTGACTTATCTCTTCATCAGTGACACCATTGTTGGCTCCAAGTTACCATTTCTGGCTAAGTGGTAGGGAAGATGTAATCTAACTAGCATCATTCTGCTAATTCCAGAATCCACTGCTTCCTTTTTTATTTTCATACTAATTCTGTTTTTAAAGGAATTTAGTTTGGTTTATACATCTATGAAAAAAGGAGCAAGAATTGGTTCAGAACATTCTCTATACTGGGTATGATAGAGCACTAGATCTGAATTCAGAGGACCTGGATTTTGAGTTTCAGTTATGTCACTTATTAACTATGTGACCTTGGGCAAATCACTTTACTGCTTAGAGCCTCAATCTCCTCTTTCATAAAATGGGTTAATAATGCTTGCACTATTTATCTCACTGGACTGTTATTAGGACCAAAGTACTTTATAAGCCTTAAAGCTCTATATGAATCTAAGTTTTTACTATTATTCTCAAACTGAAAGTTCTATGGCCTGAATCATAGAAAAGTCAAGCTGTAATGTTAACAAAGGTTAGCCAATCTTAGATTTAGTATTAGAAGGGACCTTAAAGGTTGAAAGGGCCAAATTTCTCATTTCATATATGAATCAACTAAATCAACTATGAAACAACCAGATATGTTAAGTCAGGGATTCTTAACTTGGGTCTGTGAACTTTTTTAAAAAATATTTTGATGACTATTTCAATATATCTGGTTTCATTTGTAATCCTATGTATTTTATCTTATGTATTTAAAATATTATTCTGAGAAGGGGTTCCTTAAGTTTCATGAGACTACCAGAGGCCCAAAAAAAGTTAAACACTCCTGTATTAAGTGATTTGCCCAAGACAAGTAAGTAAGTATTTGCCCAAGGTAGTAAATAGAAAAAAGCCAAGATTAGAACTCAGGTCCTTTGACCTACAAATCCAGAGTTGTTTCCACTGCAGCAGAGTTCTAAGCCCTTTAACAATTGAGAACCTTTCAGCCCATCAAAATTCATTCCCTGAGCTAACATGTAAAACAATCTTTTTAGATCCCTGTACCACTCCAGGATAGGTGTGCAGTATAAGGAGTATTCAGTACAAGCCCCTTGAAAACAGCATCTGTTTCATCTCTCTCCTGATCTCCCTAGCATCTAACACAGTGCTTTGAATATAGTGTCATTTAATAAATGTTTCTTGAATTGAAATACAGTGAAAAAAGCCTACTTTGTTATAGGCTTAAAATGTTGCAATTTAGATAAGCCATCTCCAAGAAACACTCTCTGATTTATTCAGTCAGTAATGATTTCTTTCTCCTCTGAAATAACTTTATGCCTATCTTACTATACTTTCACACTCTATATCATAGCATTTGTAAACATCTTGTCCTACTACTGGACTAAGTTTTTGAGGGTTCCCAATTCTTATTCTTCTTTGCATTCTCCACAAGGTCTTGAACATATGAAGCACTCAATGCATATTTGTTGAATTGAAATCCATCAAAAGAAAGAACCTTGTACCAATTTGTAAGAATATTTTAGTCACTTACCTCCAGAAATCTGGAATATGAGTGGTATCACAGATCACCAGAGAAACCATAACAGATCTTAACCAAAATATCTTGACCAAACAAGTTTGCTGAGCTATTTAGAAGACTACACTTCATTCATCTGTCTAGTAAAGTGACGCTCAGGTCTTGGAGGTTGAGATTTGGGGTACTGAGGATGCAATACATGTTTAATTCTTTAAGATGCTACTCGATGGGAAAGGATGACAGAAAGATGGGTACTTGCCAGAACTATGCTGTGATTCTGGTGGGTGACACAAACAGAAGGAGTGACCAGTGACCACTTACAGGCAGGGGCCCTATAGTTCTAAATTCTCTTGGCTCCTCACAAAAGAAGATGGCCAAAGATGCCTAAAGGTTTGAAATGAGAGTGTGGACAAGGACATTTTCAAATGAGAGCGGGGAAAGTTATTAAAGGTGTTGGGAATTCCAAAGAAGGATGAAGCAAAAAATAGACCAAAACATTATTCTGAGAAGGGGTTCCATAAGAACAAATTGCCAGAGGGGTAAATATGGAAGCAACTTTTGTCCTTGGAGCTTTGTGAAAGATGTCTACACAGTCCCGTGAGGGGAGTGTCCTTGGTATTTGGAATTCTCTCTTCAAGTTGGCAAGAAAACTAACCAACTGAGCCAATGTGGTTTGCTGAGCTCTCCACACTGGCAGGATCTGAGGCTGCATGTGTTCATTAATTGCATGCTTTCCATTTAGGACATGGTTTAAACTTGTAGGAAATGCAGTACAAGTTCTAATCTCTTCCACACACATAAAATCCTTCACTGAACTACATGCAATGGCCTTTTTCAGATGCAGGTCTAATTTACATTCTGTGCTATTTCTGTCTGCACCTTTGGCGATGTTCAATAAATATTATTATTCATCTACTGTGGAAAATGATGATTAGAAGAACAATATGTGCTCCATTATCTGGGTAAGAAATATCTAGACCATGAATCAGTTCATGGAAAAGAGGTTTACATGTTCTGAAGAAAAAAATGGTGTCAGAAGAAGAAAGAGGGACTCTTACAAGTCTTCTTCCATGTTACTCCCCTATACATACACTATGGTCTAGCCTCCTTGCTGTTTTATGCACACAACACTCCATCTTTCCATTTCCATGCCTTTGCACTGGCTGTCCCTCCTGGAATGTTCTTCATCCTCATCTCTACCTCTTAATTTCACTTTCTTCCATCAAGGCTCAACTCAAATCCAACCTTCTATAGAAGGATTTTCCCAGTTCCCCCAGCTGCTAGTGCCCTCTGAAATATATCTTCACCTTGTATATATCTTGTATATTCCTAGTCATTTATATATTCTCTCCCACACTAGAACATGAACTTATTCAGGATAGGCACAGTTCTTATTTTTACCTTTTTTGTATCCTAAGCACTTAGCACAGTATTTGATACATGCTTAAGTGGTTAATAAATGTTTGACTCACCGACATGTGAAATAGAAACAGGTAGATTTGGGAGAGATTCTAAGCTTGTATTTTTGAGTGCACAGGATAAACTAAGGTTCAAAAAGGAAAGAAGGTAAATTCCTCAAGCATAGAGACCAAGTCTTACCATTTTTTATATTCTCCATAGCATAATTAATAGGTACTCTGTAGCATGTGCAGTGGCCACACCTCAGGAAAAAAAAAAACATCTTAATGGACAGGCTAAAGAAGATTGAGGGGATCCAACAGACCTCAAACTCAACTGTGAGTGAGGTGGGGTATCTACCCCAAGCACATGAAGACTTCACCCAGAGGAATGGGCCAAAGAGGACAGTTTATTTCAATGGCCACCAAGGCAACTTGGTCAGACATCAAAGACATCAAGGTCATCCACTGCACCCAGTTGTCTTGACTTTTGTCTTGCCACTAGACTTCAATGACTCTGGAAGAGAGAGTGAGGTTGACAACTTTGTGCAACTCTGCCTCATTTAAATCCAATTCATGTACAGGTCAAGACATCACCCATGATGTCATTGGTCCTCTTTGAAAACAAAGGATAAACAACAACAACAGGTATTCTATAAATGTTGAGAAAATTAACTAGTTAGTAAATTTCATGATTAGGAGGTTAAAATTTTCTAAAACAAACATTCAGAGCAATTATAGAAGAAAGAGTAGGTGAGAAAGGGAATAAAAGAATCTGATTTTATTAAATGTGATGAAAAAGATGAACTGAAATTGGGCACCAGAGTATCAGTATGCATGCTAAGTTGCTAAACTGAGATCTCCTCACTATAGTTAGGTCTTATGTAACATAATCAGATCAATTAACCCCTACAGAATACAATACACTCAATTATTCATATAATTTCAGCGATTCATCCTTCACAGTAATAGGCATTTTAAATATTCTTCATATATATGATGTTTCAAATATAAATATAACCTGTAAGGTACTGTTTTACTACTGGAGTAAAGAGAAACCTTTATCAGAGACAGAAAAAATATATCTATCCATTTATAAACAAAGATGCTACAAGCAGGAGTAGTCTTTACTCAATCTCAAGGATGTGGCATGTCAGATTACTTCAATTATCTTTGACTTTTTCCACTTAATTTTTATTCCCTTCCAGTAATTTGGGAATTCTTGACTTACTTGGAATTCCAGCTGTGGGGAGAAAGAAAATGTTTCTTCAGTCAGTGACAAATAAAAATATTAGATAATCAACATTTCTGTCTCTGTGGTGAATGTGTTTTTTCTTTCTTTCCTGCAATAGTAATACAGTGTCTTACAGCTTATAGCTATATTTGAAAGGACATACATGAAGAATGTTTAAAATGCCTTTACTGTAAAAAATTAATGGCTGAAAATTAAATTTTAAACTGTAACCCTCAAGATTGGCATATCCTTAGGGCTCAGCAAAATGAAGATTGGCATATCCTTAGGGCTCAGCAAAATGTCTAATGACATGAAGGCAAAAAGAAATTTCTTAACTTGAGTTGTTGGTATATAATTCTGATATGGAATATTTAAAGCATTTTTCAGATATTAATCTCATACTGAAGCAGCTACATGGTACAGTGAAGAGAATACTAGACCTGGAGTCAGAAAGACCTGAGTTCAAATCCTGCCTCAGACATTTAATAATTGTGTGACCCTAAGCAAATCATTTAACCTCAATTTGCCTCAGTTTCCTCATGTGTAAAATTAGGACAATAACAGCATCTATTTTGCAGCATTGTATTAGCACGAAATACAATGAGATAATATTTATAAAGAACTTAGCCTAGTGCCTAACATATCATAAGTACTTAATGAATGCTTATTCCCTCCTACTGTATACATTAATGAGAGGCAGAATAACATAGCATAGCGGTTAGAGCATTAGCCTCAAAGCCATGAAAACCAGAGTTTGAGTTCAGGCTTTTATTCATATTGGCTGTGCAACCCTGGGAAAGTCACTGAATCTCCCAGAGCTCTAGGTAATTCTCTAAGACTTTAAATTGCAGAGAAAGTGCTGACCTGTATTGGTAGAGGGAGATTACTCACATGGGAGTTCCTTATGCCAGTGAAATCACAGGTCTTATCCTTATTCCTGCAACTTTGAGGTAGGTGGTAGCTAGTTAGAAACGTCAGGGGAATGGAAAGAAATCTAACTTTTGCCAGATCAGGCTCACGGGTCAAGCTGGAACTCTGAGCCCTTTCAAAACCAAGCTAGCAATCTCTATCAGAAGATGTTGCCTTGGCGGGCTATTGATGCTTTTTATTTTCTTCACTTAAGACTGAAGGGAAAACCCAAAAACAGTTAAATTAGATTTTCTAAAATAATCTCTGGTCTTGCTGAAATATGCAGGTGATAAGAAATGGAAACGAATTTTATTTTCCACATTTTAGTATCATTTGGGAGAGTTTTCCTACCTCTTCAGAGTTGTTTAAATTTGTAGGGGGAGATACACATCTGAACAAATGCAGCCTGTTTTGTCATGTAAGGACTTTTTAAATATCTTCTCTAATTTGCCTTTCTTTAACCTTTTTCACAATGAATGAAGGTAAATTCTTCTAACTGACTGCATCTTGCTGGACTCAGACCTTGCTTTACATCCATCATCCCCAGAATCTCGAGACATCTTGCCATCCACAGTGCTGCTATGCCTACTCTCTAAACTTAAACAGCATCCTCCTTTGAATCAGCAGCACACACACCTCCCTCTCTGATTGGTCTCAGGTCATCATTCACATTCAAATGTCTTGGGATACCTTGCCATTTGCCCTGTCACAATTCCCATTTCCACCTCTTGTTCTGGGGAAAGTAATCAAATCAGGCTTACTATTGGTTCTGGTAAGGGCAAAATTAATTGTTCTATAGCTCTACTCACCCTTCCTATGACTCCTCCTATAAAAACTCCCTTCCTTGACCACTATTTCCAAATGTATTGTTTCCTATTAGAATACAGGATCCTTAAGGGCAAAGGTTGTCATTTTTTTATATGTGTTTCCCAGAACTTAGCACAGTTCCTGGAGCATGGTAGATACTTGATAAGTGCTTTTTCATTCATTTCTTCTCATGATATAAAATGGCCCTTTTCCTAGGTGGCTTTTAATCACAATTGAATTAGAAACAGAAAAAAAAAGCCAGTCATCAACTACACTGAACATTCTACAAAATAAAGACCAAAAAAATGGAAGTAGAGAGTGCTTATTCTTCCAAGAATAAATGGCTCCTGACCCTGAACCTTCCCAGCCTACCTCACAGAGTAGTTCTGAGGATCAAATGAAATAGGATACAGGAAAACCCTTTGTAAATTATAAGATACTCTACAAGCTGTTTTGCTATAGCAGAAAGCCCTTGCAAATTTTTAACATAAATGTCTTTTTAAAATGACCTATTGTAGGGGCAGCTAGGTGGTGCAGTAGATAGGGCACCAGCCCTGGAGTCAGGAAACCTGAGTTCAAATTTAGCCTCAGACACTTGACACTTGCTACATGTATGACCCTGGGCAAGTCACTTAACTCCAATTGCCTTGAAAAACAACAACAACAACAACAAATGACCTACTGTGTCACCTGGGGGACACCTAGTAGAAGATGAGAGCAGACAGGTAGGATAGAGGCCAGCTAGTAAATTTCTCATAGAATCATAGTCTTTGATCAAGAAAAAGGCTTAGAAGTCATCAAGTACAACCTCATTATTTTATAGATTGGAAAACTGAGGCCCAGAAAGGTTAAATATCTATGCCTGTGTTCTTTATTCTATTACAGTGATACTGGTGTCCTTGCGCTAAACACTCCATCTCCTGATTTCAGAAACTTTCACTAATTGTCTCCCATTCCTGGAATTCTCTTTCTTCTCATTTCTACTTCTGGGCTTCCCTGGCTTCCTTTAAGTCTCAGCTAAAATCCAACCTTCTGCAAGAAATCTTTTCGAATTACCTTTATTGTTAGTTTAGTTTGGTTTTGCTAGTTTAGTTTCCCTCTGTTTGATTATCTCCAACTTATTCTGTATATATCTTGTTTGTACATAGCTATTTACAAGTTGTCTCCCCTGCCTCAGAGACTGTGAGCTCCTTGAGAACAGGGGCTTATTTTTGCCTTTCTTTGTGTCCTCCAAGCTTACCATAGTGCTTGCACATATTAAGTGCTTAATATATACTTGTTGACTTGACTTGACATAGTAGTAGAGACAGATAGCTAGTGAGGTGGTACAGTGTTTGACTTAGAATGATAAGGACCTGAGTTCGATCCTACCTCAGACACTTTGCCAATTGTGTGACCTATAGAGAAGCACAATGTTTCTCAGCCTCTGTCTCCTCATCTGCAAAATGGGGATATGAACAGCACTTACCTCACTGAGTTGTGAAAATCAAATGACCTGATATATATATGGCGCTTTGCAAACCTTAAAGTGCTATATAAATGCTGGCTATCATCATCATCATCATCATCATCATCCTCAGTTTCTTTGATCCTAAATCCAGAGCTTTCTCCTCTGTACCATGCTGAAGGCATCAAGAGTTTATTGTATATGATTATGTTAAAGGATGTGGGGCACAGCTTATGGAAAGGTGCCAACAACATGAAAGTCCTAGCACCAAGCAACTAAGTGCTTGTTGGCTGTCTTGTCGTTTCTGTTACATAAATCACCACAACTTGGACATCATAGACTGTGTGTGGATGCAGGTCTGTGAAGATGCGAGTATAGAGTGGACCTTATGTGCAGACAGCTTTCACTCAATAAAAAGCATTGTCTTTCCACTAGAAATAAAAACTGAACCTCAACCAACATTCTTCCTTTTCAGAATGCGTTGTCCCCATTGGTTCACAAATCTATGGAAAATGAATGAATATGAAGACAAGTTTCTTCTCCATTTAAAAAATTAGAACCTCTTTATAGCAATCAGGATCCCCAGTGCCCTTCTAGTCACTTCCTTGAAGCCTGTACTTAATTTTTTTTTGCCAGAGATGGGGGGAGGAAGTGCAGAGGTCATACACTTTGGGGTCTAAATTACCCATCAAGCTCCACAGCTATGATTTCTTGTCATCCATCATGTTAAACACTTACTGTCAGATGGGGGGTGAAAAGTCACAGCCGAAACATGCTGAATGACCAAAATGGAGAGATCATTGTTCCCAATTACTCTGTTATATGATGACTTTTTAAAAATCATATTTTAATTTGTAATTTTTCAAAGGATTCCCAAATATTTTATGAACCTCTAATTCATTTCTACAGCAACTCTTTGGTTCAAGCAGCAAGTATCTCTCTTTTTTAAAGATAGCAAAGCTGGGTCATTAAAAGAGTTAATGGCTTGCCTAACATCACTTACCTAATCAAAAGTAGAGCCAGGAATTCAGTGTAGGACGTTTGACTTTCAATCCAATTGATAGTCACTCTAGATTATGGGGCCTCTGATGACAGCTGTCCAGAAAAATTTGCCCTGTCTGCATGGCTATAAATATCTGTAAATTGGGGCACTTAATATGTACTACTGTGATGGTGGTGGGTGATATTTTTCATTTGATTTGCAAATAGCAAAAGACAAAGGCTTCAGTTTTTCGACAGACATTCTAGGCCTACATTTTCCCCAGTAAACTGTCTTGGGAAGACTAGTTTCCATACATAAAATGTATTCTTTTTTTCATTTAGCATTCAAGGCCTATCATTTTGTCTTGTTGTCATTTTGAAGCATTTATCTACTTGGTAAGGGACAATTCCACCCAGCATCACTGGAAGGTAGAGTGTCCCCACTTTATAGAGAGGAAATGAAAAACAAAAATAAAGTCACAAAGAGATTTTAGGGGATGTGGACTAGTTTCAGTCTTATAACTTTATCTTTTCCATTAAGGCAAACATTTACACTTAATTGGTATGTACTTTCTCCCTATGCTATATAGGGACTCCCACAAAAGGTAGCTAGATGGGGAAGTAGATAATATGCTGAATCTGGAATCAGGAAGACTTGAGTTCAGACCCAGCCTCAGACACTTACTAGCTGTGTAACCCTGAGCAAGTCACTTAACCTTTGCCTACCTCAATTTCCTCATCTATAAAATGGGGATAATAATGGCGCCTACTTCCCAAGGCTGTTGTGAGGATAAAAGAAAATATTTATAAAAATGCTTTGCAAATTTCTAAGTACTACATAAATTCTATCTATTATTCAAAAAACTAACATATTGTTCCAGAGTTTTAGAACTTCCTGGCTGTGATTTCTTGGTGGTCCAATGTATGAAATTCACTTAGGTCTGAGGGGTGCAAAAGTATAACCTAACTTAATACATCAACCAGAAACCATTAGTGCTCCATGAAATGTCAGGGAGATTTTTTTACAGAGGCGTTTGAGAGAAAAGGGCATTAGCAGTGGCTGGAAAATTGTAATGCATTAGACTAACTACAGCAATGAATGTTCTGGGCAGACCACCAACTGGAAGAATGCCACGGGCTATCCCAGGAAATCACAAGGGAGTCAGGGGCCTATGAATGAGACCCACATTTATACCCAGAAAATATTTTCAAGCTGCTTTATTCAGACTTGTGTTATCACAGAATTAGGAAATCAGAAACTTTGGCATCTTTGGGGGCAAAACATGAATAACTGGGGAAAAAACCAAATTCACATTTGCTTCCTTGTGGAAAATGTCCAAAGCAAAATTACTTGTTTTTTTTTTCCTAATCTTAATCTATAAAATTTCAAGTACGCCTCTATTCTCCCTTCTCGGAGAGTGTATCACATGTGTCATTCATCAAATTTTAGAAAAATCCAGAGCAAGCCCCTCATTTTAAAGATGAATGAAGAGGAGCAGAAGGCACAGTTAACGAACCATCTCCCATTCTTTCTACCTCCAAGGAAACACTTCAATACAAAGACACAAGTCACGCTTCCACTCAGCTTCATCTTTCAGCACCTGAACTCAAGGGGTGTGAATGTATGGTGCTACGGGATTAGTTCCTAGAAGCCCATTCATTATGTGGTAGGTTCAAGTTGCTCAAAGAATGTAGAACTTTCTGGCTAGCCATCATTTGTCAGTCCTCTTAGAAACCTAGCAGTATTTTACTGTCGCCATCAAATAATATTAGATGTTCAGACGTGTCCAAACGAATACATTTCCTTAAATACTCCATGGATTTAGGACTTCATCGTTATAGGTACTTCCTGCTCTCATGCAGAACATTGCCACTGCATTCAGTTAGTAGATGGTTTGATAAGTGACTAGAAAGCTATCACCTAGCAGCCAAGCTTATTAGTCATAAGCCTCTTTGAACTAGGCTTGTCTCTGAAAGACAGACAGTCTATTGCTAAGCCCACATTCAAAAAATTTTTTTAGCGTGTTGGGAGGCAGTGTGGTATGGAAGGAAATAAATGTATTTGGAGTTAGAGAAACTGGGTTGAAATCTTGGTTCTACTATTTATTACCTATGTACCCTTTTGCAAGTTACTGACTTAATCTCTTTGGGCCTCAGTTTCCTCAGCTTTAACATGGTATTCTTGGACTAGATGACCTCTAAGGTCCCTTCTGGCTCCAGATCAATGATTCTATGACCTCTGAAGTTACCTGACTTCTCATGGTTTCCTCAATTATATGCTGTTGCGCTGGTGTTGCTGTTTGGTCATTTTTCAGTCATTTCTGACTGTTCATGACCCCACTCGGGGGTTTCCTGGCAGAGATACTGAAATGGTTTGCCATTTCCTTCTCCAGCTCACTTTTACAGATGAGGAAACTGAGGCAAAAGGGGTTAAGCGACTTGTCCAGAGTCACACAGCTAGTAAGTGTCTGAGGCCAGATTTGAACTCAGAAAGATGAGTCTTCTTGATTCCAGACTGGGAACTCTATCCACTGCGTTGCCCTCAGGATTGGATTACATAACCTCAAAATCTATTTTCCTATCAGACTTCCAAAGCTTTATTCTGCTGGCATAACCTTAGGGAGGCATACATGTCACATCCATGCTACAATGAGTCATGAAAGGAAAAATTCAGTAAGAGTTTTGGACCAAATTATGCTATGTCTTGGATGGATGAAAATACATGAATTTTTAAGAATCTCCAGAAAAGGCAATATCATGACCTCTTTCACCAATCTAGTCTAGTATTTTTTAAAGCTACTTTCCATTTTTATTTATTTTAGACTTGCGATTTTATCAGTATAGAAAACTCCCTCCATAAAACTCCCTCAGCTGATGCATATTGGAAACTCATCAGTAATTTTCAGTCTTAGAGTTGTCTGACATCCTGAGTGGTTTAGTGACTTTCCCATGGTCACACAATTAGTATATATCAGAGACAAGTCTTAAACACAGGTCCTCCTGACTCCAAGGGTGGCTTAATATTTACTCTGTCCTATTATGCTTCCTTTGCACAAAATGGTGACAAAGCTCAAGAAAATATGGTAAGCGTTGTAGGGCATACTGGGGCAGTATTGAAATGCGTATATTGCACTGAACTTAGAATGCTGATATTCAATGGCAAATCACCATCTTTCTAAGCCTCAGTTTCCGCATCTATAGAACAGAGACTGTACTACTGGTAGAGCCTGCTTCACTGAAGCTCAAGTGAGATAATGTTTCTACAATGCCTTATAAATTTTAAGTGATATATAAATGTCAGTAATTGTTAAAAGTCAGTAATTATTATTGAGTGATTAAATCCCATGAAGTTATAGCATTTGTTACCAACACCCAGTTGTTAAATGCTTGACAATATTGCTTAATAACCTACATACATTTCATACAAAAAAGGGGAAGATAATCTAAACTAACTTCTCCTTATTATAGCAAAAATGGAAGAGAATTTGTCAAGATTTTTTGCCACCTTGGGGGGGAAAACCTGTAGTTTAAAAGAGACTGCAAAGTCACATCAATACTAAGTTATATATGTATATATATATATATATGTATATATATATGTATGTATATATATAATAGTTGTACTAAAAATTACCATGTATTTCCATGCATTTATGTATATGTAGGGGTATATGTATATCTGAGGTAGCTAGGTAACTCAGTGGATCCTGGAGTCAGGAAGATCTGAGTTCAAATCCAACCTCAGATACTCACTAGTTGTGTAATTCTGGGCAAGTCATTGGACTTCTGTGTGCCTTAATCCACTGGAGAAGGAAATGGCAAACCACTCTAGTATCTTTCAATCCCGTAGACAGTATTGGCATGCTATAGTCCCCAAGGTCTTGAAGAATCAAACACAACTGAACAACAACAACAACAACATATATAGCAACAGTAATGGGAAAGACGCATAGATACTGTTGTACAAGCAATATGGCATAATTGATAGAACACTGGGCCTGGAGTTGGAAAGACTTGGGTTCATGTTCTGCTTAAAATATTTATTAGCTGTGTGACCCTAGGCAAGTCACTTAACCTATCTTAACTTCAATGCTTATGTCTGTTAAGTGGAGATGATAATGGCACATATCTTATAAGATTGTTGTGAAGAACAAATGAGCTACTATATACCAAGTACTTTACAAATCTTAAAGTGCTACATAAATATTAAGTATTATCATCAATATAGGACCTTTTTCTAAGAGTGACATGTTTGAAGTCATTGTTGACTCCCCATTAAGTGATGAGGATTGCTTGACAAAATCTTGGTTTTAGAAATCATCTAATCTAATTCTTATTGAATTTCTATGGATATTTACATGACAATTAAAGTTCATTTTTTAGAAAATGGCCATTCTCCATAAAAGTCAAACCAACATCCATCATTCATGTTTAGAATGAATAGGTCAGACATTGTAGTTTCTTCCTAAGACTCCATATAATACTTATTAAAATGGTTGAGAGCACACTAGTCACCATGAGGTGCAGTGGAAAGAAAGAACACTTGATTAAAAATCAGAAGACTTGATTGGGCTCAGCCATGTGACTGTGAGCAAGTAATCTCACCTTTCTGAGACAGGGTATCTTCATTTGTAAAGCAGAGATAATACTTGAACTACCTCATCCAGTTGCTGTGAGAAAAGTTCTTAGTAAAAGATTATATTGATATGGGTTTTTATTGTAACAGATTATTTTCTCAAATTTTATGAGTTATGAATTTCAAATCCACAAACTATGCCAAGAGTACTGTGGCCAAAGAAACATTGTGGAATAACTTGGCCATATCTGATCTGCAGGTGTGGAAAACACCCTTCAGAAATCCTTAGAGTATAATCAAAACTGAGTCTTAATAAGGTGACAATTCGTACTTCATTGTTGTTGCTGAGATCATTTTTCAGTCTTGTCCAACTCTTCATGATCCCATTTGATATTTTCTTGGAACAGTTTGCCGTGTTCTTCTCCAGCTCATTTTACAGATGAGGAAACTGAGGCAAATAGGGTTAAGTGACTTGCCCAGGGTCACACAACTTATTAAGTGTCTAAGGCCAAACCTGAACACCTGAAGTGTCTTCCTTACTCCAGACCCAACACTCTATCCCTTACCACCTACCTGCCCAGTTTATACCCTCAGGCATTTAAATGGCAAGCCAGAGGCAATAATAGGGACTTAACTCCAACCAAAAGTTGCTTTGTATCTACATAATTAAAAGTCAGAGTTAATACATTTGAGATAATTATCATAGAAGTATAAAGATACTCCCAGACATCTTCTAAGCTAAAAAATAAATGTATGCATAAAAGGTCACAAGTGATATTCTTCACCTTCTGGACTTCAAACCAAAAGTTGATGAGATCAGCATTAGCCAGAGGCCTCCTGTCTAATTGCAAACTAGTATTTCCTGGAATCATGATGTAAGATTTCCTTAGAATGGCAAATGTTTCAACACCCTCGCTATCTCTTCAGGGTGACAGGTAAGAACTGAAAAGTGAATTTTCTCAGCCATTTCAGTATCTTGAGCTTGGAGGCTGACCTTAGATATGGATTTTATGTTTATTGAAGAGGTTCACTTTATTTTGAATATATATTTTTTTCCACCATAAAGATGGGTAAGGAAAGCCTTCCATTTGGAAGCTTACTTTGATTTAAAGGAGTTTTAGGAATTGGAGACAAATGGGTGATTGCAAACTGATTCTGCAGGTCCATTTAGCATGTTACGCTCCCTTCAGGATACTGGGGACTTGGTATTTGAGAGCACTATTTTGTTAATGAAGTCAACTGCTTCTGGTAGTAAAAGAAAGATCAAAAGAAAAATCACCTTGGATTTTATAACAGCACCAAAGTGGGATGGGAGAAGGGAAACTAATGTGTTCTCTGTTGTACTTTCAATAGAAGATGAAATAATTTATTTTCAAATTAAAAGCAACCTCGTCTATCATCTTTGAAAACAGTTAAGTGAATAAGCTGCCTAAAAGCTTCTCCACTAGGATCAATTTTACATCGTTATCATTCTGGGCATTCTACGTGATGGAAAAAGTCATCCCCTATTTCCAACTCAATGAGATATCCGATGATGACTGGCACGACTCCAGCGGTACAGCCAATGTAAGATAATACTAAAATGTCACCACGGACATCCACCAGAAAGGCCATCATCTTGTAATAATCATCACCTATTAGACCATGCCTCTTTAGGTTCTGGATCCATTTTCCTTAAAACAATGACTTTAACTCTATCACTTTACCTTACAGCATGTTAGCAAAATTCTTTGAGGGGCAATAGAGTTAGGGAGGGGTTTAGGCTGGTTTTCCTGAGGCTCTCGCCCTTGTATGACAGCCAAAGGCTGACTTATGTGGGAGGCTGGTGACACCGCGTGGTGAAACAAGGAATGTGTTTCTGGGCATGTAGTATGGGTTTTCAAATCTTACACTCTGACTCTTCAACACACACACACACACACACACGCATGCAAGCATGCACGCACCTTTCCTTCATTTAGATGGAACAAAATCATTTGTCACTCTCAGATGGTTTAAAATGAAATGGTGGAATCGGGTCTTGAATGAACACAACTCAATTTCACATTTCTAAAGTACATCCTGTGGACAGGGCACTGTTCTGGAGGCATAATATAGATACATGACAGTACCTCAGAATTAGGGATAGGGTCAGTGTATACAGTAGAGTGGTCTTCACCTGATCTCACAGATGAAGTAGTCAGACTGCTTCCATTATAGTTGGCTTTTTCCCACTGAACCAAATTTTTATTCCCCTCCAGTAATCTGGGAATTTCTGGTTTGCCCAGAACTCCAGCTTTGTGGAAAAAGCTATCCAAGTAGGCAGTAAGATCACATTTATAAACAGAGTTAATGATCATTTATTTGCTGCCCAGTACAAACATCATACTTCTGACCAGCAAAATGAAAAAGTTCTTGTTAGGCTAAGGCTTCACACAACAATCAATAATTAGGTAAAATAAGCACCAACCAGATATTTCAATGTGTGAGAGACTAAAGGATGAAAATAGAAGTCTACAGCAGAAAGCAAGAGTAATACCAGTAATTTAACACACACCCCCACATTTCCAAAGAAAAAGTTCCTAAGACTTCTTTCCCCAGAAGCAACTGTTTTTTTTTTTTTGTTTGTTTGTTTTTGTGAGGCAATTTGGGTTAAGTGACTTGCCCAGAGTCACACAGCTAGTAAGTGTCAAGCGTCTGGTCTGAGGCCGGATTTGAGCTCAGGTCCTCCCAACTCCAGGCCCAGTGCTCTATCCACTGGGCCACCTAGCTGCCCCTGCCCCAGAAGCAATTGTTCCAGAGAATCTGAGTAATAGTATCTTATGGTTATCCGTATCATGTAATGTGAACATGGATGTAAACCTGCAGTAAGAACTATATTCTCTTAAAATTCCTATAATGAATTTTTTTGGGGGGAAATTAGTATCTGGAGTCAGAATTACAATGCGTTGTTTTAAAAATGAAAATGATTGGGAGGGAAGCCAGTCATGTAAGAGAAATTTATTTATCATGTAAGAAAATGACAAATTAGATGCTAGATTGAAAACTACTGGTCTCTCAACTTAAGAGTAAAAAACAGCAAAAAGCTGGGAGAACTTTCTGATTTTGACTAATACAATTGCATAGTTAATCCCAGCGCATCTAAAAGCCTGGAATTTGTTTCCCCAGCTGATCATTGATGAAGCATTATGAAATGGAATAGGTCACCAAATCCCCATCTGATAAAATCAAGAAGATATCAATAACAAAAGGGAATGTTGTAGTTACTTCAGGCATCTGGAAATATAGCAGGGCATAGTGGTTAAGGCACTGTACTTGGAATCAGGAAGCCTTGAGTTCAAATCCTGTCTCACCCACTTGTTGTGTGACAGTGGACAAATTGCTTATACTCTTCAGTTTCTGCATCTGTAATATGAGGATAACAATGGCACCTGCCTCACGAGATTGTTGTGAGGATCAAATTTTATATGTGTGTGTGTATGACAGAGAGAGAGAGAGAGAGAGCACATGATTGAATTGAATTACTGACAATGAAAATGATCCTTTTTATTTAGTTGGCAGAGCTAGGTGGCGCAGTGGATAGCGTGCCAACCCTGGAGTCAGGAAGACTAAAATTTCTGGCTGCAGATACTAGGTGTGTGACCCTGAGCAAGTCATTTAACCCTGTTTGCTTCAGTTTCCTCACCCGTAAAATGAGCTGGAGAAAGAATTGCAAACCACCCCAATGTCTTTGCCAAGAAAACCACAAATGGTGTCATGAAGAGTTGGAGACAACTGAGACAACTGAACAGCAAAAACATACTTGGTCATAACCTCCCCGATTCTCAGTTTTCTCACCTGTAAAATTGGGATAATAATGTCTATCTAATGTACCTCAAAGAATTTCTATGAGGTTTATTTATGATAATATATGTAAACTCAACGTAAGTTAACATTTATTAACATTAACATTTATTAAGGACCTAAGTCTTATTACTCCAAAACTAGCAATTTTCCCTTGCTCTTTGTTGTCTCACATTCTACTGGGGAGAGAGGGATGATACGAAGGGTACACAGACAAGTAAACACTAAGTAAAATAATACGAAATAATTTCTTTTAAAAATTTATTTTTTTCATATAACATTCATTTCCCAATATATCCCTCTGTTCTCACAGCCTAATATATTTCTAATAACAAAGAATAAAAAAGAGAGAGAAAAGCATTTCAGCAAACCAACCTACACATCAAGTCCAACAGTGTATGTTGTATCCCACCTCCCTAGTCCCCCTCCTCTGCAAAGGTACATGCCTTCCATCTCTTCTTTCACTGAATGAGTGTCAACTCACTCAAAGTGAGAACTCGGAAAGACCTTAGCTTAAAAAGGCCAAGGACTCCCACTGCATCTTGGGCCATCTCCAGTCATCCTGATCTATATCTGGCCACTGGACAGAGATGGCTGTGGAGGAGAAAGTGACGCTGGTGACTTTGCACAGCCCTGCCTCACGTAAATCCAATTTGATTGCAAGTCATGTCATTATCTTTCTGATGTCATGGTCCTCTTCAAGAATGAAGGAAAAACTACAACTCAGCCTATCATTATAATTACATGGCATTCACACAGAACTTTGTTTTTGTTCTTTTTTTTTGTGAGGCAATTGGGGTTAAGTGACTTGCCCAGAGTCACATAGCTAGTGAGTACTGTGTGTCTGATGCCAGATTTGAACTCAGGTCCTCCTGACTGCAGGGTCGGTGCTCTATTCACTACACCATCTAGGTGCCCTGGTTCTTTTCATTTACATTTTTGCATTTACTATCTATATTGTTTTCCTGGTTATGTATATTTCATTTTGCATCAGTTCGTATAAGTCTTCCCATGGTCTCAGTATAGTCTTCATATTAATCATTGCCTATGCAGCAGTGATATTTTCTGAACTGATAGAGATCTACTTTGTTTTCAGTTCTTTGGTACTACAAAATGTGCTGTTATAACATTTTGTCGTATATAGGACATTTTTTTTGTAACTGATTTTCTTAAGGTATCTGCCTCAAGGCAGATACCTAGGAAACCTAGGGTTATGTAGTAACCCTGGAAAAGGTTAAAGACAGAGATTTAATAATTCTAGTCTTATCATTAACTGACTCCATGTCCAAGTTGTCTGTCCTGTTATTAATTTCCTTGTAATACATCAGATATGTTGAAATAGATCCTATTATAACCACAGAATATAAGGTTTGTTTTGGCAGGTGGTAAGTTGGTGGCAAAGCTGGTATTGGTAGCACTGAGTATAGCTGATGCCCCAGTGGTGGAAGGCAGAGTTAGGAAAGTTTTGTCTGAAATAAAGAATAAGACAAAATGATTATAGGGTCATTATTGGCTCATAGATTTAAAGGCTCATAGGCATTATGGGCTCCTAGATTTATAGCTGGAAGGGATCTTAGAGGAGATTTAATCAAATCTCTTCACTTTGCAGATAATGAAATTGAGAAATAGAGAAGGAAACAAATGACTTACCGAAGGTCTTAGAGATCTTAGAGACCAACCCCCTGAATTTTTTACAGATGAGAAAACAGGCCAAGAAACTTCAGTGATTTAGCTAAGGTCATGCAAGAAGCAATTATCAGGGTCAGAATTTTGATACATCCTCTGACTCCAAATTCAGTGTTCTTACACTATGTCATGGAGCTTTCAAAAATACAAAAACAAACACTTAGAAGACAGAAGCATTTGAGGAATTCAACAGTAAGGACAAGCTCAAGACTTAAAATCAATTCATTAGATACACAGAAACTGTTGGTAGTAGCATGCCGTGAAAACATCTGTGACAAATATACAAAATGATTATGTGATATGAGAAAGCTAAAAAGACCTGGGTTCCAATCCTGGGATAGACCACTTAGTAGCTGCATGAGCCTATACAAGACATGTGATTTAACCTCCCTGAGCTTCAGTTAATTTTGAAGATAACATTTGTTCTTCTACCTTACAGGATCTTTATGAGAGAATCAGATAGGATAATGAATATGAATAGACTTTGTAACTATACAGGTTATGCTTCATACTGATATAAAGAACAATGCAAAAAATACAACATGATTATACAAAGATAAGGCATGATTTAAATAAATTCATACAGAAAATTTAACATAATTACCTTTAATTAGATTACCAAAACATTTTATATACGGTATCTCTTTAGCAAGGAAAGAAATGGTGTGGGGGAGAAGAGGAGTCTCTAGGAGACTTGCTATTTACTTAGTCAATTACAGATTTGGAAATTGAATACAAGTCTGATTTCAGAATCCAAATTATGCTTTCCACAACACAGAATAGTACACAAAAGGTTGGGAATGGGATGTAGAATGACATATGTAGGTTACAGGAAATGTGGTCAGCCTGCACGAATCCTACAGGGAACCTCTCTGACATTCTAAGGAACTGGCAGAGCCACAGAATTTTAGCAGTGGAAGGGAATTTAGAAGACATCTAGTTCAATACTCTCATAGTGTGATATAGTATATAGAACTTACAACTTGGTTTCAGGAATGGCTGGGATTGAATATTGCTTCAAAAACTTCCCCCGGTCTGAATCTCGCTTCAAATACTTCCCCCTTCTGGGCAAATCAACCTCTCCAAGCCTGAGGTTCCTCACCTAGGAAATGGACGTATGAATAGGACCTAATTTAGAATGTCATTATAAGAAACAATGAGATAATACAAATGAAGCATCTTGCCTACCTTAAAGTGCTATTGAAATGACTGCTATTATATTTACTTCAATACTCTGTGCGCTCAGCAAAGTACAGAAAAGCTCGTCACTAGAGGACTGGTCACTTAGTGATGAATTCTTTCGTCATGACAGCACGTCAGACAAAGAAAATTGCAAAAACGAGCCTCAATCCTGTCCTTTTGGCTTCCCTTCCTTCTGCACTGATGGTGAAGATAGAGAAGACACTAAGAATTAACGCACTTTTAGAGAGTTTATGCACATTAATTTATCCAACATGATGCTGGACATAAGTTGTGTATTTTTACAGCAAACTTTACTATAACAATAACCAGTCTAAAAGTTAAATGGTACTTTTCCACATTTTCCCTACTTTGACTTTTCTCAGGCTGAAATAACTAATATTTTAATTTCACAAGATAAAATGGAGGTGTCAAAAATATTTATTGAGATAATTAGACAAAGATAGAGCTCTTTAACATCTGGAGGCATAAAAACTTCAAAGGGAAATACTGTCCTTCAGTCTAAATATTCAAATTAGCCAGCAGAGGGAGCTCATGTAACCTCAGAGTTTACGTATTTCCAAATTTAAAGGTTCCTGTTCAACAGGTTTAAAAGGAAGGATGGCCAGAGTAACGCTATATTTTCAAGTTAATTTTTAGCCGTAAATATTTCACAAGATATTTAAGGACTCCATACTAAGAATAATAAATATGCATATACATACGTGGAAACATATACTTGCCTCACAAAGACCATTGGATCATAGACTGGAGCTGGAATGGACCCCAGAGGCCAGCTAGTATATAATTCCCTTATTTTATAGATGAGGAAACTGAGATCTGGGAAAGCTAAACTTGCTAAAAGCCACATATGTGTTACGTATAACATTTTTACAACTGTAATTACCTGATGCAATTTGTTATTTGTTGTGCCTAACTGACCCATTATCAGTTATTTCATTTGTTTTTCTTATATGTGTGTAATTCTGTTTAGAAAAGGAGAGGTTTTTTTCATCCTTTCCTACTTTTTTTTTCTTCTGTACTGTAGGTTACATTATACTGTAGTGGACATGAAGACAGAAAAATCCTTAAGAGGTCTTGAAACGGAAGGAGCACTGAGCCAGCAGCAAAATGGGCTATATGGAAAACAACTGCTCATTGTGCTTACAGAGCAAAAAGTGCAGGGCACACAAGGCATTTACCAGGGTAAGCACCCTTAAAGCTAAAAGCAATTCATGAAATATGCAGAAAGGACTGGCATGGGAAGGAGATAAGGAAGAAAGGGAGAAGAAAAATGAAGGAAAGAGAAGACAAGGAAGCAGAAAGGGACAAAGAATGAGAAATAATAGAGTGCCATCATTAACTGTCACAGTTATCATTAAATGAAAGTGACAGTAAGACCACATCTATAAACAGGATTAATGAGAGGTTACTCAATGTCCAGTACAAATATCAATTATACTTCCCACCAGCAAGCAATGCAATGTGGGAACCAAGGAGACATGAAACACACACACACACACACACACACACATAAGGTGAATACCTGGGAAGAGAAAATTATGGAAAACATATGATGTTATTTCTGAGTCAACTAGTTCTACTACTCTGATAACAAAGGAGAATGTTACCTGGAAGAGGCTTCATGACTAGATTATATATGCCTTGGAGCAAGCACTTCTGAGACTAAGGTACCACTTCCTTTCTCAGTTTGGTAAATCACAGGGCTAGCTTCTGTCATGATAGTCCAATATATATAACTTGTCTTTCAACAATTAAGCTGCCAACAACTGTTTTTGTTGATAAAATGTTTAATTATGTGGCAAAGACCAAATAATATTTCTCAAGTTTTTTCCTCTAAAACTATGTGGAAAATTGCCTTGCTACATCAGCAAGTGTTGAATTTCAAATTGATATAATTTCATCATTATTTCAGGTTATGATTATTTTCAAATATGATGAGTATGTGAACTGTTAACCAATAGAAGCAATTCAATGTTTGCAAATAAAATATAAACATATACATATTACTAATATGAATGAAAATTTTAGTGCTATTAACATTAAATATTGAAATGTTTATAATTCATTCATAAAATAATCACAATGTGCCAACTTCACCATCAAGTTATTTTCCCAACAAGAAGAGTTTAGGGCTTGCATTTCCACGACTAGGCAAACTAAATTTTTTTCCCCCAAAGTTGAATTATTTCAGAGGGATTCTAAATTATATAACTTCAAATCTATGCCTACAATTACATTCAGATAAAGCTACACATGGGATTATTAAAATTTGTATTATACAACCTGCTCCACACTTTTTCCCAGCGTAGGGTAATCTATGTTTAGAAATTTAATGTTGTGATTAGTTCTAAAAATGAAAAAATTATTTTTAATCCCCTTAGTTTTCCAAAAATTTTCCTTCACAAGCCCCTGCTGCCAAACAGTGTTTTTCAAAATGTCCTAACTCAGTCAATGAATTGTTGAATTGAATTTCAGTTGGAAGGGGAACCTGGTTAATGAAGGCTAATTACCAATTGGTCTCCTGTAGATATGTGGGAAGAATGATGATAACTTATCTGGCCTAGAAAGCGTGATTTTCCTGGTGCTTCCGACCCATACATGCTCTACAAGACTAAATTTTAAATTACATGCCACATTCCTTGCATGTATTAAACAAGTATGTTTGTCCAACTAAATTGAAGTAAAACACCTATTCAGGAAGTGAGGAACAACATCACCAAGAATATGAAATAGACATAATTCTTTTTCTGTGTAATCTACAAATTTAAACTCATTAACATTAAATCAAACCAACAAACATTTATTAAATGCCAAGGCTATAAAATGAACTATGTTAGGTTTGGGGAGCTTGAGAGTTGTTGATGCAAAATTTAGATAAATGATGATCTCTGACCTCAAAAAGCTTATGATCCAGTAAGGGGATAAGTCACATACTCAGAGGAGGACTGCTTGGTTTTGATTAGTTGATCAACAAGATTGTTGTCAGGCATTGTAATAAGTGCTAAGGATATAAAGAAAGGCACATACGTGGTTTGTGCCCACAAGGAGTTCATGCTCTAAGGGGGAAGACAGCATGCACAGGGGTGAACAACCATGCACAGACCAGCATATACACAATGTAAATGGGAGAAAATACTGGTAGTGGCAAGGTGGGAGTGAAAGGGGGGTGGGAAAAACCTCTTGCAAAAAGTGGGATTAGTGCTAAGTATTGAAAGAAGCCAAGGAAGCCAGAGGTAGAGGTGAGGAGAGATAGCATTCTAGGCTTGGTGGATAGCCAATGAAAAGGCAAGGAGGTAGAGTGTCATTTGGGAGAACGATAAGATGGTCCGTGTTACTGAACAGTAGCATAAAGTATAAGGTAGGATTAAAAGTTCTACGTGTTTGTGATATTAAAAACGATTCAGAATCCATCTTGCACAGTGATTGAGATCTTTAATATTCAGAGCCTTAGTTGAAAATACTTTTCTAGGTCATTCTTGTAATATATTCTCATAATGTTAGGCTTACAGTGACTCTTCAGTGCAGTGAATAGAGCACTGTGCCTGGAGTCAGGAGGACCTGAGTTCAAATCCAGCCTTAGACACTAGCTGTATGCAAACTATTTAACCCTGTTTGCTTCAGTTCCTCATCTATAAAATGAGCTGGTGAAGGGAATGGCAAACCACTCTAGTATCTTTGCCAAAAAAAACCCCAAATGGAGTCACAGAGAGTTGGACACAACTGAAACAGCAACAGCAACCAACAAACATCAACATTTTTAGAAAAGGAGAGAATTTGTCCCAAATCTGCATTAATAGTTAGGAGTTGTTTAATATTTACCCTACTTGGCAAAGTTATATTTGAAGTGATACATTTTTACCTCCAAATAAAATTTAATCTGGAATAATATTTAAAATAATTTTTGGGAGGTAGTCACTTGTATTGGGTAGAAGCCTCTGCAAAGGGCTGCCAAATTTTCTAGTACAATATTATAAACACCCTACACTATATTCTGCAGAACATAAACATTTCCTATCAGAGTGAGGAAAACCAATGCTCTTGCTGTGGGATTGAACCTGAGTTAAATGGAGCTATGACTATTGATACCTCTGACCCAAAGAAGCCACAGATATGCTTTCTCAGAAAGAATGAGATCTGGGCCGTGGATCTGGAAGGATGTGAGTGATTTGAAATTACCCTGGGGCTTAATCTTCATGGTACTAACTCACAATTATGTGATGCTTTAAGGTTTACAAGGCATTTTGTTCAAAACAAACCTGGGAGGTAGATCACACACGTATTATTAAACCCATTTTACAGAGAGGAAGGACTAAGAGGTGAAATTACTTACCTAAAGTATGCAGCTAAAAAGTGGGGAGCTGGACACAGTTGAACAATTTTCAGTGTGAGTATATATTTATTTACTTATTTTTTAATTTTTAGGCAATTGGGGTTAAGTGACTTGCCCAGGGTCACACAGCTGGTAAGTGTCAAGTGTTTGGCCTGAGGCCGGATTTGAAGTGAGTATATATTTAGAACTGGAAATCAGTAAATACTACAAATCAGGGCTTGGTTTATTGTTTCTGTTGATTTCTCTAGGCAAAGTGATGGAGAAAATGTTAATAATGCAGATTAGACTTAATGTGTGTCATGCATACATAATTTTTGAGAGCTAGTTGTTAAGCATTTACCAGTATAACACTGTTCCTAGGTCTCCTCATTCAAAGTATGGACTTATTGGTAAAATAAGATTCTTAATTGAGAGGTTATCTAAGGTAGGAGTTAGAGGATCTTGTCTTAGAGTCAGGAACATATGGGTTCAAGTTCTGCCTTTGACACAAACTGCCCTGTGATCCTTGGCAAATCACTTAACCTCTCACTGCCTTGAGTAACTCTCAAAGACTAACTTGCAGTAGAGTTCCTGGCATCAGTGGAGGGAATTTTCACACAGGGATTACCCCACCGACATGAAATTATAGATCCCATTGTCTGTCCTTTACAAAAATATACAGTGCAGAATTCTTTAGGTGTTTGTCATAATACATAAAAATACCAAGAAAATTGCAAGCAAATTGTATGAAATCATACAGCTCTATTGAGAAATAACTTGGTTTAGTGGCTAGATAATTGGCCTTGAAGCCAGGAAGACCTAGGTTGAATACTTGCCCCAATTATATCTTGGCTATTTGATTTTCTACAAGTCATTTAACCTCTTGGGACTCTAGGTGAGATTCTAAGTGCCAGAGAAATTTCCACTTTACATCAGCAGAGGTAAACTCCTCATCTGAGGATTCCTTATACCAATGAAATCACAGATCCAGTCTCTATTCCTATCCTGCATAATTCTGCGGAGTTTATTCAAATTACATCTCTCATGTTCAATACATGCAAGGAATGTGGCATGTACTTTAAAATTTAGTCTTACGGAGGGTGTATGGGTAGGAAGCACCAGGAAAGTCACACTTCCTAGGCAAGATAGGTTATCGTCATTCTTCCCGCATATCTACAGGAGGTCAATTGGTAATTCGCCTTCATTAGCCATGTTGCCCCTTCCAACTGAAATTCAATTCAACAATTCATTGGCATAATAGCCTAGCTATTTCGTGTGAGTAGGTTTGGAAGAAAAAAAACTAATAATTTGTCCAAATTAATTATACACATTTGTCCTCACGGGCTCAAACTTTGGCAAATCAATCAATATACTGGAATGCTGCAAATACATACCTTGAGCCAATAGCCCCAAGTATTTCTTTTCACAAATAGGATCTCTAGATCACAGATCTAGACCTTACAGGTCATCTAGTCCAAATCTCTCATTTTATAGATGAAAAAACTGAGGGTCAGAGAATTTGAGTGAATTACTCAAGGTCCCACAGGTAACAAGAGGCAGAGCTGGGATTTGAATCCAGATCTGATTCCAAATCCAGCACCCTTCTCAGCACACTACACTGTAATACTGATGTGGAGATAAATTCAATGCATTAAATATTTGTGAGTCAGAAGAAACACTGCTCCTTTGGAACATAAGCAAATATGACATGATTTCACATGCCGTAAGAGGACATGCAGAAAAGAGAGTATTGTCGAACACATAGTTCAACCCTCTGGGGTACTTGACTTTGCATTTGAGATCAATATAAAATATTTGCATTCCAGTTCTCTCTTATTTGCACACAAAGTAGACTTTTCTTGAAATTTAGTCAACTGTAATGATGCTACCAAAGACTGGTGCATCCTTGAGAATCTTAACAAGAGGGAGAATATAGCTAAAAGATCATTGGCATTCCCTATCTGGATCAGAGATGAATATTTTCTATGGTTAGCAGCATCATTCATTCACTGTACCTCTCCTGAACTTTTCTGCTCTCCCAACTTAATAGGTGATTTATGATGAGCTTAACTTTAAACACCAAGACCAATTAAGTGTACTTGACAACTATTTGAACAAGTTAATTTTGTCCCATAAAATGTCCATTACAACTCATTGGTTATTCCCTCTGTGTCTCCTTCAGTTTTCTTGGTTTGTCCAGTCATCTCTAGAGATTTGTGTGGACATTTCCCCCCCCTTTACATAGCCCTTGTTAGCAGAGTTTTGCTTCTGTTCTTCTCTGTCTGTGTCTTGATGAAATTAAGAAATTATACTAAAACAAAAACCCTTAAATGAACATTTAAAAAATAAAAATCCTAATGGTCGGGGCTGCTTTTGTCATGGCTAGACCTTGATATACAGACATTGCACAATTTATTAAATGTTTAAAGAATGACAACGAACAGTGAAAAGAATAGCAGATTTGACATGAAAGAGGCAATATCACTTATCAATTAAGCTTCACGGATTTTACCCTTTCCATCATCCTATAGGAAAACAAATTTAGGGTAAATACCATCTCATTGGCATCTAGCAAACCAAAGCAATATATGCACAAGGACATAGTTTTGAATGTGACCCTTTCCCTTTGGCCTACATGTCCATGTGAAGAACTACAAGTGCTAATTATTGGAGGCTTTCCTCTTTTTGCTATAGTTTTGGTTCTTGAAGTCCACAATTCAACTGAATTTTAGGCTATCACAGGTGAAAGGAAGTCAAAGGTTCGTAGTTCAACAGTGGTTGTAAGGGTCTTATTTCTAAAATTTCTGTGAAATTCACTTAATATTTGTTGATGTTTCATGGCAAAGTTTGAGACAATATTCTAACAATAAAACATATTGAATGAGTTATTTGGAGAGTACTTCCCAGTTTTCCTAAATGTCCCAAAGGAAGTAGGATTTTCGTTCATGGGCCCATAAATTTGTGCTGCGTATTTGCCAGTTGGAAGTACACGCTCCTGTCATGCTCCTGTCAAAGATATTTGCCAAGAAAATAAATTTGATGCTTTGGCTAGAAAATCAAGTGTCAGGTATCATTTATGGGAAAGGGGAAAAGCTTAACAAGACTAATGTTCATAGCAGAGAAAAATAATCAAAAAGTATGCTTTGAATATTGACGACATGCCCTATACCATACTAGGCACTCTGAGGTAGACAAAGAAGGATAAAATGTAAGCTCCTTCAGGAAAGGGACAGTTTTATTTTTGTCTTTGCATCCCTGGCACCTTGCCCAGTGACTGGTGCATAGTAAATCAAGGATTCTTAACATGATCCAGGTTTCAGGGGGTCCATGAACTTGGATGTGGAGAAAATAACATCTTTATTTTGATGTAACTGGTTTCCTTTGTAGTTCTATATATTTTATGCATTTAAAAACATTATGCTGAGAAAGGGTCTGTAAGCTTTACCAGACTGCCAAAGGGGTACATGACAAACATGAAAAGATTAAGAATCCCTTTAAGTAAGCACATAATAAATGCTTGTTGTATTGATTGATAAAAGCCATGTCTTCTGCCCTCAAGATGCTCTTCCTAGTTCAGGAAATAAGGCATGTGCATAAACTTTAATAGTATATTATAGAATTTTAGAATTGGAAAGAACCTGGAGAGATCATCTAGTTCAATCTCATTTCACAGAAGAGTAAGCTAAGGTGCAGAAAGATTAATTGGCTTACCCAAGGTCACACAGCAAGTCAGCAGCCAAACGGGGACCAGAATCCATGTCTTCTGGATCTATCCAGAGTTGTTTCCACTGCACCACATCACCACTCTACAGATCATATTGCCTCCCTGTATTTCTTTATGAGCTAGTGATTTCAGAAAAGTGTTCACAGCAAAAAAAGGACTTAAGCTGGGAACGGATGGGTAGCTAGATTTTCTTTAGGCAGAGGCAAGGGGGATGGTATTCCAAATAGGGAGAATAGTATGAGCAAAGACTTGGAGTGAAGAATATGAGTGGCATGCTTTGGAAACAGTGGGGAGATTAGATGTCTGATTAGAGGGTGGAGTAAGTTTATTTGAATTCCTAGTCAAGGAATTTGAACTTTATCCTTCAACCAATGGAGAGATATTAACAAGTTTTAGCTGGAAAATGTTGTAACAAAGGCAGCTATTAGGGAAGATTAATTTGATCCATACATAATGGATTGAAAGAGAAGATTAAAAGAGGATATGCCAGTTGTCAAAAATCCAGACATAAAGTGTTGGCATTAATAATGCAAAGGAAGAGAGGTAGTCAGAAGAAGGGAGAGATAATAAGACTGAGACAGATGAGATGGGTGAAGATCTAAAGGAAAATGAGAGAGAGGGAAGAGTCTTCAGAGAATGATAGTACTATTGATAGAAATAAAAAAATGAGGAGAAGCTAGGTCTTTTGTGTGGAGCAGGGGAAAGAGTGATAAATTTGTTTATGAGAACTTGCTTACATTTTTATTGGTCCTCTGCCCTGTCACTGTGAGTAAATCACTTAATGTCACTGAGCCTCAGTTTCCTGCTCTAACTCATTGGATTACTATAAGGTAAATCCCTTGTAAACTATGAAAGCTATGTGAACAGGAGTTATTATTCTGAGTTATTATTATTCTAAGATGGGTTTTGTGTCAGGGAACAATTTGGGATTATTGAAAGCACTGTATAATTTTCCAAAAGTGGTCTAATCCATTGTCTACCTCTTCTTCAATTCTGGAATATGTTCACTGTCCATAACCATTATCTGTTGAAATTATATGTACTGACGAGTTAACTGAATGGGCTGCCTACTATCTAGAATATAGGTATTTTTTTTTATCCATTTAATTGTTCCCTGTGTATATTGTTGGTCAAATCTTTTTACAATCCTAGTGGAAGGCCCAACAGTAATGTATAAGTTGCATAATGTTGTCCCCAAATAGGAACAACAAGGAATTTTACTATCTATAAAGAATCTCTTTTCAATTTGTACACTCCCATTTCTATTGTGGCATATGAAAAACATGTGAAATTAGCCACGTGGTGATCCACACCCTTCCTCACCTTCTTGCATTCTTTTCTTTTCTCCTTCACTTTCTCAACAATGTAATGCTCAAAGATACCAAAGCAGATAACCACACATCATCTTGTCCCCTCACCAAGTAAAATATTACAAAGACCACAACAACATGGAGAAGTGGGGTAAATTATTCGAAGTGCCTTGGTCCCCATGGGAAGCCGAGGCTTTTCCTGAATATAACAGAGTACTAGGATCTTCCAGCTATGTGCTGTCTTTTGTTGAACTTCCTCCCCATTGTTAAGACATATCCTCAGATTAGCAGTGACCCCAAAGCCTGGCAGAACACACACCCAATTGGAGTGCCTGAGGGTCTAATCAGAAACTATGTTCCTGTACTTTGCTAGGGGATCAAGAGGTAGCTGACTGCACTGCCAAACTTAATTCCAATAAATTTAGTTTCTGTCTGTCAGGTCAGTTTTGTGAGTGGGCTTTCATCTTTTTCATGAGGGTTGCTGATCTACCATGAAAATCACCCATTTAGAAAGCATTTGCTGCTGATGGGTGGAGCAAATGGTCAGAAGAGAGTGATCACTTTTCTTCCCCAACCAAGATCCCCTGAATGCCTGAAAGCAGTTACATAAGACCTAATTGCATTTCCAAACAATTCTATACAAGGGTTGCTCTTCCCAAATTCAGCTATATAGTACCTCCCCTAGAAGCAAAATTACAAATATTACCATAAACTCCTATTTCCTTGAGAAAAATACAAATAAAAATTATTTTCTGCATTCTACTTTTATATAAGAAATATGATGAATAAACAATATCAGGTATTTGTTCAAAAAAGCAACTTCCAGGATATGTTCCTTTCTCCTACTGGTTCTGCTCCTTTTGTCCTATACAAAGATAATTGATTCCTAGAACAAAAACCCTGAGGCACTCTAAGATTCTAAGTGTCTTCTGAATCATCACATAGAGATTAAATTATTTTCAAGTTATTTTATTTTTCAAGACTCTTTTTTTAATTCTTGCTAGAAATCAGTAAATTATATAAATATACATACATACATCCACATGCACATACACACCCATATGCTCTTTTTTGGTCAGGATATTCAGTTAATCAGAACACTCCATTCCCCAAGCATTCTGCATAAATTGGAGTATGTTATATTTATAATTTAATAACATTTGTGTTTAAGCCATGCAGGCTTGGAATATGCTTGAAACAATTAAAAGTTAATTTGCAAAAGGGACAGTAAAACAACAATTACTATTATGAAAATATATCTTGTATATTAGTACTTTTAACCAAAAGAAAATGAAAAAATTCATCCTAATCTGTGATGTGCTAAAGTCAGCTCACCAGTTGAATTAATTGTTAAGTTTTATATGTGAGCATTTACACCTCAGGATTTGGCAAACATTGAAATCAGAGCTTGCCTTATTGTTTTGTTCCTTATCTAGGCTTCCAAAAGTGGTGGAGAAAATGGTAACAATGCAGATTAAACTTAAAAGTATGATTTGGGTTCAGAGTCTTCCCCACCCCATTCCCCTCAGCTGGTTGTTAAACAGTAGCATACCCCTGGTCCTACTAGACCATTGCCATCTCTTTAGTCTTGATCTGAAGGATCAGAAAACTCAGATCCTTGTGTGATATGTGGAGTCACTGCCTAAAAAGCTTAAAATGATATCAACTGCTTCTCCTACTGCTGTACTCCCTGGCTGGCCATGGCCACTGCCAAGTCTCTGAGATGACGACTTTATGCCTCTTATCTAAAAAACTGCTGCCCAAATTTGGAGAGATCCAACATCAGGATGGCTACAGAACAATGAATTTTTTTTAGCCACAGCAACTCTCATAGAAAAGTGGAGGGAATACTCATCCCAATGAAATCACAGATCCTTGAAGAACTAAAGTCTAAGTACAGTCAAATTAGCATCAATGTAGTCCCTTCCCTTTTATTCCATTCCATTCAATATCTATTTATTCAATGGTAACAATTTGCAAGACATCCTTATCACATTCTTCAATTCTCATACCTAAAACTGAACAATATGCCTAGCATTCACTCCCTCAAGTTGAAATGATATGGCTTGAGGAGTTACATTCACAGTAATCCAGTCTGTAAACACCTTTTTGCGTGTGTCACTCAGATCGAACATGTGATAGAAAATTTCCATAGCTACTCTTGTCTTGCTAGGTTATTCCACTTGAATTCCACGATAGTTTTATTCTCACATTTGCTGCTTTGCAATATAAATATCTCTGGAATTTCAGGAACTGATGGAACTACAATAGAGAGGCACAAAGAGAACAGAGAATATGTGAGTGTTGACTTTCACTACTCATGGTATGGGCTATGAATTAGAATCATGCCAGCTTGAGTTCTACTGCCATAGCTTGCAAGAATTCTAGGTTACCTTCACACCACAATCATCAGGGTAAAACTTTATGCTGTAGATGAAGAGAAATAGATGGAGGTCCTTTACCTGGATTAAGGAAAAGATACAGACTCTGATTATCACCCTTCCCTACAGAAGTATATTTGATATAAATCAATCCCCACTAAGGAAAAAAAAAAGCCCCCAAACCACCTCAGTCAGAAAACCCTTGATTTCCTTGCCAAAGAGTGAGATATGAAAGCCAATGGTAGGAATGATTTAGAACATAATCTCAGATGTAAAATATTACAGGGGAGGATGGTGGAAGATTAACAGTATTATTCCAAAAAAAAAAAGCCAACAATAAAAAAGTAGTAGAAGAAGAAACAAGTTTTCAGAAAACTGTGATAAGATGCAACTAAGTCAAATTATCCCAGTTACATGTATAGGTGAAAGTAGGAGATGAACAATAAAATTATGGAACAAATTTGATATTTTCATAGTAATCTATTTAAATTATTAGTGATGAAAAGGAAAACACCATTGTACTCTAATATCCCGTAGCCAATGAGTTATACAAGGAAATTAAAATGGCACTAAAAAAGATAAAACCAAGACTGGACCAAATACACACAGAAGAAATCCATGCTAGATGCAACACAATTTTGAAAGCATTGAGAGATCTATTTGAAGATATCTGAAAAGTGGGAACATATTAGACAAAATCATGAACAGTATTTTGACCAAAAGAGGAAATAACTTGTCAGGTATAACCAAACCAAATGCCTACTTTGTCATCTTCATGAGAATGATATACATGCAGATCATTATTCCTTAATGAAAATTTGATAAGGGAAAAGACAGGTTTTAATGAATTATTTTCTAACATAGAATACATCTTTACAGTAATATAATTCACTGAAAAGTTTAAAGAATAAAATATTGTAGTGTGTTTATTGGTTTATTGTTTTTAAAGCATGTCACTCAGTGGAAAAAAATGTAAACTAAAGTTTCCCCTCTGCCAAGGGTCGCCCACACATAAATTAATATCGCATAAGATCCATTATAGCTGCAACCAGAGATAATTTATTTCAATAATCCTTTAATTATTAACATTGTGATTTATAAACCAGGAGAAATGCTCAACAAAGGTCACTTTTCTTGTCACGAAGGATGCCCTAAGGAGAGGCAAATTGAAGGGGGATTCCTTATAGATAGTAAAGTTCTTTGATATTCCTATTTGAGGGCATTATGCAGCTTATACATTGCTACTGGGCCTCCTACAAGGACTCTAAAAAGATTTGTCTAACAATATACACTGGGAACAAACCAATGGATAAAGAATACCTATTTTCCAGATAATAGGCAGGCCATTGAGTTAACTCATCAGTACATATAATTTGAACAGATAATGATTATGGACAGTGAGTTTATTTCAGAATTGAAAAAGAGGTAGACCATGGACTAGATCACTTTTGGAAAACTATACAGTGATTTCAATAATCCCAAACTGTCTCCTGATACAAAAACCCATCTTTTCTCTCTGACATCATGATGCCATGATTCATGAAATACCTTGATCTCCAAAGAACCCAAATTATAGGTCATTCAAAGGAGGCACATAATGAGCATAAATAGGTTGATGCCCTTGAGATTATGATGGCATAAAGATTACAATCCAGGAAATTATGATCAGCAAAAGAGGTAGTTTGTTCATATAGTAAGACTGAAGGATAATAAGTAAGAAGCCCAAGAGCTGCACTGATACTCATGGGATACTTATTTTTTTAAAAATAGAGGAAGGCCTTCAAGGTGCTCAGTAGATTATCTTTGGAGGATTTGTGGGAGAACATGGATAGGAAGAACACAGAACGAGAAGGCATGAATGGGTCATCTGCATCTTTAGATGGAATGCCCACATTGATGACAGCATAGATCCATTGATGTGCTAAAAAAAACTATTCCTAAGAGAGAAGTAATAATCTCTTCATCTTGCTCCTCTGCCTCCTCAAAACTTCTCACCACACTTGGTTTGTATGCCCTTTATGCATTAGTTATAGTTTGCCTTATACTTATATTGCATCCTTCATCTAGGAGGAGTCAATGAAAGGCAATAGGGGTGAAAGATAGATAGAATGGGTTGCTCCAGAAGTTGCAGGCCCTTCCAGTTCCCATTAGCTTTGTGCTTCTTCCAAGAAATCTGTTTGACCACACAGTGATGGACTATGTTGCCCAATCAAACAGGGAACAAAATAGCAAATCACTATTCCTTGCCCAAAAGCCATGAGTAGAAGACATCAGGGACAAGGAAGTTAAGAATGTTCAGGGGTCTGTCAGAAGCCCTCTTTGCTTCTCCCTACCAAGGCCTTAGCCTGTAAAAGCCACCACCTATTCCCCATTTTCTCTCCAATGACTTTCTTTCCAGAGACAGTTCCTGCTATATTAAATAATTTTCTTGAGTGCACACATGTTTAGATCATACCTGTTAATCATGAGGGCATAGGCTAGGTGGAACGGAGAAAAATTTGGTGCAATTTTTGACTGAGGAAATTTTTATGGACATACCTGTGTTGACCGCCACTGCAGCTAGCTTTGCTCTTGGTGCTAATAAATTAGCAAATCCAATCATAGGTTTCTCCAAGCCAAGTGATACCTAAGCAGGGATAGATTATCTCTTATAGGTGGACTCTCTCATTCACCCACCCACATAACCTACATATTACAATAATTTTCATGCATATATTATATCCTAAAATAAATTATAAACTGCTTGAGGATAGGGATCTTATCATTCTCTTTATCTAACTAATTGCCTTGAACATAGTAAAAGTTTAATACATGTTTGGTAACTGAAATTGAATGGAATGTAAAGGAAATTTTTTTGATTTGATCATACTTAGGGAAGGAACTTCCAAAGGGCATTTAGTCTATCCCTGGCATTCTTAACCTGGTGTCCATGACCACCTAAGGGATCTGTGGAAAGATTTCAGGGAGATCTCTGAACTTGGATGGGAGAAAAAAATCTTAATTTCAATATAACTGGTTTCTTTTGTAATCCTTTGTATTTTATTTTACATATTTGAAAACATTGTTCTAAGAAGGAGTCTATAGGCGTCACCAGACTGCTGGAAAGATCCATGCATGATAAAAAGAAATAGTTAAGAATCCATCCTTAATCTTAAAAATCCATGTATTCCTTCAGCAAGGACTTAATGTCCATTCAAAGTGGTTTCACAGAGTCCTCTGCAACCTGTTCCTGTTTGTCTGATCTCATTAAAAACTAATGCCAATGATCTGTGATTTCATTGGTACAGCAACTCATCCTTCCTATAATTTATAGTCTTACAGACTTTTCTGAGGCCCTGGGAAGTTGAGGCAGTTGCACATGTCCACAGAACTGGTAAGTTTCAGAGGCAGGATTTGAACATAGGTATTCATGACTCTAAGTCAAGCACTCCATCCACTCCCCAATGCTGCTATCATATAAGCTTTTACAAGAAAGTATACTGATCCTTTTTCTATCTTATATTTCTAGCAACTACCCACTTCCAAAAGTACTAACTTCAAGAAAAAAAATATACTTTGATTAAGACTTTGCAAAAGGAATATAATTTTCAGACCATAAGTTTCAATTTTCAGTTCAGAAAATACGGTTTCTAGATGCACTTATCTTATTTTAAATTCTTATCAGTGTCAGGGTCTTGAAGTTATTTTTTACAATGTGCTTGCTCAAGTATGTATTAAGTATTTTCCTGCATCCCCACTTCCTATCAATTAATTCAACAAATGTCTCTTAGACAAGAATTATGTTCAAGTCATTGTTCTAGGTTTTAATATATCAATTAAAAAGAAGAAATGAGGGGCAGCCAGGTGATGCAGTGGATAGAGCTCCAGCTTTGGAGTCAGGAGGACCTAACTTCAAATCTGGCCTCAGACACTTGTCACTTACTAGCTATGTGAAACCTGGGTGAGTCATTTAATCCCAATTGCCTCACCAAAAAAAAAGAAGAAGAAATGAGATTGTTTTTAGCCCCAATACCTGATTCAGGTGTTGGAAAAGATAGATATGATTTAGGTCCCTTTCCCTAGTAAATGTGTCACAGAAAGATTAAATAGGGCTTCCCACAGCAAAGGAAGGCAAATGATGCTGTTGGCAGTACTCACTAGAGGAAGCTTAAAATACAAGAACAAAACATTTTTTGGTCAGAAAAATAAAGTCACATAACCTGTTCCCTGCCTCTGCCACTCCCCCAATCTCAGCTCACATGAAGAGATAGAACTAGTATGTGTTTCCATGCTTCTCAGGGAACCAGTGTTTGATAACATTTCATGACTAGAACTGGACCTGATTTAGCAGTGTAAATTAGTGCATGCCATCTTATCTAAGGCAAAGCATAAAACTCTTAGACAGTAGAAATAAACATATTTTTAGGTGAATGGACTGGAGGTAGTATGTTTGCCTGGATGGAAATACTTCTGTTTGGTTTCCTAGTGTTATAGAGGTAAAACAGGAGATTTGGACATGGCTAGGAGAGTGCATGGTTGGCATTGACTATGTGAGTAGATCTAATGCACCCTGAGAGTCTTCCCTGCCCAGTGTGATTTTTTTTTTTTTATTAAATGGGCCCTCCCTTGACTCACTTCTTAAAGAGGCCTATTCACTGAATGGGCATTGCATCACCTAAAGTGAGAACTTGAAAAGATCTTAGCTTAAAAAGTCCAAGGTCCTCCACTGTATCTTGGACCATCTCCAGTCATCCTGATCGATATCTGGCCACTGGAACCAAATGGCTCTGGAGAGGAAAGTAAGACTGGTGACTTTGCACAGCCCTCCCTCACTCAAATTCAATTCAGTTTCAAGTCATGTCATTATCTCCCTGATGTCATGGTCCTCTTTGAGAACGAAGGACAAACTACACAAGATCTAATGCAGTTTAATTTTATTGTTGTTTAATCATTTTCAAAGACATTGCTGACTCTTTGTTACTCCTTTGGGGGTTTTCTTGGCAAAGATATTGGAGTGGTTTGCCATTTACTTCTCCAGCTCATTTCACAGATGAGGAAACTGAGGCAGAGTTAAGTGACTTGTCCAGGATCACATAGCTAGTAAGTGTTTGAGTCCAGATTTAAACTCAGAAAGATAAGTCTTACAGATGATGAACTGAGGCAAACAAGGTTAAGTGACTTGCCCAGTGTCACACAGCTAGCTAAGTGTCTGAAGCCAGGTTTGAATTCAGAAAGATGAGTCTTCCTAACTTTAGGCTTGGGACTCTATCCACTGCACCACTTAGCTGCCCAACAATTTCTTGTAGGGTCCAATATTTCCTGTAAAGACTAGGAATCTGTGCTCAATTTTTCTTTTTATGTCTTTGTTCAGAATCACAAGGAAATTTTTCCTTTATGCCTAAGGTGATCCCTAGTTTTGTGCAAGAATCTTCATTTTGGATTAAAGGGAATGCTTCAAGTTCTGGAACTCTATTTATTGTACTTCCCAGCAGCATGATACAGTTGAAAAAAATTGGATTTTTAAGAGTCAGAGGAATTAGATTTAAATCTTGGCTTTGCTATTTATTAGCTGTATCACTTCAGTAAACATTTAACCTCCCTGGGGCTAAGTTTATTCATATGTAAAATGAGGGATTTGGTCTGGATAACTTCTTAGATCCCTTCTGGCTGTAAATTTATCATCCTCTGAATCTATGCAAACTTCGTAGACCACAGTTTTTAACGTAGAAGCAACAATAACAAAACCAATTAATGTCTTAGAATCAATGACAAATAGAACACAGGAGAAAATGATGCTCAAATCTACAGCAGAGTATGCTTTCCACTGGATTCAAAAACTTGAAGCATTCCCTTTAATCCAAAATGAAGATTCTTGCACAAAACTAGGGATCACCTTAGGCATAAAGGAAAAATTTCCTTGTGATTCTGAACAAAGACATAAAAAGAAAAATTGAGCACAGATTCCTAGTCTTTACAGGAAATATTGGACCCTACAAGAAATTGTTGGGCAGCTAAGTGGTGCAGTGGATAGAGTCCCAAACCTAAAGTTAGGAAGACTCATCTTTCTGAATTCAAACCTGGCTTCAGACACTTAGCTAGCTGTGTGACACTGGGCAAGTCACTTAACCTTGTTTGCCTCAGTTCATCATCTGTAAGATGAGCTGGAGAAGTAAATGACAAATAACTCCGGTATCTTTGCCAAGAAAACACCAAATAGGGTCACAAAAAGTCAGACAACTGAACAACAAACAAGAAGGAATTGTTGAAGATTAGTAACATAATTAGTCTTTCCTTCCTATTACCACATCCACCTTTTTCCCCCCTTCTTTCAATATTGTTGCAAATGGAAGTCTAAACAAGAAAACTATCAAAGTCCTTTTCTTTTGTAGAATTTAATTATCAAGAATAAAGACCCGCCTGAAGTTTCACTAAGTATTTAGAGGGACAAGAGAAGGGTCAAGGAAAGGGACAAAATACTGTATCTGGATGAGGTTTGAAGGACTTTCTGACAATTGTGAATTGATTAAATTTGCTGGATTAGAAATGGAAATACTAGGTCTCTTTCCTATTTCCTAAACTGTGATGAGTCTAAAATCATTCATCCAGAAGAGTCAATTGCTCCAATACTTCAATGCATTCTGGAATATTTTTTGAGGAAATAGATGCTGCAAATTTTGTGATGATAGTACCACCAACACCATTAAATCACAAACCCTTTTTTGTGTGCAGGTGACAACTGACAGAGAAAATAATCTGTAGTAACCAGGTTGCCCCACATTGGAAAGTCTTTAAGCAAAGACTGGATAACCATTTGTGTGATAAGTTGGGGATGGGTTTCTTGATTAGCTATGGATTGCTCCAGATGACTTCTTTTTTTGGGGGGAGGGGCAATAGAGGTTAAGTAACTTGCCCAGCCTGAAGACAGATTCGAACTCAGATCCTCCTAACTCCAGGGCCAGTGCTCTGTCCACTGTGCCACCTAGCTACCCTTCTGTATAACTTCTGAGGGTTCCTTCCAATTCTGGTATTCAGTGATTTTCGAACATTTGGGATATAAGTTTCTCATTGTGGTGTGGATGGATTCAAAAGGAATTGGGCAGTGGGTATGAGTATTGGATGTAAGGAAGACTAGAATTCAAATCCGCCTCAGACACTTACTAGTTATGCAATACTGGACAATTCGCTTAACCTTTGTCAGTCTCAGTTTCCTTATCTATAAAATGGAGATAATAGTTCCTACCTCACTGCATTGTGGTGATGATCAAATGTAATAACATGTGTATAGCACTTTTCAAACCTTAAAGTGCTATTTAAATGCTAGCTGTTATTAGTATTATTGTAATTCTATTAAATACTATAACTTTTTTATTTTTTAATTTTTATTCATTTTGAACTGAAATATGAAAAGACCAAAAATAGCATATTCCCATGTACACAGCAAAACATAAAAAGAGGATTCAATATAAAACCATGTATTTCCATTTCATACTGTTTACTTTTTTTGAAAAACTATGCAATAAATAATATACATGGGTTTCAAAGCTACCCTGCTTTTCTGTGTTCCCTTCCAAATTTTCTTTTGTTCTCTACCATATACTTTTTATTTTTTTCTCCCTTCCTCCCCACCTTGCCTAAGAAAAGGCTACCATTAAACACAAATATGTGCACCATAGTATATTTTGAGGGGTCATTCTGTTTTATTTTATCCCCATTAAAGTTCCTATCACAGAATCATATACAAATATATAATTTAATAATTTCTTCTCCATGAAGTAAATATGTTTGACATGACAATATCGAAAGGAATCAACCTTGTGACCCTAAAATAACCAATGGCATTTCTTTTGTGTTATTTGCCTATTAAGAAATGTATACTTTTATGGACCTTTATACTTAATACCTTAAAAAGCACATAATTGAAGCCTGTAATTTTACAAATGATGAGGAAACTGAAGTTCACAGGGGTCAAGGAACTTGCCTAACTAAAGGCTTCGCTACCAATTAGTAATGGAACCAGGAATCAAATGAACTTTTCTTACTTCATTTGCTGACACGTTGCTTTAAAACAGTGGTCTGTTTTCTCTTTTTCATGACAACAGGGACCATATATTCTTTTTCCTTTGTGTGCCCTCACATTGTCTAATTCAGTATTCTGTACACTTCTGAACTTCTTAAGAACGCTTTCTATGCTCATGCTTAGTTAGCCTTTGAAAAGAATAAGTTTACCTCTTCTGTGACTAGAAGAGAGGAGAGAGTAGACAATGATGTCAAGAAGTTTTAAAGAATTAAGGGGGAAGGGAACACCCAAAAAAAGATGTTGATAGCTTTAATCTTCTAAGTTAAGTAGGATGCTACCTCATGTAGTGTTTGTGTTACAATATAAAGAGTACTACCTTTGGAGTCACTGGACTTGAGTTCAAATCCTGCTCCTTCCTACCTGTGTGATTTTGAAAAAGTCATTCCATCTCTGTGGGCCTCAGTTTCCTCATCTGAAAAATGAGAGGGCTGGAGTAAAAGGCCTCTACATTCCCTTCCAGCTTTGTATGGATGATAATCCTATATTCATTTGTACAAGGTAATAGAAGTACAAGGTAATATAGAAAAAATATTGTCCTCTGTGAACATAGAGAAGGATTATCAAGCAGTTGCAAGAACACAGCTGAGGTTTTATATTATAAATTTGCAATTGGTGGAGCTACCTTAATTTCGTGATTATTTTTCCCCCATCAAACCCAAAACAGAAGGGAAGAAATCAAATGGCAGGAATAATTAAGGGATAAGGATTTAAGTGAGGCACAACAGAGTTCAGGGGGTAAGATCTGCTAAAGCAAAATAGTAAGATGGGAAAACATGGCTGTGGAGACATAAAGGAGAGGCAAGTGAAAAATACAACAAATGAGATGGATTGAGAGAATGAGGAAGGGTAAATGGACCCAAGTTCATTATAATAGCAACAAGGTAGATAATAGGAGGACAGGAATCAGTAATACAAGTAAGGACTAGGAGAGATGGAGGGATAGGAAGTACTACCCAGAGAATAGAATTTCCAAATTTCATTTGAATGGAACTAGTAAATGGAACTGTTAAAATTCTAGGACATATTGAGATCTAATTTATTACCATACCAGTATGTGGCTTAAATTCTTCCAATTCTAATAGTATTTGAAAGTACCCTATCGATACAAATAAAGGTCGTTTCCCTAAAACCAGTTCTCTTTGAAAGGAAAAATATTTATAATTACACATTAAAAAATAAAACCAATCATAGAACAGTGGGGAGGGAAGTATAATGTAGCCTATATTCAGAACAATATGGTATAATTGCACAGAGGTTTTTCCCCTCCTTTTAATTAAAGTGAACTAAATTTCTTTTTCGATTTTTTTACAATACCCTTTTTGAGAAAATCAGAGGTACTCACAGTGTCACAAAGTCAGGTTTGACTCTCAGTGACCTAATAAATGAATAGAATAAAAACTCTCTTTAGGATTTCAGATATTTTGTTTAGTTTCAGTGCCAGTAGTTTTTTTAATCTGGTAAAATAGCATATGTATATATTGTATCTCCTTAATTTTAAATCTAGCCTGAGCTTTGCCTTTTAGACATTCTTCCACTTTTCTAATGTCATATTTTCTTGTTTCCGATCAGCACTAGAACCTTGCAATGACCTTGTGAGACATGCAAAACCAAATCCCTAATAAAGGGAAGCTTAGCAAGGACCTACTCACTTGGCCAGAGAAGCTTGACTTTTTTTGGCTCACCCCACAGGGTTGCTACTGCCTACAATCCATGAATGTATTCATTTCAGCCTTGGCTGCTGTTTTGTTCAGGATGCCCCAAACAGTGAGTCCACTCACAGGACAGGGAATTCCATTCCAGAGCCAAGTTAGTGCCAGTACATGACTGCTAGTCTGCAGTTAGTTCTGAATCTTCCCTTGTTTCCAGCTGGAGAGTCCCCTTTTCACTGGAAGTTCTCAGTGGCTCCAGAATGTCAGTGCTTCAAACCGTTCTCTTGCCAGCAGTGGTTAAACCTGAGCTCCAAACAAAACTCAACAAAAAAACAGATGTTCAAGGGCTAAAGACCTTGGCAATCCAAAAGATTCTGTAACAAATCAGATACAGTTTCTCTACTGAAGAATTGCTCAATCATTGAGAATCCTGTCATGATATAGCCTGAATATAGCTATATTCTTAGGCTAAGTACACATAAAAATCATTTCCTACCCATTAATTCAGGCTTTGGGAGAATTATGCATATTAGGATTTTCTTTTTAATTTAAAATTCAATTAAAAATTGAAAAACAAATCCAATTATAGGTAACCCAAAGGGCAATGGAAAGATACAAGATGGGTACAAGAAGGCTGCAACATATTCATGACTTGCTCATGAGAATCATTATAAGAGACATTAGCAAGAAATAAGAGAAAAGGAGAGCAAACAGATGGACAAATAGGGATGATACTAAAAGAACCAAAAAAAAAGCTTCCAATACATCGAGAGGATTTATAGGAAAAATATAGAAAAGAGTGACACAGAAAAAGCAAAAAACTGTCCTTGCCCTCAAAGAGTTTACATTCATATGCACAGGCAACATATAGACAACATAGATATCCATATATAAGATGCATAGAAAGCACTAGAAGGATTGGGAAAGGCCTTGTGCACTCAGGCTTGAAGGAAGTCACGGATTTCAAGAAGTGGGGATGAGGAGGGAGGGGATTCCAGGCACTGGGGCTAGCCAATGAAAAGGCACAGAGATCTGACATAGAACATGTAAGGAACGGCAACTAGCCCAATATAGCTGGAGGAAAGTACAATAAAAGAACATGGGATTTATAGGAAATAACAAGTTGTAAAGACCTTTAAATACCAAACAAAGGAATTTCTATTTGATCCTAGAAGTAATAGGAAGCCACTGGAATTGATTGAGGAGCTGGGATTGCATAGTCAGACCTGTACTTCAGGAAAATTGCTTTGGCAGGTGAGTGGAGAATGCGCTGAAGTGGGACTTGAGAAAGGGAGACAAATAGTGTTGGGATAGTTTAGCTGTTGAAACTGAAAGACAGTTTGAGAATATGAGCTTTTGCATTAGAAGTGAATGTCTTGAGAGCAAGCACCATGTTTTTGACCAGTGATTATAGAAGTCTAGGTAAAAGATGATGAGGATAAGAGTCATAAAATAGCAAAGTATTTAAAACATTACATGTGTATATGTATGTTTACATATGTATCATATTTATGTAATAAATTTACATTATATTAATCTATATAATATTAACTATATATTTATATACATAATTATGCATTTATTATATTTTATCATATTTATTGTATATTTATTTTTCCTTTTCCTTTAGATAAAAAGGTTGGGGGAAGATGGGTTCATTTAGCCTATAGAATAGCAAATTGAAGGGCACTCAGTTCCGTTCTTCAAATTCCTTATTCCTCTAATGTCAGGACAAGCCAAATAGTCTGTCCTTAACTGTGGATTATAACAGCTATCTTAACCTGTGCCCTTCTTCTTCTTCCTAAAACTGGAAGCATTACTTATCACTGTGAGCCAACCCTGGCTGAACTCCTCTCTAATCCCAGAGGCAACTCCACTGACATCTCTCAACTGCCCTTAGGACATTTTATCCTGGAAAAAAAGATATTTCCATTCACAGCCTAGCATCTAGTTCATCCTCCTTCCCTTGGTGAAAAACCAAGGACATTTTCAGCTCATGCAATCATTTGTACAGTTTGAAACACCTTTCACAGATTTCCCATCATGCCTTGAAAGTTAACTCAGATCAACAGTGAAACACATAGAATTCTAGTCTGTTGAAAAGGGGTATTTCAGTGCTTATATTGTAGTGATTGATTTTACCTCATTGGGGCATTTTAGGGAAGCAATATTGCATATTGAAAAAAGTGCTTAGTTTGTTGTTGTTCAACCATTCAGTTATGTCTGACTCTTCATGACCCCATGGACCATCACACATCAGGCCCTTCTAGGACTCAGGAAAATCAGGTTCAAATCTTGCCTTTGACACTAAACTAGCTGTATGATCCTGGGAAAGTCATTTAATCTCAGTGTGCCTCAAGCAACTCTCTAGGACCTTACAACTAAGTCACAGACTGAGTTTTTATCTTTATTGGATAGAATATCCCATTCTGAAAAAAATCACAGATCTCTGGGGGGAGCAAAGGGTACATCTTCTTAGATCCCAATTCATCTCGAAAGTAACATAATATATAGTTTACTTGAATGCTGTTTTATCATCTCAGTAAGTCAACAAGCATTTTAAGTACTTAAAATGTGCCAGTATTAAGTGCATTAATGTATTAATTGTATTAGCACTGTATTAAGTGCTAAGGATACAAAGAAAAGTGGAAACATGGTGCCTGTCATCAAGAAGCACACATTCTAATGGGGGAACTCATAAACTAGAAATATCTTTCAGTTTAAAAAGCTAAACTATCCCAGCAACTTTAGAAAGGGCCATTCTATGTCCTGTATGCCTTTGTGCCTTTTATAAGATCAGATTTTGAACTGGTAGAAACCTTAGATGCCATCTTTTACAGATGAGGAAACTGAAGCATAGAGAAATTGATTTTCCTATATTCTCACAACTAGAATCCCTACAAGAGTCAGTTAAAATAGCTTCCTTATAGGCTACTGCCCTTCCATCCTCTCCAAATTACCTTGAATTTATTCTGCAAGTACATGTTTACATGATATAGCTAGGTGGCACAGTGGATAGAGTGCCAGACCTGGAGTCAGGAAGACATCTTCATGAGTTCAAATCTGGCCTCAGACACTTATTAGTTGTGTGACCCTGGGCAAGTCACTTAACCCTGTTTGCCTCAGTTCCTTATCTAAAAATGAGCAGGAGAAGGAAATAACAAACCACTCCAGTATCTTTGTCAAGAAAACCCCAAAATGGAGTCATAAAGAGTCAGACACAACTGAACGATTCAACAACAACAAAGAAATATATGTAAATGCTGTTTCTCCACTGCCACCACCCCTCCACCCACCTCACCCCCAGCAATAATATTACCTCCTTGAGGGTCAGGTCTGTTCCCTTTTGTTTTTATATCCCCCATCTAGCACAATGACCATCATACACCCAATAATTTGTGTCAACTGATTGATAGACCTGACCCTTCCGCTAACTAGCTGTGTGACTTTGGACAAATTACTTGGCTTCTATATACCTTCTTCATGGGGTTATTGGGGAGATCCAGTGACAGAATATACATGTGAAAGCATTGTGCAAACTAGTTTTATAAATTACAAAGAGCTACATAAATGACTGTTACTATTAAAAGTACCCGGGGGGAACAAAAACAAACAAAAAAAAAAAGCAGTGCCATGTTACTAAGTTCATTTCACAAATGACTGAAAATTTCTAAATAAATACCAGCACAACATAAAGAATCCCTCCACCAGGGTCCTACTCTGATTTTTCTGTTGTTCAGTCATTTCAATTATGTCTCTTTGTGACCGCATTTGGGGTTTTCTTGGCAAAGACACTGGAGTGGTTTGCCATTTCCTTCTCCAGCTCATTTTACAGATGAGAAACTGAGGCAAACAAGGTTAAGTGACTTGCCCAGGGTCACACAACTAGCAAGTGTCTGAGGTCATATTTGAACTCAAAGATAAGTCTTTCTGGCTCCAGGCTGAGCACTCTCTTGCCTTCCTACTCTGATACTTCATCTTAATATTCTTGAAGGCTATACCCACAGAGTACAATCTCTAGAAAATCTAGCCAAACTAGAAAGCCTTCAAGAACAGACCCAATGTGCAACTATGTGTCAATTATTCACAGACCCTCCTCTCTAAATACAAAGAAATTCATTGCCATGAATGGGTACCATCATTCTGGAAAGCAATTTGAACTTTTGCAAAGAAAGTAACTAAAGTGTTTGTAACCTTTAATTAAGATATATCACTACTAGGCATATTCCCCAAAGAGGTCAATGACAAAGAGCAAAGCCCCATATACACCAATATATTATAGCAGTATATTTTTTAAGCAGAGAACTAGAAACAAAGTAAATGCTCATTGATTGAGGAATGGATAAATAAATTGTGATATATGAATGAACTGGAATATTACAATATCGTAAGGTATGATGAATATGATGGATACAATAAAGATGGAAAGCCTTATATGAATTCATGCAAAATGAAATAAGCAGAACCAGGCAACCAAAAAAATGTAATGTCTACTTGCAAATGGAAAGAACAACAACAAAATCATTTTGACATAATGAGTAAGCTCAGTTCCCCAAAAGAGATGTGAAAAGACATCTCTTCCTCCTTCCTTTGTAATAGTGGGGGTTCATAGGTGTGGAACATTGCATATAACATCAGTTTTTTTATATGTTGGTTAGTTTTACTGACCTTTTTTCCTCCCCTTTTCCCCCTTCTTTATCATAAAGGATAATTCCTTAGGAGGGAGGAGAGAAAAGGATACAGCAGGAAACATAGGGGATATAAAAAGAAAATATGTCGATAAAAATATATTTTAAAACAACAACGTTCATCACTAGAGAAGAAACAAGCAAAGGAATGTTTTAGCCACAGCAAGTCTAAAAAGAAAAGAAAAGAAAAGAGAAAAAGATTGTGATTCTTGTCAGCAGAGGGAGTACCTACACCAAGAAAACTACAGCTCCTTAAGGTTTTAAAGTATTTTGACTACACTCTATTTTCTTCCCTCTGGAAGGTTAAAAAAAAAGTGTTAACATTCAGCACTGATTTTTTATTAGAATCATTTGTAGTATGTTGACTTAGAGGAAAGAAATCATGGAAATCTGGAAAACCAGAATTTATAGTAGAGTTAGAAAGACCAGAATTCAAGTTTTGCTTTTAACAACTGCCTGCTACGTGACACTCACCCTCTCAGCACTCCTAGGCAATTCTCCAAGACTCCAAGCTACAGAATCCATGTCAATCTGTCTCAGTAAAGGGAGTTTTCTCTACAGGAACTCCCTATCCCATAGTTCTAGTTTTCTTTTTCTTTCCTCCTCCTCCTCCTCTCCCACCCCAAAAAATTGAGAAACTAGCACCCTGGAATTGCATCTGACTTTCCATTACCTGAAGCCCAGATTTTGATCTTTTAATTCAATTCAGTATTCGTTTATTTACTGGCACTTTACTAGAAGATAATAAGACAGAAGCAAAGGAAGGAGAGTTTTGAAGAGATTGCTAACAATGCCAAATGCTGCAGAGAGATCAAGGAGGTTGATGTTTTATGGGAAAACCTTGGATTTAAAAGCAAGTAGGATTTGCAGGCAGGTAGTGCAGTTGATACCTCATTGGGCCTGGAGTCAGGAAGATCTGAGTTCAAATCCAGTCTCAGACACTTACATTGTGACCCTGGGCAAGTTACTTAACTTTGTTCACCTCAGTTTTCTCACCCGTAAAACAAGTTGGAGAAGGAAATGGCAGAAACACAACACTACCTTTCCCAAGAAAACCTTAAATGAGGTCACAAAGAGTCAGACACATATGCACAACAAAGGGTTGTCAAAATGAAAAATGATGCAATCTGGGCCCTGAATGAGTTTAAAATCAAATAAAGGCATATGACATATATACAAATAACAATAATACAAAGTAGAATTTGAAAAAGGCAAAAGAAGTATTTAGACAAAGTACTATAATGAATATGAGGAAAGAAAGCTCACTGTCAGCTCAGTGGCAAGGGGACAATGGTGATCAGGGAAATTTTCCCAAAGAGAAAACACTGGACTTAAAGCCTTAAAGGAAGAGCCTCAAAGGAAGAGACAGGTTCCAAGAGGTAAAATAAGAAGGGAATATGTTCCACATATAGGAGCTGGCACACATGAGTGAACAGAGATACAGGAGGTCAGGACAAGATCAGAAAAAATAGTGAGTAGTCCAATTTGGCAGGAACATAGAATTCATGAGGGCCAGTACAATATGACAATGCTGGAAAGAGATGTTGGAGAAATATTGTGGAGTCCCTTAAATCACAGGTTAGGTTGACATTTTATGGATTAGCCAGTGGAGAGCAATTGGAAAGTTGTTGGGTTGTTTATTTTTTAAGTAGTAGGGATATCAATGACTTAAATAATCAATAATTATTCATTAAATGCTTACTATGTGTTGGGTAATATCAAAACTGTTCATTAGGAAGATTATTTCAGGGCATAAAGAATAAATTAGAGAAGCAAAATACTAGAAACCAGGAGAACAATTAGGCAGGAAATATTATAGTTTAGCAGAAAAAATTGTAGGTTAATCCATAGATTTGAGATTCACCTGAATAGAAGTAATAATTAAAGAACCTTTTATAGATTCAAGCACTGATCGTCTTCTACTACCCAATAAAGAAGGCCATCACTGAGGTTCAAAGTGAAGAAAGTAATCTAAATAGAAAACAAAACAAAAAAAAAGAAAACAAAAAAAGTCCAACAAACATTTATTAAGCACCTACTACTTACAAGATATTGTGTTAGTTGCTAGGGATATAAAGATAAAAATGTCTAAAAGATTATATTTTCTTGGAGGGAGAGGACATAAACACAGGTAAGTACAACATAAGGTAAGAAGTGAAGTTGACAAAGAAGAGATCAAACACAATGCTCCACAAATATTTGAGAAGGGAGTACAGGATTCTAATGGCTGAGAAGAGGGTTTTTGGAAGGTTACTTAAAGGCCCTGGCCTACCATTAAAGGAAAACAAGGATTCCAGAAGGCAGTGTTCAGGAAGAATGAGTGAATTTCAGGTATGGCAGATGGCTTATGTGAATGCATGGAAGTGGAAGATGAACATGTCAAGTGTAAAGAAATAGTTTTTTTGTTTTTTTTTTTAATTTTTATTTATTTATTTTAAGAAATAGTTCTCCAATTTAGCTACAACATAGAGTGAATGAAATGGAGTACTGTGAAATAAAGTTGGAAAGATAGGGAGGACTGGATTTTGAAGGACCTTAAAATCCAGGTTTCTGGCTTGAATTTAATTCTGCAGGTAATAGGGAGCACAGGGAAGGTGTTTTAGTTCAGTAGTGATGTGGTTAAGTTATGTCTTAGCAAGATTCAGCAAATGTATGAAGGCTGGATTGCTGAAGGGCTAGTTGAGAAGCAGAGAGGCGAAATAGGAAACTATCAAAACAGCACAAGCTGGTGGTGACACGAACTTGAACCTACATGGCAGCCCTGGAAATAGAGAGAAAGGGATGAATGCAAGAAATGTTATAGAGTAGTTGTGTCAATCAAATAGAAGTGGGTCCCTTCAGGCTGCATATTGACTTAGAAAAACCACAAATTAACATTATCTATATTGTATTATATTTTTATTTATTTTATTAAAAATTTCCAATTACATATTAATTAGGTTCTGGCCCCACCAGGAAATTTTGCAGGCATGAACACTCGGTGGGGAAGGGTGGGGGGAATTTGACACCTGTGCTGCATGGGATTAATGGAATTTACAATTAATTGGATGGGGGGACAGAGTATAAAAAGAAGGAAGAAATAAAGGTACAACAGATTTGGGTGATGATGGTGCCCAAAACAAAAGTATAGACATTTAGAAGAGGGGCACGTATAAGAGACATATTGAGTTTGAGGTACTGCTACTATATTCAGACACAGAAATTCGACAATAATTACAAGGGAAGGACTGGGATTCAGGAGAAAGGTTCAGGCTGCATATTAGATTGGGGGGGGGGTCATCTGTGTAGAGGTGATAACTGAACCCATGGAAGCCAAGGAATAGATTGTAGAAAGAGAAGATAGGAAGATTAGTAACAGCCTTAGGGACACCTGTGTTTAAATGGGAGGAGATGGAAATTCATAAATGTCTGGGAGGGGGGAAGGAGGAATGGAGAGAATGCCAATATAAACTTTCCAATTATCTATTGGATCTATTAGGCCATTAAGCATTGTTGTTCAGTCATTTTTCAATCATGTCTGACTCTTCATGATCCCATTTGGGATTTTCTTGAAAAGATACTAGAGTAATTTGCTGTTTCCATCTCCAGCTCATTTTACAGATAAGGAAACTGAGCCAAATGGGATTAAGTGACTTGCCCAGGATCACATAGTTAGTATTTGTTTGAGGCTAGATTTGAACTCAGGAAGTTGAGTCTTCCTGACTCCAGGCCCAGACTTAGCACTCTTTCCACTGAGTCACCTAGCTGCTCTCAGGCCATTAAGCATGCATGTATCTAATTCTGACTGTTGCACTTAAACCCTAATAATAAATGAGAACACTAATGTAATAATACTCAAAATGATGGTTTCCAAAGGATAATCTCATATAGAATGCAGTCTATACATACCAAAAACTAAAAAGGAAGTTAATTTTCAACATGAAATGGCTTAGAGAAAAAAAGTCAGCAAAGACTTAAAATAATTTTCTTCCTACTCCTTTCCCTCTAAGAATTTCCGCAAAATTTTGCCATGAGATGCCAAAAAAACTAGCCACAATATACTTGGAATCTTTGTATCTTCAAACATATGAAAGATTCCTTTATGTTAATGGTCTCTAGTCAACTAGATTGAAATGTTCTTTCCCCTGACAGGATAGTTGGCATCCAGTGGGAATAGTAATGGTACTCTTTGGAGTGATATTTGAAAGTCTATTTTACAAATCTACTGTGTCATATTATTTCATTTGGGTAATGAAAAAATAAGGCTGTATATAGTCACTCATGTACAAGCACATATTTGTTATCTGAGTAAAACATAGAATTGTTCAATTAAGCCACCCCTTCAATAAAGCACCACATTTTAAGTCAAAGAACCAGGAATCTTTTCAAAAGGATTTTCTGGTTCCCTTGAATATGAGAGGCATAACAATCTTTCAGTGATTAAGTGATTAATGTATCACTTTTCATTCCCAAGTATAAATATTTGTTCAAAGTCTATTTCTGGGATTTTGGAAAGAAAGGAAAACCAAGAAAGAGTAAGCAACCTGAGGCTTAATCTGTGGTTCAAATTTCATGCAAATGACTAGAAGAACAGATTTCCACAATTCAAAGATAGAGTGAGTGATTCTCTTCATGTGAGAAGGGTATATAAAGAGAAAATTAATTTTGTCATTCAGAAGTTCAGGAAGCATCTATCTCAAGTGATTTCACTAGACAGCTAACCTTTCCATATAGTTGGGAGTTACGCCCCACCCAATCTGGAAAATCTGCATAAAATTTTTTGGCCCTTCCTTCATACCAGAGAAGTCTGAATTTTTTCTTTTTCTCTTATGGTGTGTTTATAGTACCTCACTGTAAAATTGGGGTTCAGTATTTGCTCATGGGCTCTGTGTCATCTGCCGACCTTCATGTGTCATTGGTGGCTTCGGCAAAACTCCTCCAAAATTCCCATGTAATTTCTTATGCCAACCAGGAATACATCAAAACTATGATGGGGAAAATCGCAATGTGGAAGAGATAACTGTAGTTGAGGAACTAGTAGCTGCCACAAAATGCTAATTTCACAACCAGGAAATTTGTAGAGCTTAGATGTCTTACTCTTAATATAGTAAAGTACGGAAGGGATTAAGAAAAGATTCAGTATTGCATCTTCAATGAGGTGCTCATATGACTATATCTGAATGTTACATGTATGTGAACATGAGGTAGTACGGTATGCAGGAAAATCAGAAGGTCTGGGTTCAGATATGGCCTTTGCCATTTACTACCTGTGTGACTTTAGATAAGTCTTTGGACTTCTTTCCTCATAAAAAAAAATGAGGAAGTTAGACCAGATTGCCTTAAAAGTCCCTTCCAGTTCTAAATCTATGATTCTATGAGCATCTCTATGAATGTGACTGTCCCAGTATGCATGAACACAAAGTATCCACCTATTTCTGAACAAATGTTTTTCTAGAATATATGGTCACATGCTATTGTGTAGTGTGCATTTGAATGTGGCTATTCATATGTGTGTACATCTGTATATAGTGGCCATGTGTGCATTAAAACATCTGCATGGAGGTAGCTAGGTGGCAAAGTGGATAGAGCACAGGCCCTGGAGTCAGGAGGACCTGAGTTCAAATCCAGCCTCAGACACATAACGCTCACTAGCTGTGTGACCCTGGGCAAGTCACTTAATCCCAATTGGCTCATATAAAAAAACCCCACAAAAACAAAAAGTCTGTATGAAGGAGCATACTCTGGTGGAAAGAGTGCTGAATTTGGAATCCAAGATTAGGGGTTTAAATCTCAGCTCTACCATTTATTCTCTTTGGACCTTGGGAGAGGTCATTTCTACTCTGTGGGTCTCAGCTTCCTCCTCTGTATAATGAAGGGGTTGGACATATGCCCTCTAAATCTATGATCCTCTGATCCTAACTGATCACAAATAGTGACCTTCGGTGAAGGTCATTGAATCATGGAATGTTCTGACTTCCTGGTTCTTCAACATATTTGACTGGAGCTATTAAATATAAGAACCAACAACCTTACAATAATTCCCATCTCCATATTAGAGCACAATTCAGTTCATGTTCATAATAAAAACTGTACCATTCAAAAAAAAGTCTAAATTGTATTTAAAACACTCTACTTAAGCAAGCTGGGAAATATGCAACAAATTTTATAAACCTTTCCAACCCTAATGGTTAAAATATAAACTTGTCTAATTGCTTGTCCACATGACAACTCTTCTCTGGGAAGTGTGTTCATTTCTTTCAACTAATCTCCATGTGCAGGGCTTCAGATCTCCCATCACTCCAGTCACCATCCCTCAAGCTTGTCAATGTCCCTTCTAAAATGTGGTGATTCGGATATGCAGTATGTAGCATTCAGGCGGAATGCAGCGACACAGTCATTTCCCTCTTGCTTTTGTATCTTATTTATTTATTTAATATTTTAGGTAGTTCATTTTAATTTAATCTATTGTTTAAAATTTATTTAAGAGAAAAATACATTCTTGAGCATTTTGTGTCCAAACTATTTGAAGAAAAAATCTCATATATTTTTTGAAATATGTTATAATTAATTAAAAAAGAGAACAGGACTTCATTTATTAATCATCTTTGGGGAATGAATAAAATTTCCAGATAAGTGAAATATATCAAATATTTCATATTAATCATTTTGAGTGGATTTTTTTGGGGAGGAAGGGTTGTCAAACCTGGGTTTTCATTTTCATTTCATGGAAAGAAAGAGAGAGAGAATCAACAAACCGACATACTAAAACCAAGAACATAATATGAAATTATCAGAATTAAGGGAGAAATAGAAAACAATTGAGTAAATAAATAAAATCAAGATCTGTTTTTTAAAAGACCAGTAATAATTAACTACTAGCAAACGTATTCAATAGTAGAGAAGAAAAAAGAAATTACCAAAGTAAAAAATGAGAAGGGGAATATCACAATGAACGGAAGAGAAAGAAAGAAATTGTCAAATACTATTATGCATGGGATATAGAAGAAGAATACAGACAACGCCGGGAAGACTTGAGTTCAGCTCTCCTCTTAAAACATGTGTGATGCTGAGCAAGTTACTTAACCTTTCAGGGTTCTAAGCAACTGTCTAAGACTCTAAATTGGATGCCACCATACATTGGTTTCCTCACCCAGGAATTTCATAAAATAGTGAAATCCAAGGTCCAGGCCCTGTCCTGATCTCTATCCTTCTCCTATGTAGATGAACAAAACTGAGACAATAAAAAAGGATGGATATTTACAAACATATAAAATACTCAAAAGGAAGAAAAAGAAATCAATAACTAAATAGAGCTGTATGAGAAAGAGAAATTGAACAGTGCTATTAATGAACTGTCATGTGAAATGAGAGACAGCAGTAAATATAAGAGAGAGACATAGGTAATAAGACATAAGAGACACAAGAGAGACATAATAGATATAAGCTGGCCTTGGAATCAGGAAGATCTAGGTTCAAGATCTACATCTAAAACCAACTGTATCACCTTGGACAAATCACTTAATTTCTGAATGCCCCTAGGCAACTCTCTTAAGACTGTAAATTGCAGAGAAATTACAATCTGTGGTAATTGAGGCAGTTTCCCCATGAGAAGTTTCCTATGCCAATGGAATCTCAGATCCAGGCCAAAAAAAAAAAAAAACCACTGGGACTGGATGGATTCACAAGGGAATCCTATCAAACATTTAAAGACTGAGAATCCCTATGCTATTTAAGTATTTTCTAAGGTGGGGGGAAAAAAGAAAGGCATGCTATACAACTTTCTACGAGACAAATCTCCTAATTCCAAATTTTGTAACAATAAAGCAAAAGTGCTCTTACAAATTATGAAATCTATGAGTAATGGAAGGCACAAATTAGAAGAATCTGTGACCTCCAAAATCTTCTCTAGGGCAAAACTGGAAAAGAAGGAGAAGATGACCAAGGAATAGGAAATCAGAATGAGGCTCAAGAGTTGTGTCATTTGTTCTTAACAGGATGTTACTCTTTACAGCAAACAATGATTACATTATCAAGAACGAAGTGAGGCACTGTTCAGGGACTTCAGAGGAAATACATGTTTATTCTGTTTCCCACAGAGGTCATTTTCTTATTAAGCAGCCACCTTTTCTCAGGAAACCATGGCTGGGCCTATAATATAAGGGGACTCTCCATTCAGTCTGGTGCTCTTCAATGAATATGTTAAGGTCCAATAAATATATCTACTGGCAGAATGCACCACTGTGTCATTGCCTGAAAACTTGACATGAGTCACAATTTCTATGTGTTCTGTTTGCATAGATTACCTCTGTATCAGGAAAATTAAACAGTATGGTCAGTGAAGTATAAAGAACTTGAGGTAGTCTTATTTTTTGCGAGTAGTTTGTTTTAGATAATGTAGTATTCTACCCCCCCCATCCCAGACCAGAGGTGTGGAACCTGTGGCCTCAAGGCTACATGTGGCCCTTTCGGTCCTCAGGTGTGGCCCTTTGACTGAATCCAAACTTCACAACAAATTTGAGATTTGTTCTATAAAGTTAGAATTCAATCACAGGGCCACACCTGAGGACCTAAAGGGCCACATGTGGCCTCAAGGCTGCAGGTTCCCCACCCCTGCCCTAGACCATCTATACACATATCCCTACTCATCCTCCACTCTGAGCTCATTTACCAAATAGGGAAGAATGCTGGGAGCTTCTAGATAGATACTCAAGAATTCAGCACATGTTGTATAAGCATAAGCATGCCTTTGTATCTAAGAAAATGTATCCATCTTTGTAATGATTAACATACAAAGCAGAGATAAAATTTAGAAAGAAAAGAGAGAACAAGTCCTGGAAGGATCCTCCCTCAAAAATCTTGAACTTGTCCCCTTTATCATACCCATGATTTCAACCCCATATATGTGCCCCAAGACCACGTTTACCATACTGGTATGGGAGAGGGGGAGAGGAAAAATGAGGGAGGAAAAAAAAAGTGAAGGAAAAAAAAGGTAAAAAGTTAACAGGAACAATGAGAAGGGCTTCTAGGAGGAGTTTGCACATGATCAGAAAAGAATGAACAGAATTAAAGCCACAAAAATAACTGTAGGAAACCAAATACAGCATCTCATAGTCAACCTTGACTAACAATTAGTATGTCTTCTGTATGCAGGATCTAAGGGATAAAAAGATGAAAAACAGCAGTGATTTCTGCCCTCAATGAACTTACAGCCTAAAAGAGAGAGATATCTGCACGACTAACAAAAACAAATTAGGATGTGGTTAAATGCGTGAGAGGTCAGAATAACTTGAAATCTTCAAGCTAGTTGGTAGGACCCAGGGAAGGCTTTGTTTCATGAAAGAGGTGGCAGCTGAACTAAACCTTGAAATAAAAGGACTTTGTAAAAACTCTGTAAGAACTGGAATAAGTTTTCTAAATCTTCAAGAACATGAAATGTGAATGGCATGCATAACCTTGTTTTAACTCTTTACGTTAAGTTTACCTATTTTTCTTTTTGTTGAAATGAAATACCTAAAAACTATTTAATCTAGCAAGTAGTTTATGTCTTGAATGGAGACTGTCATAGTGATGTATTTTCATAAAGTGGAACCAAACTTGAGAGAGAGAGAGAGAGGACTTTGCCAGGTAGAGATATGAGGGGAATCCATTCTAAGTATGAGTGATTGGGTACCTGTATGAACTAAGTAATGATAGGGCAGGAAAAGATTGGAAATGGGATGTAGAGTGTGTGCATGGCAGAAGTGTAAAATAAGGATAGAAAGATAGGTTAGAGATTGTGGATTGCGGAATGAGAAGGCTCTTGAACACCAGGCTAAGAGTTTGTGTCTTAGTTGGTAAACAAAAGGGAATCATTGAGGGTACTGAGCAGGAAAGTAAGTCAGATGTAGTTTATTAGCAGTGTAAAGGATTAGAAGAGCATGACAAAATAATATAGATTATTACAACAATCTAAGTGTGAGGTAATGAGACTCTCAATTAGGGCTATAGCAGTGGGAATGAAAAAGTGGAAAAAAGATATGAGAGATATTTTGCAAATAGAAGTGATAGGACTTTGTATCTGAATAGATGCAGAGAGTTAAGAGAGAGAAAAAGGTCATGGATAACTCAAAGGTTTCAGACCTGGCAATTGGGAGAGGAGTGATACCATTGAATTAACTTAAATAGGGAAGTTAGGAGGAAGGACATATTTGGGGATGGGGGAAGCAGAACAATGAGTTCAATTTTAGGCCTATTGAATTTGAGCAACTACTTGAAAACGTAGGACTGGAGTTCAGAGGATAAATAGGACTACTGAAATCGATCTGGGAATGATCCAAATAGGGCAGATAATTAAAGCCATGGAAGTAGATGAGATTGCCAAGTCAAAAAAGATAAGAAGGCCCAAAGTGGAGACTTAAGGACACCCAAACTTGTGAAGTAGAATGAGGAAGAGCCATCGAGGGAGAGAAAAGCAAAAAAGATCAGCCAAAGAGGTAGAAGGAGATCAGCGCAGTATCATGGAAATCAAGGAGAACACCAAAGAGGAGTTGGTTAGCAGTGTCAGATGCTGCAGACATGTCAAAGCAGAGGAGCATTAACAAAGGGCACTAGATCTGAGAACTTCAGAAGCAGCCAGCTTGGTCAACTTGCTCTCCAAGGTAATCAGTGCTGCCACTCATCTTCATCTTTGCATGCTCCTGTGCGCTTTAAACTGGCACTTTAAACTCCTGCATTAGGACCCAGGGATTCTAACTGGTGAATATTCATCATGGGTATCAAGACCCACCAAGATATTTCCTGAACAACTTTGTGCCATGCCTCCTCTGCTTCCATGTGGCTTTCCTAATCTAGCTCTGAGAATTGTAATCATATTAACAATGCCAAAACATTCCTCCCTGGCCACCATTCCCCAATATGCGTCGTATTCCCTTGATAAAATATAAGTTCCTTGAGGGAATGGACCACCTTGCATGCTTCCATTGGATCCCCAGCAATTAGCACAGGGCCTAGCACGTAGTAAGTATCTTAATGTTTTTTCATTCCATCCATTGGTTACCTCAGAGAGAACAGTTGTGGTGGAGTGATGGGTATAAAAGTCAACTGGAGTTTATTAAGTAGGAAGATGATACGATCAGTCCTGGATTTTAGGGAAATTAATTTAGAGGCTGAATGGAGGATGGATTGGAGTAGAGAAAGACTTGAGGAAGGCAGAGACAGAGCCTGCCCAGCATGGTGGCAGTTTCAGAGGACAGAAGGGAGTGTATTCGAGAGTTGTTGCAAAAGTGAAATTGACAGCGCTTAGCAGCAGATTGGATCTAAAGAGGTGAAAGATAGTGAGAAATGAAGAATGACACCTCGGTTGTGAACCAGAGGGCCTGGAAGGATGGTGTTTCTTTCTACAGCAATTGGGAAGGTAGGAGGTGGAGGAAGGGTTAAGGGGGAAAGATGATGAGTTTGGTTTGGGGACATGTTGAGGTTAAGATGTCTACTAGAAATCCAGTTTGACATGTGTGAAAGGCGGCTGGAGATACCGAATTGGAGATCAGCAGAGAGGTTAGGGAAAGATAGGTAGATTTGAGAATCATTAGCATAGAAATGTAATTAAATCCATGGGAGCTGAGGAGATCACCAAGTGAGGTAGTATAGAAGTTATATAATCCAAAGTACCAAATAATCTAGTTAATAAGCTCAAGTTATTATAGTGACCTGTGATTTCTCTCTTACGGGAACTCCTTTCATCAATGCAAACAAATGATTCTTCTGTAATTTAGAGCAGCAGAGAATTCCCTGGGGCACTGATAGGATAAATGATTTTCCCATGGTCGCATGGCTAACTAACAGGACTTAAAACCTTTAAGGTCTACCCTTAATGCATGTAGCACATCTTAGGAAGTTGTCTTTCCTTTTATAAAGTGACAATGAAAATCAACTGGGATTCTGCTATAGATTTCATTCAAAAGATTTTTAGATGAGAAGCTCTTATGCCAGGCATTTGACTGGCACAGTGTGTGGTACATTGTAATTTTTTGGTTGTTCAGTTGTGTCTGACTCTTCATGACCCCATGGACTATAGCACGCCAATACTGTCCATTGGTTTTTTGTTGGTTTGTTTGGCAAAATCCTGGAGTGGTCTGTCATTTCCTTCTCCAGTGGATTAAGGGAAACAGGTTAAATGACTTGTGCCCAGGGTCACACAGTTAGCAAGTCACTGAGGCTGATTTGAGCTCAGGTCTTCCTGACTCCAGATCCAGCACTCTATCCACTGAACCACTTAGCTGACTCTGTGTAGTACACAGTAAGTGCTTAATAAATACCTAGTCATTGATTCTGTGTAGAATTTTCCCACCATCTATTGAAGTCTGAATTTGGTGAATTGAGGATGTAATATGAGTCACCTTTTCAGGTTCCCTTCCCTAAGCCTATAGCCTCCTGTGTTGCTGGAATGGGGTATCTTTTGCTCTTTTGAAGTAGTTTTAATTGTGTAACATTTTAAACAGTAATCCCAGAGACCCCAAGGCTGAGAGTGCATTTTCAAAAACTATATAACTTAATGAGTGTTCATAGCTCCTCAGGGCAGCCTATTTAAGAGATGGGGAAATGGGCTTAGAAGTAAATGTTTTGTTCAAATGAAGAGGCAGGAAGAAAATCTACTAACAACAATCTTTCTATCCCTAGAAATTTAAATCCTATTTATAGTCACAGTCACCACTCACAGAGAATGAAGGAGATGGCCCTAAAGCTAGATGAAAGAATGAATAAGGGAATTAATTAATTAGTGAGAGCTTCCACTTTTGTGTTAGGAAGGACTCTAGTTTGAATATCCCAGAAAGGTCTGCCTTCTGTTCATAGGATTTGGAGCTAGAAGAAATGCCAAACTCCTTATTTTATAGGTGAGGAAACTGAGTTTGAGAGAGGAGAAGTAATTTGTCCAAGGTCACTCAGGTATTAGTTGGCAGAACTGGGATTTAAACCCTAGTTTTCTGCCTCCAAATGCATTGCTACTCTATTTAGACCTGTGTTTTCCCCAATAATTTAGGTTTCTTCCAGTGGCACAGCAGTGTGTTATTAAAATTCATTCAAAACTATCAAAGGAGTTTGCATATTAATATCACTGAACTCTCTGAGACTTTTCTTGGTCTATCTTACTTTCAATCTTCAGCATCTGTAATTTAATATTCCAGTATCTAAATCATTCATAATATTCATTCCTCCTAAATTATAAAAATAAATTCTTAATGGAAAACACTAATGATTGACAGTCAGCAGACTTTTTAAAAACAAACTTTCAGAAACTATATCTAGTTCTTTTTTTGTTACAGAGTAAAGAAAGATAGCATGTGTTTATAGGTATGATATTCTTTGTCAATATTATTCTAGTTCATTAGCATTCTGTTAACTTACCATATTTGTCTAGCCCAGTAGAGATAGCGAACCAAGTATTCAAAAGCCCAGTGACCCTGTTCCTGCAATTCTGGAGAAGCAATAATCCTGGGAGACACCCATTCTTCTCTTTAACCACATGTAAACATCCCCTTTAGTGTTGCTTTGGTAGAGGCTATTGTTATACCCAGTTTGTGTCTCAAAAGCAAGATGAATGGTAAAGAGCAATTATTTCTTATGTATGCCAACCTAATTGGAACAAACAGAAATTATTCCATTTAAATCTTAAGATGGTCTGGGGAATAGTGCATTGTGGAAGTTTTGTTATTGTTGTTATTGTTGTTGTTGTGAGATTGGGTCTCCTTATCTTTCTCAGGCTAGAAGTGCAATGTCCACTCAAAGGCCTGATCTCATGACCTGTAAGCATGGAAGCATTAACCTGCTCCATTTTTCTAACTAAGCTGGTTCATTCCTCCTTAGGTAGTTTGATGGCCCTCTGCTCCTGGGGCCTCATCATATAAGTAGGGACTAAGTGTACACATTCGATTTGTTCTGACTTTGCTGATACTCAGAACTCCTAAACTCAAGGGATCCACCACCTTCAGCTTTCTACAGTAGCAGTAGCATGTATCATCACGCCCAGCTTAACAAAAACTTAAAGTACATACTAATACCCTATGGAAATAAGTCAAAACATCAGAGTTTTGACTTATTTTCTTAATTTTTAACATTTTCAGAATAACTCAAAAAGTTTGGCCTTTAGAATGGCTGGGTAGAGCGTGGAATGCTCTACTAGGAATCAGGAAGACTTGGATTCAAATCTTACCCCTAACACTAGCTATGAGCAACTGATTGACATCCTTATTGCATAATTTTCACACTTCATTTTCAGATCTTGCTTAAATCTCACAGTAAAGATTTACATAAAATCAACTGCATAGGCAGAGTACTCCCATTGAGGAGTCAGAAAGGCTATAAAGCCAAGAATAAATTCATAAAAAAAAATCAAATCAAAGCTTTAAAAATTAATGTATCAAAATCTAAACTCAGAACATTGTGGAATAATAAATGGTTTCCCTGTTTGAACATTAACGTCTATTTAACAATGTCACTCATTGACATACATACAGTTTAACCACAAAATTTTTTCTTCTTTATTAATCAAATAACAAAATGTCCTATCCTTTTGATTTATTGATAGATTAGGGAACATAATAGAAACATTTCCCAGAACAGGGGATGGAGTGTTTACCTGACACATTCCATATATTTGAAGACAATAACCCTTCTGGCCCAAAGCTATTTAATTGCTGACCCCAAAGTCCATTCTCTTTCACCAACTTGATAAATGGTGGCTCTTTGGCTGGTTAAAAAAAAAATGTTTGAAAGAAGTATCTCAGAATGTATATCCTATTCACAGGGATTCTACCAATTATACCAATTCTTTCTCTCAACTAATACCAAACTTTTTTTTAAAGTAAGGAAAGACTGAAATTTAGAAAAAATTACAGAAAGTTCAATCAACAGTATTAATGGGATTTTGTACCATATTGAGTCCTGCCTCTGACACATAATGTTTATGTGGATTTGGGGAAATCACTTAACCCCTCTGGCACCCTGTTACCTCCTCTGTAAACTAATAGAAGCCTAATGAGTACCCTGTACAATCTCTAAACTGTAGCAGATCAGGGGCCGATTTTATTTAGTAGAGCATATCATGTTTGTTCATCAGAAGTTCTCTTTGTCAATGAAATCATAGAAAAGAGTGAGGGAGCAAAGGAGAGGAAAGGATAAAAGGAAAAAAGGAAGGATAGAGGGAAGAATGGAAGGAAGGAAGGAAAGAAGGAAGGAAGAAAGCAAGGAAGGAAGGAAGGAAGGAAAAGAATGAATGTACGAATGGTGTAGTGGATAAAGGACTTGTCTTGAAGTTAGGAAGATCTGTGTTCAATTCCTGCCTCTGGAACATACTGTGTGACATAGGCAATTCAATTAAATTCTCAGGGCCCTAGGAACTCTCTAAGATCATAAACTACAGAAGAGTTGCCAGGCTGCATTGGTAGAAGGAATTCTCACATTTCCACACCAGGAATTTCCTGATCCCCTTCATCCCCCCAAATATACATGAAGTTAAGTGGGTCAGCTAGGTGGTACAGTAGATAGAGTACTGGGCCTGGAATGAGGCATTCATCTCCCTGACTTCAAATCTGGCCTCAGATACTTCTTAACTGTGGGACCCTGAACCCTGTTTGCCTCAGTCTCTTCATCTGTAAAATGAGATAGAGAAGGAAATATCAAACCACTCCAGTATCTCTGCCAAGAAAACCCCAAATGGGGTCTTGAAGAATCAAACACAACTAAAAAACAACCCAATGACAATATACTTGTTATATGTAATATACTTACAATTACATATTCTTAAGTATATTTCTGTGTGAATGTATATTTTAGAAAATGCATTTTAGCTAAATAATCCATATTCTGTTACATATATTCATATGTATATATGTGTATGTATGTATAAATATATATTTATGCATACATGTATGTAAACATGAAGTCCCCTACCCATTTTTCTCCTACCTATTAACAAAGAAGGATGGAAGAAGAGAAAAAAGGGAGAGTAATACATGTGGTGATATTGCTCTAGTGGTAGCATTATGGCTCTTGGCATAATCTGTCACTTTCGACTCTCTATAACAACAAGAACTTGTTTAGATTCCTGTGAATAACTGAAGTCATATAAGCACTGGCTTTTAGCAAAGAGAACTTAAATAAACACCTCTTCAACTTCTCTTATCAAGCCTTTCATCATTTATATACTTCTACTGCTTAAAATCCAAGGTGAGAGGAAATTATATGAAACGGAAATGATAAATTATTATGTGTTATATTTATGTACTATTATGTGTGTATTCATTCATTCATTCATTCATTTGAATTTCCTCCTCAAAAATGTCATTTAGTGAGTCAGATATATGGAATTAGAAGGGGGGTATGCAAAGCACAGGACTGACCATGTCACCCCCTATTCAGTAAACTCTGGTATCTCCTGATCACCTCCACGATCAAATAGAAAACCCTACATTGAGCGTTCAAAACCCTTCAAAACCTGGCCCTGTCCTACCTTTCCAATCTCCTTATACCTTTTCCTCCACAATGTCACCATGTACTCTGTGATCCAGTGCCACTGGACTCTGCTATTTCTCATACAAGGGCACTTTGTCTTTTCAGTGCATTTTCATCAGGGGTGGGGAACCTGTGGCCTCGAGGTCATATTTTGCCTTCTAGGTCCTCAAGTGTGGCCCTTTGACTGAATCCAAACTTCGCAGAACAAATTTGTTCTGTTGTGGTGTTTTAAAAATAAGTTTAATGCAGGTGGTATGTCTCATAAAGAATTTAGCAGTCACTCAAGACGTTGAACTGTGTTTGTTTGTTTTTGTGTGTGTTGTGTGTGTGTGTGTGTGTGTGTGTGTGCTCCAAAGTCAATTCAAGGTACAATTTAAACCCTTGCATTGCTGTTTATACATTCATTGGGTAAACAAATTTGTTCTGTGAAGTTTGGATTCAGTCAAAGGGCCACCCTTGAGGACCTAGAGGCAACATGTGCCCTCAAAGGCGCAGGTTCTCCACCCATGGGCTATCCACTATGTCTGGAATTCTCTCCCTTCTCATCTCTGCCTCCTGGCTTCCTTTAAGTCTCAGCTAAAATCCTATTTTCTGCAAGTAGCCTTTCCAAATTCCCCTAAATGCTAGTCCCTTTCCCCTGAGATTATATATCTAATTTATCCTGCACGTGTATACTTTGTACATAGTTGCTTGTGCATTGTCTCCCCCATTACACTGTGAGCTCCTTAGGGGCAGAGAATGTTTTTTGCTTTTCTTTGTATCCTTAGTGCTCAGCTCAATGCCTGGCATATTGTAGGTGGTGCTTATTAAATGTTTGTTGACTGACTGGCTATGCTCTATTTGTTAGATGATAATGTCAGAGTAATACATTATGTCCCTTAGACTAGTTAGCGAAATTGTGACAATTTATCAGTAACTTGTGTGACAACATAACATTAGTTCCTTTGGGTTTATTCACTGGATTATCAGGCAGAGTTTTTATTCCTTCTCACCCACCTTTAGGCCTTAGCAACTTTATTTTTTTCCTTTTAAAAATGTAGTTGTTTATTTTTATAAGCATTTACTCTGTCCTACCTGCCAAAAGTAGAAAAGAAAGAAAGGAAGGAAAAAAGAAAGAAAGAAAGAGAGAAAGAAAGAAAGAAAGAAAGAAAGCTCTCTTAACAAATATGCCCAATCCAGCAAAACAAATCCCCACATTGAATGCCAGAATTACTCAGTCAGGAATGTCTCCCCTGGTTTTAGGGTAGCATATATTGAAGCTTCTGATCACGGTCCTTTCCCCATGGGATACTTTATCCTCATAGTCACTTCATGTTAGGTGAAGCTCTACACCTCAGGTACTTTCAGCTAAGTCCCACCGAGGTTGGGGAAGATATGAGCCATCTCAATAGCATCTTGGGCGGAGATTTTCACATCATAAGTACAACTCTGCCAGGCCAAAGGACCTAAATGAGAGAGTTAAGTAACAGTGCTTTAAATGCTGTGACATCAGGAATAACATACAGGACTGCCACTGAATTTATCAGGAGTTTGTTTCTCCCCCAACTCAAATGACTGTAAGGATGCTAAGATTAAGTGAGCAATTTAATAAACAATGTTGAATGATGACAAGATAAAGCAACAGAAGGACAAGTTCCTGATTAATCTCTGTAGACTAAACACCTAAGACAGGGTCCTTTTCCCCTTCAGGCACATCTTTCACTTCCTGTACAATAGCATTTATAGAACAAATATCCCTAGGTCCCCTGTTCAGGACCCTGAAGCACTACAGATTGGGAAAAGCCCCAAACTAAAGGACTTTGTGGTCAACTTCCAGTCCAAGTGAGTCATTCACTCCAATCACACCAAAGAGGCTTTTATGTCAAAAGATTCTGGACGGCTCAGCGTTCTATTGCCTGGTACCTCAGGTTTCCTTTGCTGACATGGAAAGTTTAGATTAAGAAAACAGTGAATTCATTGTCACAGATGGCAGGACAGTATTCTAAAAAGACTCTTAGTCTTTCAATGAGTTCATTGTCAGATGTGACTAGAATCACATGAAGGAATTTAGATTTGGCATCTTGGTCTTTTACAATCCATCTACCCAGTTTTATCCCTTGCCAGGTTTTCCCTAGCAACTCACAGCGCTATTTGGTTCATACCAAGCTATTGTTCACTGGAAGCCACCAGCACCTGCTACAGGGACTGGTGAGTACAATCTGGCTTCTTTGGGAGGGAACAGAACCTTATCTATAGGTTTATACCATTACTCTGGAAAAGAAATTACTGATATTGACTCTTGGTAAAGAAAGTTCTGATCCATTTTCAGGTTCAAAGTTCTGATCCATTTTCAGGTTCCTGAACATCACATACAGGTGTCAAGTTAAAATACTTTATTTTAACTAAAATAATTAAATTATAAATATAACCATCAACAAAGAATAAAATAAAGATTAAAATCTTACACAAAATCCTTAACATTTAACAAAGCAGAAACAAATGAAATTACAAGCTCTTTAAGGTCTGTCCCTTCCCCCTTCCCTCTTCCCCCTTACTCCTCCCCCCTTTCCCTTTCCTTCTCTTCTTTAGCACTGTGCCTTGCATGTAATAGGTGTTTAATAAATACCTATGAGATTGGATTGGATTCCTTTTCCAAATTTTAGTAGTACTTTGTATCTCTTCTTAACGGCATTTTCATGTTCTGTCTTGTATTACAATTAAATATTTATATTGTATTACAATTAGATGTTTATATGTTTTATCTATCTCACTAGACTAAAAGCTTCATGAGGGCAGATGTTTGCTTTATTCTTTCTGTATACCCTATAGGACTTTGCTCAAAGTAGATAATCAATTAATGTTTGTTAAATGGTTAGATGGGTAATAAAAAGCATATTGTTTCAAAACTATATGGCTAAACATAATATGACTTTTAATGTAGGTAATACAATTTTCTCCCAAGCTATATCTTTTCTTCCATCTAATTCACCGTGAGCATCACTACCTCCCTATCCATAGCCCTGTGAAGACAAATGATAAAAACCTAGAAAAAACATAATCCTGAAACAAAAACAAAAATTAATCTTTGGAAACTACAAAAATGCCTGCATTTTTATTTTTTTACTTCACATTTCAAATTTTAAATTCCTTATTTTCCAGGCTAATAATCCCATTTTTTTTCTTTTTTAAAAACAATCACAAATTAGCTAGGAGATACAGCATACATTCCAGTCCTGTGAAGAAAGACCCAAAGAGAGCAAGTAAGTATTCCAGCATCATTTAGCAAGTCAGTGGGTTAATTGAAGTCCTTCACTAAATTTTATAATTAAACTACAAGATAATAATGTTTTCTAAGTAATTTCTTGTGCCTCCTTTTTAATGGAAAAAAAAACCAGAAAACACTTCACTAAACAACCCAATGCTACAAAATGCAGCCTAAATGGTACATATAGTTTTTTTAAGTCATATTCTATTTATTTTGAATCTGTAATAATGGATGCAGCGGCTGGGCTGGGTTAGTGGCAGTGGACAAGGCAGTAGAGCTAGTCAGGAAGACCTGAGTTCAAATTCTGCCTCAGGCACTCACCTGTGACCTTGGACAAGTCAGTTAACCTTTATCTGCCTCTGTTTTCTCAACTGTAAAATGGGGTTAATAGCCCCCATTTCCCAGAGTTGTTAATAAAGATCAAATGAGATATCAATAAAGTACTTTGCAAGCCCTAAAGAGCTCTTAAATGTTAGTGTAATACTTATGCTAAGCAAATCTTTCCTCATTTAAAGTGAAAATTAATAGTGTGAGGATTTTCAGGAGGAAGGGGTCAGTATTCAAAATACTTATGACAGAAAGTTGTTTTTAAATAACATGAACCCTTTTTGAAGCACCATTTCTGAAGTATGTTTAACACCTTGCATGTCATACAATGTTTTCATACAAATAATTTCTCTCATGGAAAAAAAGCGTTGGTTTTGGAGTCTGAAGCCCACTTCCTCGGTAACCTTGGGCAACCCTAGGACTCAGTTTCCTTATCTGTAAAGTGTGAAGCCTGGACCTGATGGCTTCTGAAATCCCTTACTGCTCCAAATCTATAACCCTATGACCCTGTGAGTTAGGGAGTAGGGCAGTCACTTGTACATCCCTATTCTACTGCAGAAGAAACAGGAGTAAAAGTAAAAATATTTGTTTGAAAAAAGATCCTTGGGCAAACTGTTTCCATGCTAAGTTTAAATGTTAGCAATTAGTAGAGTAGCCAATATGTACATATATGCATATAGGTATAGACATAGAGGTAGATTTAGATATAAATATAGATATAGATACAGATACAGATATGAATATGGAAGTGTTGATATGGATCCAGATCTAGAGATAGCTATGAATGTAGATATAGATAGATATAGATACAGAGGTAACTATAAAGGTAGATATAGACATGGTTGCAGTTGGAGATATAGTTGCAGATATAGATATCTATATCTATATAGATACAGATATAGATATAGAAGTAGATATATGTTCATTTAGATATAGATACAGATACAGATACAAATATAGAGGTAGATACGGATATAGATACAGATGTAGTTGTAGATATGGATATAGAGGTAGAGGAAGATAAAGATATGGATATGGATATAGATATATAGATGATATTGTATGATTGGCTAGAAAATACTGTCACTGCTTCCATAAGTCACAGTGAAAATCAGGCATGTTGTTTTATAAAAGGCTGCTATATAAATACTCAGGTCTTCTGCCTCCAAAGCACTGATCTTTCCCCTCCACTAAGCAGCCTCTTTTGAAGGCTGATTTTCACTGTGGGTTGTGTTGTAAAGCAGTGACAGTATTTTCTAGCCTATCTAACTATTTATCTATCTACATATATACACACATATATAAAGTATACACACATATATACACATATATGTATATATACATATATATATATATATTAATAGCTAACTCATTTTAACTCATCATGAAAATTCAGCCAAGGACCGTTTCATTCAGCAGTGGGAATGTCCAGATAAATTAATGGATGTTGTTATCCTAGTTTGATTTTATGCACTTCAAAACGAATAGCTTTACAAATATTATATAGTTCAAACGTTTAACTCATTCAGCCTGACATTCCCTCAGGGAGTTTGATGAGGTTTTGCTTTACATAGTTTTAGTAATGAGGGAAGGGAATAGATAGAAACTTTTTAATTTCAAATGTTCACCTTAGAAAAAGAAAGTCAAATTAAAAATGAAATTGTCATCCCCTCTAAAATTGTCCTTATTTTTACAACCCCAAATCTCCCATTCCCAAAATTGCTTAAGCCCCTTCTATCTGACTAGGAAGAAGGAATAGAGAAGGAAAATATTCAGGGCTGAAATATAATAAACATACTACAAACTTCTATGGGGGGGGTGAGAGGATTGTCTTGACCCTCTACCATGGAAATAGCACTGTTAGGTTCTCATTATGTTCAAGTTAAATAAGATATAGAAATTGCCTATTCTGTTAATATAGTGACCGGAGACAGTAAATAAGATTCTTCAAATAATCTACCCATGGTGAAAAAGTTGAACAGATAATAAAAGAACTAACATCATAGGGATCAGCTACAATTTCTTAGGAGAAATAATAGAGACAAGAATGTCATGCATAGAGGTAGCAGCAATTTACTCACAGACACTTATCTAGAGAAGCAGAACAGTTACATGACTATTACTCTATCAATTTAAGTTCAATCAATACTTTCTGAGCATGTACTATACGCTCAACTCTATGGTAGCCACAGAGCATTCTTCCTCCTAATACTTCATTATTTGAAGGATCTATAATTTTATTTCTGCAGATAATCCCTCCACTAGTACAGATTGCAGCCTACTCCAAGCCTCAGCAGATGGTCTTCATGAGTAGCTACAGTACAAAAAAAAATTCATCACCTTAGTGGTCAGCCTTCGAGTATAAGCTTTTCTGAAAGCAGCCAGGTTGGACATTAGACAAGAGACTTACAATTTATCACCAGGCCAGGAATGGAAGCTTTCCCTTCTAGGATCATAAAATCATGAGATCATAGATTTAGAGTTTGAAGGGATCTTAGAGGTCCCTGAGTCCAACCCCTACATATTACAGATGAGGAAACCAAGGCTAGAGAGATTAAATTACCCGGCCAGGGCAATGCAAAGAGTATATGACGTAGAATTTGAGACCTGGTCCTCCTGACTCCAATGCTCCCTATCCACTATCAGAGTTTGGGTTAGGACCATACCTTCATGAAGTTTAGGAGCAGCATAGGACTCTCCTGCTATTATGAAGATAAACTGTTGACAAGTCAGTGCTAGGACCTCTACAAAGTACATAAAAAGAAAAAGTGCTCACTTGCAGTCATTGAGATTGTAGCCTAACAGAATCAGGGATTCTACCAATCAGGGACTGAGATGCTTTACTGGTTGATGAGACCATTAAAGTTATTCCTATACTTAAGGTATAGAAAAGAGGATTGGAACACAAATCTCCTATCTCCAAAATCAATCTTGGCCCTAACATTTGCTATCTGTGCAAACTTCAGCAAATCACAACTTCTCTGACCTTCAGTTTCCTCATTTGTAAAATGAGTATAACAATACTTGCACCTCCCACATTTCTGTCAGTCGATAAGCATTTATTAAGTGCCTACTATATGCCCAGCACTGGGCTAAGCACTGAGGATACAAAGAAAGGCAAAAAAAAAAAAATGCCTACCTTCAAGGAGCTCACAACCTCATGGGAGAGATAAGCAAACAAATATGTACAGACACACTATGATCAGGATAAACCGAAAATAGCAGAGGGGAGGTACTAGAAATAAGAGGGAATGGGAAGAGTTTCCTGTAGAAGGTGGGATTTTAATTGGGACTTAAAGGAAGCCCGGGAAGCCAGGCAGCAGAGATGAAAAGGTAGAGCATCTGAGACACGGAGAATGACCATATAATGTGCTCCAAGCTGAGCGATGGAGTATCTTATTCATGGAACAACAAGGAGGACTAGAAAAATATAAATGTAAACTATTAAGATACCTCTAAGCTTATACACTTCCAACTTTACTGTTAGTGGTACTGCCCATCCTTCTAGGTCTGGACATTCCAATCGAAAGAGTCTACAACACTTTGTCTGTGCCCGTTCAGATATTTCAGTAACACTACATTCTCAGCAGATGACTGAGAGGATTCTTGGCTGTTTTAAATGGCAGTCATTGGATTTGACCCAAAATGAGAAGCCTTATATAACGATGGTATAGATACTCTGGCCAACAATGTAAGATTTCTCAATCTTGGACTAGATTTGAATCAATGTAGATTTAATGTACTCATCTGTCTAGAATTATATGACTGTCTATATAGCAGGGGTCCATAGGTGGCACAATCATTAGAGTGCTTGTCTTGGAATCAGAAAAACCTGAGTTCAAATCCAAAACTTGGACACCTAACAACTGCATGACCCTGGGCAAAACACTTAACTTCTGCCTCTCTCAGTTTTTTCATCTGTAAAATGGGGATAATAGCACCTATCTCACAATATTATTGTGAGAATAAAGTAAGAAGCAACACTTCTAAAACCTTCCGCAGATATTGAAGCACTATGTAAATGTTAGCATTATATTATTATTATTATTATTATTATTATCATTAGTTCATCTCTTTGATTCAGGGGTTTTGGTATATTCATGGATGAATATATGTATGGATCAAGTATATGTGTTAACAATCCCCATAATTTCCCACTTTCAATTTATTCAGTCATTCATTCATCAATTCAATAAGTATTTGTTAAAACCTACATGTAAAAAACAGAAATGAAACAGACCTTGCACTCAAGGAACTTATATTCTATCATGGAGAAACTATAAAAAAAATATGCAAGTAAAATCCTCAGCAACAGAGCAGCAAAAGACATGAGTTCAAATCCTGCCTTTGATATCTACTAGTTATGTGACTGTAAGTAAATCAAGTAACCTTTCTGAGTCTCAGTTTCCTGTTCGGTATAATGGAGATCATGACATCTATAGTATCTATCTCACAGGGTTGTTGTGAAGCACACATGAGGGTATGTATGTAAAGCACTTTGAAAATTTTAAAGTTCTAAATAAATGTCAGTCATTGTTATTACCACATGAGAGAATGAAGATCAAAGCATTTTATCACTGTACAGATGGATACAAACCCCTACTGTTATCATGGGGGAGGAGAAGGGGAAAAGCCTGTCCAGCAAAGGAAGGCAGCTGTGAAGAATCACAGTGGAAGGTCCCAGGCAGTCAGGAGGAAGCATAATAGACTTCTGAGGAGGAAGTTTGATGAGGGGAGATAACATTTGCTCTACTTCAGTAGTTTACCTTGTGGCTGTGTGAGTAAAGATAAGGGAAAGGATGTGATAGATGCTTCAGAAGTAGGATAAACACAGCTTGGCAATGATGGGATATGGGGGATGAGGGAGAATGAAGACTGGAGGATGATTCAATGATAGGAAGGATGGTGGTGTCCTTGTCAGGAACAGGAAAATTACAAAGAGGAGTGGGTTTAGGGAAGAAAGATAGTATGTTCTGTTTTAGATAAGTTGAGGTTTAAATAACATAGTATATCAAGTTGGAGGTACCAAATTTATCACCTCCAGTGCCAAACTTCTTATCTTTTCCCCAAAATAATCCTTTTTCTGACCTAGCATTTCTGTTAGTGTGATACCATCATCAACCCAGTATCACATGTCTAAACCCTTCGTGTTATTTTTCACTCTTCCTTCTTCCTTCTCCTTCACCTCTCCTAGAGCTTCCAAGTCTTGTTAATTACACTTCCACATTATCTTTTGCTCTTCCATCATACTAACAATGATTGCAACCATTATCATCTATCTGGCTGATTGCAATTCCTCCTCACCTGCCTTCATTTTCCACTCTCTGTCTCCTCATCTACCTTTCATGCGGTTGCCAGACTAATCTTGCTTATGCATAGATCTGGTCATGCCATTCTTCTGCTCAAAATTATTCAATATCTCCCTAGTGTCTCATAAGTAAAGTTCAGTTTCTTTTACCTGAGATTCAAGACCTTTTGTAACCTAGTACAGCTACATTTCAGTTTGATCTCATGGTATTTTCCTCCTTGTATTCTATACTTCAAACCAGACTACTCTGTCCTTTCCCCTAGCAAGCCCTTCACTCTCCCTGATGCCTGCATTTGTTCATGTTATTTCTCATACTTTGCGGCACCTCTTTGCCTACCAAATACTCACACTTTCGTTCAAGCCAGATTAATCGCACTTTGTTTGACAACTCTAATATGTCTACGCATTCTACATTGTATTAATAATGTCATTTAATAATAATGAAATTTTGTTTTAGTCATTTTTTCAGCCATGTCTGACTCCTCATGACCCCTTTCAGGGTTTTCTTCACAAAGATACTGGGGTTGTTTGACATTTCCTTCTCTAGCTCACTTTAAAGATGAGCAAACTGAGGCAAACAGGATTAAGTGACTTGCCCAGAGTCACACAGCTAGGAAATAGATGAGGCTGGATTTGAACTCAGGAAGAAGAGTCTTCCTGACTTCAGGCCCTCACACTCTATCCACTGTGCCATCTAGCTGCCCACAATAATGAAATACTCTGCTTATAATAGAGAGGTGGTGTGGTGTAATAGATAGAGAATCCACCTCAAAACCAAGAAGATTCAGATTTGAGTCCAGTCTCTGACAAAAAAAATCGCTCTGTGACCCCAGCTTAACCTCTCAGTGTTCAAAGGCACCTCTCCAAGACTCTAAATTGTGGGAAGTTGCTAACCTGCATCTATAAGAGTTTTCTTGTCCAGAAACTCCCTACATCAACGAAATCAGTGGTTCTAGCCCTTTCTCTATCTACTACGATTTATAGTTATCTATTGTTTGGTTATCTCCCCTACTGGAATGTAAATTCCATGAAAACAGAGACTATAGCTTCTCCAAAGTTTGTATTTTCCCAAGTACCTGGCCTAGTAGTGGCACTTAACAGACCATGTTAATGAATTGAATTGATATAGTACTTTATTGTTTGCAAAATCCTTACTCAACAACCCCGTAAGGGAACACAAATTATTATTCTCATTTTAAAGGAGAGAAAACTGAACCTTAAAGGCGTAAAGTATCTTGCTCAGGTTCCTACATGTCCCTTAATAGGTAAGCTGGAAACTCAAATACAATTGTTCCAAATGCTGTGAGGATCAGATGAGATATTTTTAAAAAGCACTAAGAGAATGCCTGGCACATGGTAAGTGCTATATAAATGCTTATTCCCTCTTTCCCTCCTTCCATCCTATATGCAAAGCCAGGGCTGTTTCTATTACATCATCCTTCAGGCATGTGGAAGAGTGCAAAAGACAACATGATTCATAAAACTTAGAGCTGGAAAGGACCTTAGAAGTCACACTCTTCATTTTACAGATGAGGAACCTGGGATATATAGTTCAAGCAACTTGCCTATGTTAACACACACAATCAGTAGAAGAGCTGGTATTCAAACCAAGGTCCTCTGACTCTAATTTAATTATTCTTTCTACACAATCACACTGCACAGCCTTCTTCATTATTTTTACTCAAGACCCTTGGCAGTTTAGTCTGAGAACATCCTGAGTCTAGCCCATAGCATTGTTGTTATGTTTGTCCTTTGTTCTCGAAGAGGACCATGACATCAGGGAGTTGATGACATGACTTGCAATTGACTTTGATTTGAGTGAGGGAGAGCTGTGCAAGGTCACCAGCCTCACTTTCTCCTCCAGAGCCATCTGGGTCCAGTGGCGACATATAGATCAGGATGACTAGAAATGGCCCCCAGCCTACATCATCCTCACGATTGAACTGCCCCCAGGAAAGGTCAGTCACATTATGTCTAGCATAGCCACAGTGAAGGACCAAAGTCCAGATTCTGATTGCTGCTTCCGGACTGTGTGTCTTTGAGTAAATCACTCTGGATCAGTTTTGCCATCAGTAAATAAGGGGCTCGAACTAAATGGTCTCTAAGGTCCCTTATAGATCTAAATTTACTATTAATGAACTTGGAAAGATCCCCTAGGCTCACTCCACTTTTAGATTTTGAGGAACAAGACAGAGTTCATCAGAAATTTGCTCAATGACATTTGGTTTGTGTCATTTCCACATCTGAAACCCTTTTTCACTGGAAATACACAAACCACAAGGAGTTGTTATTATTATTATTAGCTATAATTCATATAGCACTTTGAGGTTTGCAAAATTTTTTATAAATATTATCCCATGTTATCCTTATAACAACCTTAACAGGTAGGTGCCCTTATTATTTCCATTTTACATATGAGGAAACTGAGGCAGACAGAAGTTTAGCAACTTACCTACAGTTACATAGCTAGTAAATCTGAGGCCAGAACTCCAAATCCAGACCTCTTAACCAATGTACCACTATAACTACCTCAGTTATACTTAGAACAATTACTCTATGGGAAAGTTCAAAGGAATGCACTCACACACACCTCAGAAGAAAATGGGATCATAGATTTCCAGCTACAAGGGATATTAAAGGTCATCTTTAACCAACCCCTTCATTTTAGAGATAAGGAAACTGAGTAACCTAGAGGTTAAATGTCTAGTTCAAGGTCACAAGGATAGTAAATGATTGGGCTAGGACTTGAATTCTGGTGCCAAATACAGGGGACTTTCCACTATACCATGCTCTACATTAGCAGTAAATGACTAAGGATGCTCTTTCTCATTAGAAAGCTCCTGACCTCTTCTTTCAAACCAGTTCTAAAGAAGCAGCAAGCTTAAGGATGGTTTGAGAAACCAGGGATGACAAAGAAGCTCTTTTTGCCTCCCAGATAAGATGTGAATTCTTAACAATCACTATTCTAAGGTGGCAGTAACCAAACCAACACAACAAAGAGTAATAACGGGGACAAAGTCTTAACAAGGAAATAATAGGGTTTCAGAGTTGGAAAGGTCAGTAGAGATTGTCTAGTCTTCTTCATTTTATAGCTGAGCAAACTAAGACCCAGAGAAATGAAATGTGTTCTGGCCAGGTTCACACAAGAATTAGTTACAGAGCCCAAACTAAACCCTAAGTTTTCCAACTCCCCATCCAGCACCCTTTCCCATGTCACCTCCCACCCTGTGAGCAAAAACATAAAATTCTAATAAGATTTTTACAGGCTCCAATGTGGTCCCCATACAAATTTGTCAACAGTTTGACCCCAAATGACTAATTTCTTTTTAGATTTTTTAATCAAAATGAACTAAATCTGAGATTTTGAATGATCTTCTTTAAGTCATAGCTAATTAACTACATGCTTTATTACCTCCATAAGAATGAATGCTGAGGACATAGCTGGAAGGAGAATATAACTGCAACTGAGCTATGATGATCCAATTACTTGGAATATATACTCGGTGTAAGTGTTCAGGGACTGAAACATACATGGGGGCATGGATACAGCCAAGGGTCAAAAGAATGATGATTGGTATATCAGAAATCATTCCTTTGTTCTTTCTGTGTCTATAGAAAGCAGATATGATTTTAAAGAGGGAAGTGAGTTCTGCATAAATGTCAACATGGACATAGGCTAAAACTATAGGCATTATCTTATTTTTCTTTCTAGCACCTTGTACATAACAGGTATTCAGTAAATGTTGAAGAAATGAATGACCAAGCCACATGAAGTGGAGTAATGAAGTCGATCCCTGTGGAAATTAATTGGTATGATTCCTGCAGAATATAATCTTCCCAAGGGCAAAGACTATTTTGTTTTCATCTTTGTAGACTCAGTAATTAGCACAGTGTCACGTACATGGTAGATTCTCAATAAATATTTGATGGATTGAGCTGAGTTGCATTAGACTACCTAAACCTTGTCCTTTTTCTTGACAGCAGAGTGTGGGGATTTGAATTATTCAAATAATTACCTACACTATACTTTTTCTATGTAAACACCATTTGGTCTTAGGAAAACATTCCCCTGAACTTTGACACAATATCCTGAAAACAAGACAGCTGCAGATAAAGCAGGAGAGACGATTACTATGGAAAATACTAGTGGAGGCCAAACACGCCTGAAAGAAATTTCTCCCTTCTCTTCAATTTTGTTGGGAGTTATACTGTTTAAATGGCAAGATCATGGGTAATTGAATCCTAGGTTTTTAAACTGAGGTTGAAGTGAAGATGCAGTGAAGGAATAAGAAATGTTACGTATTATATTTGCCTCTTAGAACAAAGGATTTAGCTGTACCATCAAACAGAGTATGTTGCCTAGAATTTCTAATTAGATACAGTAATTAGGCATTGCTGATAGTCCAGGTTGTCATATTGCCGTAGACAGTGATCATTTCTCATACCTCAGTGTAACTCCAGCTTCCATGGAAATGAGAGTTTACTGTTGGATAATATATTTCACTGCAGAGACATTGGCTAGTTTCCATCCAAGTATAGCAGTATGAGTCCCAATTAAAGATGCAAAGGGTGCTGTGGGTGGGTTTACAAGGCCTAGGAGGAAACAACAACTAAAGTTGTGCACGCCACCTTGACCCAAAAGGCAGAAAAGAGAAAATCTGTTGGTTTATTTCTTTATTTTAACATTTAGTCCTCTCAACAGAGTCTGGCCATATTACCATAGCAACAGGCTTGAAAAATTAGTGATTTTAGTTATTTAACTAGCCTGTTTGTCTTTACGATACCAAATAACCAGTTCAAAGGTCAATTGACTGATAGATTTTTTTGAAAATAGCTTAGAATTTCCCTCCTGTGTTCCATACAATCTTAGTATTATCAGCACCACTCCATAAACAATTGAGCTAAACATCTTCTCATTATAAATTAGCTTTTAATTTTAGAAGACTACAGATGACATTACAAAAAAGACCATGGTTCCATAAGCATGTAATTAACTTAAGGGTGAGCTGCTGGTGAGTGGTAATCACTTGATAAATAACGTGTTGGGTTGTTGTTGATTTGGGGGTGGGAGGAAGAGGAAAAGGGAGAAGAGGTAGGGTGGTAAATCTGGAAATGATATGATATAAAAAAGTGTCAATAAAACTAATTTTTAAAATGAATGAATAAGGCTACGCATACGTGCGTATGTAAAACAATGAGGATGGTAGTAACAGAGAAATCAGTACTCACCTGGCTGTGTGACTTAGACAGTTTTGGAAGTTCACACTAAATTTTTTCTTGACACTGCTCATCTTGTTAATGAAGTATTTTAGCTTTGTGGACAGCCGTGTTAAATTGCACATTCTTGGATGGGAAAGAAACTGCCAACCCATTTTACAAAAAAGACATCGTTTACTTGTGTATTCCTCACCCGTATATAACAATAGGAGGAAAGTAAACTGTTGTTACCGCTTTTTACTTCATTTTCATTCTCCCAGAATCTTGATTTCTCCAGAGTTTCATCTCTTGATGGAAAAAAAATGTTCTCATTGAAAAACTGTTATACTTTGAATTTAGTACTCAGAAATGTAGGTAGAAGTAGAAATGTTAAGGCCAAGCACCCAAAGGAAACTCCAGACCACTAGAGATTTCTGGACTGGTCTAATTACTCCTGGTTCACGAACCTCTCAAATACCATGTTGCCTAAGGGAGATTGGCTTAGGCCCTAGGGAAAGGTTCAACATAGTTGCCTTCCCTGTTGAATCTTACTGTTGTTGGTAGATTGTTTTAGGTTTGGTTTTTTTTGTGGGGGGGTTGGGAGGTTGATTTTTGTCACTGTAATATTTCAAGAAAAACACTGTAAAATCCTCAAACTCAGCAAGCATTTTTTTTGTAATTTTTCCTGAAACAAATTCAGTATTGTATACATAGTGAGTTCTCTACATAATGTATGAGCACCACATATATAAAATAAACCACTTCTATACATAAACTCACAGAGTCAATGATATTCCCCAAAATCAATCCATTGCATGGTTTTCAATGCATATTGTTCACTTAAAGAAATGAAGCCGACAAAATATTATTCTGGACCTAAAGTTAGACAAGATAGGAAACCACCTACTATGCAAAGGGGGGAAGAGGGCTGTGAGGGACACTTGCTATATCAGTTTGTATAAATGCACATATTCTAATGCCAGAAGGTGCTACTTTCCTTGGCACAGTGGCATTTTATGTGATGGATCAAGTCCTAAGATACAGTGAAAGTAAAAAGCCTCAGATGGACGGGGGCACACAGGGGACATGATTATAAAACCTTATTTAATGAAAGGCAGCGTCGGGGTAATGGAGAGCAAACTGGCCTCAGACTGAGGATAGACCTGGGTTCAAGTTCCACTTTGGAGGCATGCTGACTGTGTTGTGTGACCCTGAACAAATCAGCCTCTCAGTGTTGAGATTGTAAGCTGCAGACCAGGTGCCAGTCTGCAACAATGGAAACAATTCCTCTCCTAGGAATTCCCTAAATGATGAAATCACAGGTCCAGGAAATAAAAACAAGCAAACAAAAATCTACTTGCAGAAAATCTGGCTTAGTTTTCAAAAGTAAAAGCTACTTCCACCCTGCATCTCTGACCTGTGGCTGATAAATAAGCCTCATAAGAAAATGCTGAATGGCCACGTGCTCAGTGTGTGGGTGAAGGGACCCTTGTTCAGGCATGGACTGGACTAGATGGCCTTTAAGGTCCCTTCTCTACCATTTTTGTCATCTACTCAGTTAACTCCAGTTGTATGAAGATTTCAGAAGCAGGCCCCATGGTTGTGTCTCTCATGATGAGTGTCATCTTAGGTATTTAAATATATTTTTATACTTTTAACTATATGTAGCATGACTTTCCATAGCAACCATTACATCTCTCACCCTTACTCTTGGTTGTGGCCTCTGGGTCCTTCATGGTTTCCTCCCACTTAGAAGTACGCTGACAGCACATGTTAACTATACAGCCCTTAAGATTTTCTCTTTACATATATGCTGAACCTCCCCATATACAGTAGTTAGGTTTTCAAAAGAAGTCCAGGTTATTACATAACCCCAAACTCCAATACTTAGCCACAAAAAGGCCTTAAAATGGCAATGTCAATCATCAATCTAGTGTCATGTATTTCCTTACCTTGTACTTTCTCTTCACAAGCCCCTTCTATACTGAGAGGGAGTCCCATGATTCCCTCTGAAAATGACATGCGGCGTAACGATGCATTCGTTTGAAACAATGAGTTCTTATTATAAGCTCCCAACTGAGCCAAATATTCTAAAAACATGAAATCAGAGAGAAAGGTCCAATCCCTAAATGGTGCATATTTTATTCATATTTTCTTGTCTAAAGTGCAATTCGAAACAATCACGAACACAACCACAAGAGAGTTCCAAGGGCATAGAGAAGAGGTAATAGTAATGATTATAACAATGAGTGATAAAGCATCTGAGAAAGAGAGGTGGTCTGGGAGCCAAGAAGGCCTAGGTCAAAGTCCTATCTCTGACCCCTACTATATGGCCATCAGCAAATCACTTAACTTTTCAGGGCCCAAGGCAGCTCTTTTATGAATATAAATACAAACGATTGCAGGTATGCACTAAGAGAGGGAGATTTCCTCCCAAGGCATTGCCTTTGCCAATGAAATCACAGATCTGGAAGAAAAGAACAAAATAACAATAGTAGTAATAGCCTACATGCATGTGCTTCAAGATTTACAAGGCACTTTGCATATACTACATATGGATACAAACATAAGAGTTTCCAAGAGTTACTTGTTTGCCAATTTTTGTTAAAGGTCTGGCAAGGGAGGAGCCAAAACGTGACTAAAATTTTGCTTTGAGTTATCTGTGAATTTCATTTATACATATAACTTCTAGAAAATTGGGATGACTACAAGTTTTTACAAATTCAGTCTTTTAAAAAATAGAAGCAGATATTATAATAGAAGAAACAATGAATATTAACTTGCAAGGGTTAACTTCTCTTTCAGTAGATAACAATCCAATCTGGTAATGATTAATTTTAATTTCCCTAGCAAACAACTCACTATTGTAAGGGGAAATTTTTCTTGGTAATCCTCTATAGGTCTACAGCATACACTTCCTGAAGCAGGTGCATTGGCACTAGCCAATCAAAAGCCATAATTATAAGCCACCTGGTCCCCTTGGAGAAAAGACATATCCTGAATCTAAAAAAAATAACAACTCTTTGTGTCCTCATTCAGCTGTCCTCTTTGGTAATTACTCTAGTTAGACAAATGAGCACTTCTTTACGGTAACAATGATAACGCCATTTGTGCTCTAGACGTCCTACTTAGGAGAGGCTATGGGTGACAAATACTGATGTTTGTTCTTGGCACAAAACGGGAAGCAGATCTTTGATAAGCACTCTTTTAGACAGTTACAGATTAATTTAAATATCTGAGCTCTGCCATCTAGGGCTATTTAACCTATAGGTTTGGTCGAATTTACCCAGCCCTGGCAGGTTTCAGAAAAACCCATTTTCTGCATTCATTAACTGCAGGGAATGGCCATGTGTTCACAAAGAGCCAGCAAATCTTTCATTCAGCAGTAGATGGATTGTAATTCAAAAGAGAAGAGGAGGAGAAATGAGGGAAGGGGAAGAGAGAGGAATGGAGATGAGATTTCAGGCCTGGAGCATTGTTCAACTTTGGGATGGGGAGGTACAGATGGGATCCAAAATGCAGCGACTTTAGAGGTCATTTTGTCCAGTGGTGTCAAACTCAAATAGAAACAGGAGCCACTAAACCATTCATAAGGATCCCTGCAGGCTGTGTAACAACTTGGAAATACACATACCAATATTATCCATGTTGCATTGTTTTTTTTTAATTTTGCTAAATATTTCCCAATTACATTTTCATCTAGTTCTGGCCACATTCAGCAGTGTTGTGGGCTGCATGTTTGACACCTCTCATCTCAACCTTCTTATTTTACACAAGAGGAAACTGAAGTATAAAGAAATTAAGTGACTTCACAACGGTCAAGGAAATGAGATTTAGTAGGTTTTCTGACTACAAATCAAGTACTCTTTCCACTGTACCAGTCGTGGACTTTTTTCCTTAGAGGTTTTCAGAAATAGAGTAGATTTCTATTTGTCTCAAGTTATTTCAGTGTCAATCCAGCTGGAAAAAAAAAAGTTATGAATTAGAATTCCCCAAGACCTCTTCTCACTCCTCTTTGGGTCTATCATTTCAAGTGAAATCCTTAAGTCTAAATGCAAACAAATAAATATTGGAGAGAAGTTGAATGTGAAGCACATTTAATGATAATCTGTGGTTTTAAACTAGAGACATTGAATGGGTTTTTTCACAGTCACCAACTATTACCAACAGAGAGGCTAGATCTCTGAAAGAATAATAAGTAAGTTTAGATGAGGAAGAAAAGATAAAGAAAAGATGAAATCAGGCAAGAAATTATGCCAAGAGAGGGAATAACAGTGGGAGAGTTCTATCAGCCAGAAGGATGCTGAACAATTGAAGTGCTAGAATGAAAGTGATTAAGGAGAGCCAAAAGAAGATGTGTGAAGGCACCCAACTCTGATGACAAATGTTGGTGACCA